GTAGGTGACGAAATTAGGTGAGGTGAGCCCGAGAAGCTTTTGATCCCCCACTGACCTTCGCATTTTCGCCTTCCTTCGTCATTTTCTGGACTTTTAGACGTGAAAGTTCGAACTTTCTCCTTTTCGTCTTCCATTTAGGGCCCCAACTTATCCGCGTCCCCCCTTTACATATCACCCTTCATTTGGGCGAATGTCATGTTTCTGCACTTGGGTCGGGGCGAGGCCATTAGAAGTCGCGAAACGACGGTAATTTGGGACTCCCCATCTGTCCTCATAACACGTCGGGCGGGGAGAGCGGAAATACGATTTCTGCCCATTTTCGCAAATTTTTTGCTGGTTTTTGTCGCTGAATTCGGGGACTTTTTTGAATTTAACTGATTTTTTTTCTTTTTTTTCTATTTTTTCAATTAAATTTTTCGTTGCAAGGCATAAAAAAGTGTCTGAAGAAGGCCGAAAAATCAGGTCAAGTAGCCAGCTCGGCCCAGCCCTCCGTTTTCCGTTGTTCCGGCTACGTTTTTTCCGAAAGTGCGCAAACTTTTTTTTGCACGTCCGCAGTGCAAAAATTTTCATTTTGCACTGTGCATTTGTCTTTTGCACTGTGCGGTGGGAATGCACTGTGCATTTGTTTGTTTGCACCGTGCAGTCGAAATGGACTGTGCAGTTGGTGATTTGCACAGTGCAGTCGAATGTCGCGCGACAAAAAAACCGTTTTTGATTTGTGTCGCTGCGACTTTTCTGAAAGCGATGTTTCGCGATGAGGCAAAATGCACTGTGCAAAGAGACTTGAAAAAGTGTTTGCACGGTGCAAAAAGAAGCGACATGCACTGTGCAGTTGAAATGTCGCGCGACAAAAACCGTTTTTGATTGGAATCCTTCGATTGCGACCCCGCTCGATTGCGACCTCGCATCGATTGCGACCCCGCATCGATTGCGACCCAAAATGGGGTAAAGCGACCCCGGGATGAAAATTCCTCGATTCTCTTCGGGAAAAACTTGCTTTAGGGGTTTTCGAGGGTGCTGATTTCGAAAATGATGTTCATTTTTCCTCTAGTACTACATAGTGCTGTCTGATACTATATAGTACGAAGTGAAAATATCGCTTTTGACGTTAAATACTCGATTTAGGGGTTTTCGAGGGTGCTGATTTCGAAAATGATGTTCATTTTTCCTCTAGTACTACATAGGACTGTCTGATACTATATAGTACGAAGTCAAAATATGGCTTTTGACGTTAATGGTGTTGTTTTGATGCTTAGTACTCTTCAAAAACACGTTTTAAAGGCTTGGTGCTATATAGTACTGTCTGATACTATATAGTACGAAGTAAAAATAGGCGTACTAAGCACCAGAACAACACCACGAACGCCTAAAGGCCAACTTTAACCTCGTACTACATAGTATCAGATAGTACTATATAGCACCAAGTCTTTAAAACGTGTTTTTGAAGAGTACTAAGCATCAAAACAACACCATTAACGTCAAAAGCGATATTTTGACTTCGTACTATATAGTATCAGACAGCACTATGTTGTACTAGAGGAAAAATGAACATCATTTTCGAAATCAGCACCCTCGAAAACCCCTAAAGCAAGTTTTTCCCGAAGAGAATCGAGGAATTTTCATCCCGGGGTCGCTTTACCCCATTTTGGGTCGCAATCGATGCGGGGTCGCAATCGATGCTGGGTCGCAATCGATGCGGGGTCGCAATCGATGGAATTCTTTTTGATTTGTGTCGCTGCGACTTTTCTGAAAGCGATTTTTCGCGATGGGACAAAATGCACTGTGCAAAGAGACTTGAAAAAAGTGTTTGCACGGTGCAAAAAGAGACAAGTTGCACAGTGCAATTGAAACGTCGCGCGACAAAAACTGAAGCGATTTTTTGCGATGAGACAAAATGCACTGTGCAAAATGACTTGAAAAGGACCTGCACGGTGCAAAAATTGGTGAATTGCACAGTGCAAAATGACTTGAAAAAAGTTTGCACAGTGCAAAAAGGGGTAAAATGCACAGTGCAAAGAGACTTAAAAAAGAGTTTGCACAGTGCAAAAATGGGTAAAATGCACTGTGCAAAATGATTTGAAAAAGGTCTGCACAGTGCAAAAAGATGAAAATATGCACAGTGCAGAATTATTTGAAAAAAATTTGCACTGTGCAAAAACAATCAAAATGCACTGTGCGCCTTGCCAAAGCATCAAGAGGCTTTCGAAAAAGCGGAGTAAGTTATGGATTGAATTTGTAACGCGGCTTTATTAACTTCCTTATCTATTTTTAGACAAATCTACGGGGGTGTGGCAGGAAATAGAATAAAAAACGGACTCTGTGGTATCATAAATTTCTGGACCATGGTAAAATCTATTGTTATAAGATGAACTTTATTTTCCAAAGCCGGAAAAGAATTAAAGTCCAAAAAATTTCATTGTTTTTTGGTGTTTGAATTGGAAAAGTGCGATTTCTTGAGGTTTATTGTTATTTAATAGGCCGCCCGGAATGTGGCTGTACTGAATTCTTTGCACTGTGCAATTTCTGGCTTTTTGCACCGTGCAATCGGCTTTTTTGGGCTGCCCCAAGTTTTTTTGTGCAGTGCGAACGCCAAAAATCAGTCCGGCGACTTTATAGAAGGACTAGAAAGCGTTTCTTGAAAAAAAAATTTTTTTTTATTTTTCGAATTTTTGCAAATAATTTTATTTTTTTATTTTTTTCAATTTTTGATGTCAATTTTTTTTTATTTTTTCCCACTTTTGCCTTTTTTAATTATTTTTTCTCTCAAAAAATGGCTCTTTCTACCCTTCAATTACCAGACCTTTCCTTAATAATCATTTCATATTTTGATTACCAAAAATTTCACAGTCCAAAAAAATAAAATTAAATCCAATCGAGAGAGTTGCGAATGTCCTTTCTCGTGTTTTCCCCTCTCCAAGATTACGGTAGTCTTCTCGGGATGACGCGAGTAATGGGAGACATATGGTTATTAACGGGTCTGGAAGTGGAACGGACTACAGCTTTGGGGGAAATAAAATCTTTTCAGTTGTTGTTAATTTACACGTTCTCCTGGGACGGTCAAGTCTTCCTCTCAACCTTTTTGGGACTTTTAGCCATTTCCTATTACAAGTACTGCCTTTGAGGTGCTCATTAAGCTTTCCAGATGAGGTGCTGTCGAAAACAAGGGGCCATGGCTGGTTGGGTCAAGTGTTTCTCTTGGGGTGGTCAAGTTTTTCTCTCACTTTTTTGGTATTTTTTGACTGCTTCTCCTTACATTTGACCTCTTTGTCACCATTTCCCATTTTTTCAGATTGGGACAAGTCTGTCTCCCTGGGTGGTCAAGTTTTTCCAGCTTTGGGTCAAGTCTTACCCTAAATTTTTCTTGCGATTTTTGGCGATTTTCCCTCACACTTGACTTTTTTTTAACCATTTTCACCCACTTTTTCGGCTGGGTCAAGTCTTCCCTCCTTGGGGTCAAGTCTTTCTTCCGTGGTGTCAAGTCTTTCTCTCACATTTTTTTGTATTTTTTTACCATTTCTCCTTACATTTAACCTCAAAAATAAATCCTTGGTAACTATTTTTCACATTTTTCCCCGCCTCATCCCATGAAAATTGCACGTCAATTCTCTCCAATTTCTCATTCTCCCATTTTTTTCTGGTCGAGCCGATTTATTATTTGTTTATTCCACCGCAAACTTTTCAAATGTTATCCATGTTGTTTATATGCCCCCAAGGTGTAGTTGGGCGCGTTTTGCCATTAGTCAAATGCAGATTAAAGGCCGAGGGGACGGGCCCGGACAGACGGCCCAATTGGGACTTGAAACGGGGCTCGGCTGCGACAATTATTCATCAGACTAATATCGGGGAATTTTATTTTATTTTTAATAATTTTTTCATACTCCATATATTAATTCCTGAAGATTTTAGCTCGCCCTTTGCAGACCGAGAGAACACGCGAAACGCGGAGATCGGTCAGAGAAAAAAGACTTTGTTGGCTATATCTTTGCCAGTTTTGCGGGGAAAAAATTAATTTTTTGTGGAAACATCACTCTCTACAGTAGAAATAAGTATCAAACTTTTCATACTAAAATTCGAAAAAAAATTTCGTATTTTTTCCAACTTTGAACCTAAAAATCTCGGTCATTTCTGCAAAACGCGAGCTAGAGGCTCGTATATGCCATAGAAAAAGATTATTTTAAATTTGTGTCAAGTTTTATGGAAGTCTGAACATTGTACATGTAGCACATGCTAATCATTTTTATTTGTTCTAAAATTTTCAAAAAATTACGATTTAGCCACAATTCGCCTACATCGACGTATTTTACAAACTACATGTATGAAACAAGGGGTCACGCTGCAGCTTGGGTCAAGTCTTTCTCCCGGGGTGGTCAAGTCTTCCTCTCAATATTTTGTGATTTTTAAACGTTTCCGCTTAGAATTACTATCTTTTGAAGTGTTTGCTACTCTCTCCAGATGAGTTACTGTTGAAAACGAGTGCCATGATTGGTCGAGTCAAGTCTTTCCCCCGGGGTGGTCAAGTGTTCCTCTCAATTTTTCGTCATTTTTTATACCGTTTCTCCGTACATTTAACCTCAAAAATATATTGTTTATAACCATTTCACCCATTTTTCAGGTTGGGTCAAGTCTTTCTCCATGTGTGGTCAAGTCTTTCTCTCATTTTTTTTTGGTTTTTTTGAGTATTCCTCCTTACATTTGGCTTCAAAAAAAATTCTTTGTAACCATTTTCACAATTTTTTTCTGCTTTGGTCAAGTCTTTCCACACGGGTGGTCAAGTCTTCCTCTCAATTTTTGTTGTGTTTTTTGACCATTTCTCCTTACATTGCTTTGCCTGTTGGCTGTAAAAACGAAAAACTTTATATGTTAGAAAATTTTTTTAATATTTACTTTTTTTTATTTTTCGCGATTTTTTGAAATTTCAAATTTTTGAAATTTATAAAAAAATATGCAATTTCCAGTGAATCCTCAAAGATTGGCGCGGTTTTATCGCGCTTCCTGGACAAATGTCCGCCACAGCCTTGAATTTCGTTCCGGGCCTGGTGCAGAACGCCACGATCCCGCCGCCCCGACCCCTGGAAGACCATGGCACGGTGCATCAGATGCGGCTCCTCCTCACCATCACTCATCTCCTCCTCGTTTCATTGGGCTCCATCAACTTGTTGGTGGTGTTTGTGATTGCCGTCAAACCATATATGCGCTCCATTACCAATGTTTACATGGTGTCGCTGTGCTTGGCGGACTTTATGTACCTCGCCAATTTGGTCTTGGTGGCGGCCACACAGCTGAACAATAAGAGTTGGCCGTTTGGCCAGTTTTTGTGCACGGTTTATCATGGAACGGAGACTACTGGTAAGGCAATGGGAAAAATGAAAAAAAAATAAATTTTTTATGGAAAAAATTTCAAAAAAAAAAAAATAAAAAAAAATAAAATAAAATAAAATAAAATAAAATAAAATAAAATAAAATAAAATAAAATAAAATAAAATAAAATAAAATAAAATAAAATAAAATAAAATAAAATAAAATAAAATAAAAAATCAAAAAAATCTGAAATTATTATTTTTTTTTTATTTTTTTCGGAAAGGTCATATTCCACAAATCAAGTTCCGGATTCGTATTTTACAAATATTTATTTTTTTTCGAAATTCAGAAAAGAAACTAGGATTTTCTCTCCTTTTTATTACAAAAAAACGTAACACATACGACCCTCAGATTCCCTCTAAATTTTGCACATATTTTTTATATCAGCCACTTATCAATTCCAGAAAATTTTAGCTCGCTCTTTACAGGCACAGCCGAGATATTCAACAACCTTTGTGACCGAGAGACTCCCCGAAACGTGGAGAGCGGTCAGAGAAAACCACTTTTTGGCCATATCTTTGCCAGTTTCACATGAAAAAATTTGATTTTTTGTGGAAATATTACACTCTACGGTAGAAATAGGCACAAAACTTTTTGTGCCAAAATTCGAAAAAAAAGTGTCGCATTTTTTACAACTTTTGATCTAAAAATCTTGGTTATTTCTGCAAATCACAAGCTAGAAGCTCCGTATATGTCATAGAAAAAAAATATTTTAAATCTGTGCCAAGTTTTGTCAAAATTTGAACGTGGCAAATGTAGCACATTTTTTTTAATTTCGAGGCAAAAAAAATACGATTTAACAACAATTCGCCTCCATCGACGTATTTTACAAAAAAACATTTTTATATAATATTATTTTTATTTATTTTTTAATAAAAAATTTTTTCGCCAAAAAATAAAAATAATAAAATCAATTTTTTTTATCATGCTTCTTATGCTCGTATTTTACAATTTTTTTACAAAATTTCTTTTCTAATTCCTTTTATTTCCAGGTAAATACGCCTCAGTAATGTTTGTCGTTCTATTGGCGGCCGATCGTTACTGCGCAATGTGTCGCCCTTCAATTTGCGCGCGCTATCGCAACTACAAAGTGGCCTTGGCCCTGACTTGTCTGGCGTGGACGCTGGCCTTCGCCGCATCTTTTCCGCTCTTCGCCATCGCCGAAGTTGTAATGTTGCGGTTTCGGAGTGTGGAGAATGTGCATAAATTGTGCATTGCCAAGTGGCCAAACTCGGATGCGGCTAGATGGTGAGTGGATTGAAAAAAAAACTTTAAAATAAAAAAGAATTGAAAAAAAAGCTTTATTTTTGAAGACTGCACAGTGCAAAGCATGTAGCATTTTTTACGCTTTGCACTGTGCAGTAATTTCGATGCTTTGCACTGTGCAAGATTTTTGGTACTTCGCACTGTGCAGCATTTTTTACGCTTTGCACTTTGCAGTTATTTCGATGCTTTGCACGGTGCGTCATTTTTGCTATTTTTCACCGTGCAAAATTTTTAGTACTTCGCACTGTGCAACTTTTTTGATCTTTGACATTTTGCACTGTGCGGCTTTTGAAATGCCTTGCACGGTGCATAATCTTTGAGACTTCGCACTGTGCAGTTTTTCGAATGTTTTGCACGGTGCAACTTTTTGGATGCTTTGCACTGTGCAGCATTTTTGTTACTTCGCACTGTGCACCATACTTTGACGCGTTGCACTGTGCAGTTTTTTGAACTTCGACGCTATGCACTGTGCATAATCTTTGACACTTTGCACTGTGCAGTTTTTCGAATGCTTTGCACTGTGCAATCTTCTTGATGTTTTGCACTGTGCAATCTTCTTGATGTTTTGCACTGTGCAATCTTCTTGATGTTTTGCACTGTGCAATCTTCTTGATGTTTTGCACCGTGCAGAATCTTTTAAACTTTGCACTGTGCAGTTTTTCGAATTTTTGGAACTATGCAGGTTCTTGAATGTTTTGCACTGTGCAGAAGCCTTGGCACTTTGCACTGTGCAATTTTCAAATTCTTTGCACTATGCACCCGCGTTTTTTTTTTATTTTTTGAATATCTCGAAAGAACTTTCAAACCGGGCGCTAAAATTTTTTAGAATTGATATTTAGCCTACATCCAACGTTTATACAAGTTTTTTAATACAAAATGCGGAAAAAAAATTTTTTGAAAATTTTCAAAATTTCCCAAATTTTTTTCTAATTCACCTCAAAATTTTCAGGTACATCACCTTCTCCTCGATCCTGATCTTCGCCATTCCCTTAGGGCTCATTATTTTCTTCTACTACCATATCCTGAACAAGCTACGGGCGGCGGTCAAGTCGAACAAGCGAATGCGGCGCTCTTCCAGCTCCCGAGCACCATACCATCGTGTTACGCGGCTCGTATTGTGGGTGGTCATCTTCCATGTGATGTGTTGGTCGCCCTTCTGGACTTTCAACCTGTTCAGCTCGATTTTGCGGCTTCGAATTTCGACGCAATTCGATCGGATCGTCGTCAATGTCATCCACTTGTTCCCCTACATGAATTGCGCTCTGAATCCGCTGGTGTACGCGGTGAATGCGGAGAACTTCCGCCGGGCGTTCCGTTCGCTGTTTTGTGGAGCCAAGACGGCGCACAGCTCGTTGGCGCCGGATGACACGCATTTCCCGGGACATACGACGAATAGACAAACGTAAGGAGGTTTTTGTTAAAAAATGGGGGTTTTGAGGGAAAAACCTTGGTTTAAAATACGAAAACAAATACTAAATAGCCTCTAATATCCTTTACGCATCATATTATTAATTAATTTCACGCAAATTTCGCATTTTTAGGGCATAAAATCCAGAAAATATATCAAAAGTGCCATGGATAATATAATTTTGGTCATAAAACTCCCAGAAATCACAAACGAAAGCCTAATTTTTGCCTTAGCCTTTTCACAACGTCTTCTCCTTGCAGTCTGAGCTGATTCTCCGCTAAAAATCACCTTGCAACAGAATGCCAAGAAACTGCGAAATTTCGCGGGAATTTGAATTTGTGAACTCTGAGCCGTCGAAAACTCGTGGAGATGCTTAAAAATGAGTAGGAATCAAGGAAAAAATAAAAACATAGATATTTTTTCCACTTTTTTTCACGTTTTTAGTAATAAATACGATAGTTGCAGATTGACAAGTGCCTTCAATCACAGTTCCGAGCGTTTGTTGAGCATCCACAGCGGCCAAACGGCGCTCGCGCAACGCTATGCCTCAGCCACAATGCTAAATGGGTCCGTCTTTCTGCCGCATCATGAGAAATCTCCACTGCCCACTCCTCCGACCAAGGTGAGATATTACATACTACTGCAATATAAAAAATCGAAAAAACGAAAAATTTTCAAACAAATTTTGAGTGATATTAAATTTATAACGTTGCAGTGGGCGTTTCTGGTTCAAAAACGTCTGTTTGAAGCCATTTTAAGACTTGCAACAGAACGCCAAAAAAATTTTGAATTTCGCGGGAAATTTGAAGTTTGATTTTTTTAGACTAAAAAAAGTAGAAATTGAGATCTGAGGCGTTAAAATTTAATTTATTTACTGTTTTATTCAAAATAACACCTTGCAAGAGAATGCCAAAAAAATCTTGAATTTGGCGGGAAAATTGAAATTTGGTTTTTTTTAACTAGAAAGACTAGAAATTGAGATCTGAGTTGTTAAAATTTATTTTACACACTATTTTTATTCGAAATCAGCCCTTGCAACAGAATGCCAAGAAATTTTGAATTTGGCGGGAAAATTGAAATTTGATTTTTTTTAGACTAGAAAGACTAGAAATTGAGATCTGAGTTGCTAAAATTTATTCTACACACTATTTTTATTCAAAATCAGCTCTTGCAACAGAATGCCAAAAATTTTTGAATTTGGCGGGAAATTCAAAATTCAATTTTTCAATTTCAGCCCAAAGAGCCGACCGTCCCGGAATGCGACGAACTGCCGGCGGAGCTGCAGGACTGCACAAAGCACTGTTCCGTTGTGCGCTTCGTCAACGAAACCACCGAAGATTTGGTCTTTCCCATCGCCGTTCGCCATCGCCGCGTTTCGTCGATAAATTTGGCGCCCAAAGTGGGCGACTCAACACCAAATGCGCTGTCGCCTACGCATCTGCCTCAAACAAATTCGAATATGTCGCTGAATCGATCGCTGAATGACTCGGGCGACGAGGTTTTTATGTAAAATACGATAGTTTACTGTGGTAAATTTTTGAAGAAAAAATTTTTTTTTGAATATTCAAATTTTATGCAAATTTTTGATTAACCTAAGTACCTATAATTTCAAAAAAAATTTTTTTTGCTTTTTTATTTACCATAGTAAACTGTCGTATTTTTTGAGTGTATAGAAAAATTCATACCGTAATCTTAAGAAATTTACAGTATGAACATAGAAATTACCGCTAGGATCGCTAACTTATTCAAATTTTTGTGCCATTTTTTGTTTTTTTTTAATCTTTTTACCGAGTGAATTCGATTATCCGGGTATTTGAAACGGTCTTTGAGTAATAATAAACATTTATTTACAATGAATCGGAGTTTAATTTGTTGATAATTGGGATAAGGGAGAATAAATCCGTTAATTTTGAGGAAAAATCAATTTTTTCATCAAAAAATGCCAACAAATCAGCATTTTTTAGAATAAAAAGGTGTAAAATATTGGAAAAATCTCTGAAAATCCAAAGAAAATTTTGATTTGGAAAAAATTTTAGAAAAAATTTAAAAAAATGAATACTTTTAAATTTTTTTTTCAAAAAATCTCATTGATTTCTGCAAAGCACGAGCAAAATTTTCTCACACATCTTATTTGTAGCTACTCTTTTTGACAAGTTCGTAGACTTTTTTTCGCCGCGCACAGTGCAATGTGCCTATCGGTCTGTCGGGAAAAAAACGGCGGATGTTCGCTCCTCGTAGTCGCTCATCATCGCTTTGCGATGCAAGCCGCTGCTTGGGATTTGGTGCGCGATAGCGGCGAGGCGAGACATTTTGCTGCGACGATCCGCCGTTATTTTCCCGACAGACTGATATTTTTTCGCACGGTGCGGGCTTTTCGAACATTTCGCACTGTGCATTTTTTTCCAATTTACTCATCGCGCGAAATCGTTGGGGAAATGTCGCGACAAGTTGCAGCGACATAAAAATGACTTTTGTCGCGCGATATTTCGGTTGCACGGTGCAAATTGAGGTCTTTTGCACCGTGCAAAAAATGAGGTTTTTTTTGCACGGTGCGGTCCGATGAAAAACTAATTTTTTTGCACCGTGCAGACGAAATTTTCTTAATTTTCTGCACAGTGCAATTAAAAAAACAATTCTTGCACAGTGCGGTAAAAAAATTTGATTTTCGTACGGTGCAGACGGGAAAAAATCAAAGAAAAAAATTGTCCAAAAGAGTCTATGCACTTTTAAAAAAGCATAGTAAAATAGCAAATAACGCACTAAATTTTTCCCAAATTTGATCAAAACCAATCAAAAATATATTTTTCCAAAGAATGGATACTTTATGAGTCATTTCGAAAGCACTTCCCGGAATCGCCCACTCCAGCCTCCCGCAACAATTCAGCGGCTCGCCGGCGGAGTTACGTGACTCTTAATTTCCGTACCGGTGGGATCGCCGAACGGATCTTCCTCCTCCTCCTTTCTCCTCATTTATTTTCTTTTCTTTGCAAAGAAACTCCGGGCTAATTACGGGCGGAAAGAGGGGATCATCATCAATGGAGGAGATGCACGCTCTCTTTCTTTGTTTCACAAATCTGGAGTAGTGTGCTATGGGGCCTTGTTTGGTGATCTTTGAAGAGCAATGAGTCCTTTTGCTACGGAAACAATGATTTTCGGATTTACCGGACCTTATAATTGCCCGTATTTTGCGTATTTTTCGTATTGGATACGGTAGAAAAGAGGAGCAAAAAATGAAAAATGACTGTTCAGTCTCCAACTCACGTTTTCTTTAGATTTTTTACGTTTTTCGTCCATAATTTACACTGTAATTTCATAAAATACGTTTTTATTCCCTAAATTATATTTCTCGTCGATAAATGCCCTGAGGGGATCGCTAGAAAAGAAAAATTTCTCTGATTTGTTATAAAAGTCATCATCAAGCCGAATTCGAAAGGATAAACCAGTAAAAATGTTTTTTCTCTTACCGCTCTCCGTATTTCCCATACTCTCTCGTAAGCAAAGATCGTTGAATATCTCGGTTGCAGCAATACAAAACAACTTAATATTTTCAGTGTTTGATTTATGGCTTAGATAGAGCACATTTACCAAGTTTAAAAAAAATTCCACGATTGTGCTTTGAGATATATCCAGTTGTATAAATTTACGTTTTTTGTCCATAATTTACGTTTGCGATGCATAATTTACGTTTTTCTTCCATAAATAAAAAGAACACACCTTGAATATATAGTACATACTCTTGGACAATCTATTTTTCTGTAAAAATTATCTTTTTCAAACACTTTTTTACCCAGCTATACCTACTACAATATTACACTAGAAAATTCGCCCCCAAAAAAGTGCCAAAATCCCCTCAGTTCCGCCATAGTTGCTTCTGTTGATTTATTTTACGCTGATAAGCGGATGTTCGTTTGTTTTTCCAACTTGTTAAAACGTCGATTATATCGCGCAATGGGATTTCCGCCGACGAGCCGAAAACTGGCTCCTCCTCGGCGTTTCGAACCGCCGCGCCAGGCAGATGAACAACGCGGGCGGAGCCGCTGAGAAGTCTCCTTCAGCCACTTCAACGTAAACATTGGATCACGGCTATTTTGGGGGGTGAATTGGGGAGGTGTAATAGATGACCTAAAGTAATATCGGAAGTAATATTTTTGGATAAAGTAAGGATTTTTTGTTTTCTAGGCCGTATTTTAGGCTCTGAAATTGATTTTTGAGGCAGTTAGCATCTTTTATTTGAGAGATTTACCTTGTTTGAGATTAAAAAAAATAGCCATAATGACCTAAAGTAATATCGGAAATATATGTTTTTGGATGAATCAGGGCATTCTTTGGATTAAAAATCGTATTTGAGGGCCTGAAATTAAGCTTTGAAGCATTTGGCACCATTTATTTCAGGGTTTGACCTTATTTTAGATAAAAAAAATAACTATGATGACCTAAAGTAATATCGGAAATATGTAGGTATTTTTGGATGAACTAAAGCTTTGTTTGCTTTCTAAATCGTATTTTAGGCCCTGAGATTTAACTTGAACACAGCTGCAACTCAACAAAGACATTTTTTGGCCTCGTTTCAGGCCAAGAACAGGTATGATGACCTAAAGTAATATCGGAAATAAATATTTTTGGATGAATTAAGGGATTTCCGCTTTTAAAATCGTATTTCAGGCCCTGAAATTAATTTTTGAGGCATTTAGTATCCTTTATTTGAGAGTCTGACCTTCTTTTAGATAAAAAAAAATATTCATGATGACCTAAAGTAATATCGGAAATATGTAGGTATTTTTGGATGAACTAAAGCTTTGTTTGCTTTCTAAATCGTATTTTAGGCCCTGAGATTTAACTTGAACACAGCTGCAACTCAACAAAGACATTTTTTGGCCTCGTTTCAGGCAAAGAACAGGTATGATGACCTAAAGTAATATCGGAAATAGATGTTTTTCGATGAATTGTGGACCTTTTTGCTTTTCTAGCCGTATTTTAGGCGCTGAAATTATTTTTCGAAGCATATAGAATCCTTTATTTGAGAGTCTGACCTTATTTTAGACCAAAAATAACCATGATGACCTAAAGTAATATCAGAAAAAGGTATTTTTAGGTAAATTATAAATTTTTTGCGTTTCAAATTATATTTTAAGCCCTGAAATAAACTCATTTTACTGCAAATGCCAGCCATCAAAATACTAGTATTTCCAGAAAAAGTAATAATATTTTCTCACTTTTCCCGATCTTCTCCAAAGCCGTTGATAATCCCTCCCTTTTTTTGGTTGCGCAATACGATTTTTCGACGTCGATGAAACCAGTTGACTCGCCCAGTAACCAACTTTTATTTTTTTTTCTACTATGCTTATCTCTTCGAAAATTGTTTTATTGCAAAGGAAAAGAGAAATGTTTTTTAAACGCACAGTGCTGAAAAGAAAAAGTTTTTTTTGATTGCACAGTGCGGAAAATTATCGTTTCGTAGGTTTGCACTGTGCAATGAAAAAAAACTTGGTTTGCACAGTGCAAAAAAATCTTTTTTTATTTTTGCACCGTGCAGAGAAAAAGGTGAAATTTTTGATTGCACAGTGCAAAAAAAAAAATAAAGTTTATTTGCACTGTGCGGGGGAAAGAAAAAATGTCTTTCGATTGCACGGTGCGGAAAATTATCGTTTCGTAGGTTTGCACTGTGCAATGAGAAAAAACTTGGTCTGCACAGTGCGAAAAAATTATGCTTATTTTTGCACCGTGCAGAGAAAAAGGTAAAATTTTTGATTGCACAGTGTAAAAAAAATAAAGTTTATTTGCACTGTGCGGGGGAAAAAAGAAATCTTTTTTATTCGCACAGTGCAAAAAAATATTTTTTTATTTTTGCACTGTGCAATGAAAAAAAAACTTGGTCTGCACAGTGCAAAAAAATTCTTTTTTATTTTTGCACCGTGCAGGAAAAAAAGTAAAAATTTTTGATTGCACAGTGCAAAAACAATAAAACTTTATTTGCACTGTGCGGGGGAAAAAAGAAATCTTTTTTATTCGCACAGTGCGGAAAATTATTGTTTCGTAGTTTTGCACTGTGCAATGAGAAAAGTCTTGGTCCGCACAGTGCGAAAAAATTTATTTTTATTTTTGCACCGTGCAGAGAAAAAGAAAAATGCTTTTTGATTTCACTGTGCGGGAAAATAATTTTTAGCGGTTTTGCACTGTGCGGACAATCAGAAAAATCTTGATCTGCACAGTGCGAAAAAATATATTTTTCGTTTTTGCACCGTGCAGGAAAAAAAGAAAAATTTTTGATTGCACAGTGCAAAAAAATGAAAATTCGTTGCACCGTGCGGAGGAAAGGAAAAACGTCGCACAGTGCGGAAAAATTTTTTTTTTCAGTGTATGGTTGCACGGTGCGGACAATAAAAAATGAACTTGCACAGTGCAAAACAAAAAAACAAAAATTTTGACTGCACTGTGCAAAAGAAAAAAATGAAAATTCTTTGCACCGTGCGGATTTTTTGATTACATTTTTTGCAAGCTTTGTTAAAATATGGGACAAAAATTTAAAAAAATCCTTGGGCTAAAAGAAAAATTTTCCGGGGTAAAAAAATGTAAAATACGATATATCAAACTTTAAAAAAATAATCTTTTTTTTTTTAAATTCAGTCAAAAGGATTACTGTTGCTGCTAATTGAGTGGTCTCTCGCGGCAAGAGATCGCCCCTTCCGATGGCATGACTTCGAAAAATCGCTAAATGAAACCAGTTCCAAAATCTCAATTGTTTTTTTTTTCACTTTTTTTCAAATTCTTTTTGGAAGATTTGAGTGAAAAGGAGAGGATCTTTTCTCACACTGCGGGGGAATTGACGACTAGGATCAGTGTTTTCGGATTGATCCGAGCAAAGAATACGTCATTCCACGTTATTCTCTAGTATAAATCAAAAAAAAAATTTTTTTATTTTTTTGAAATTGCAAAAAATCTCGATTTTCAAAAACTTAGCATTTTTTAAATCACTTTTTTCATAATAAAATATTTAATTAAGCCGTAAATTTTAATTTACGACCTTATTTTAGTCAAAAAAATGCAAAATTATAAGGTTTTCCGCCAATTTTCGTCCAAAAAATCTCAAATTTGATCTTTTTTTGATACTTAAATTTGATTTTTAACTATTTTATGTCAATTTACATTGATTTTCCGCTTTACTTTTAAATTTAAGGAAGCTTTCTTTAATCTCCGTATTTTACAATTTTTAAAACTTTAAAAAATTTTTTTTCAGAATGCTCCGGTTGATAGCTTTATCACTACTACTGTTAACAGTTCAAGGCCAAGAAGAGGCCCGGAGAGTCCTCTACGGACTTCCACCTCTACCTGACGACCGTAAGTCTTGGAATTTTTGGCATTTTTAGTATTCTCGATCAAAAAATAGTCATGGATAATATAAAATTTTGCGAAATAACCGGCAGAAACGCCTGATTCATTTTCTAAAAGGCCTTAAAATTTACTTCACCATCAAAAAAATGATGTAAACTATATTTTACAACCTTTTAGTGCCTTGCAACACAATGCCAAAAAATGGCGGGAAATTGATTTTTTTGAATTTTTAAATATAGTTTTAGTGTAAAGTATGGCCATAGACGAAGTTGTGTTCATATTTGACCTTGATTTAGCCATTTCCCGGCCTTGCAACACAATGCCAAAAATGGCGGGAAATTTCAATTTTTAAATTTTAAGCCGATAATTGATATGTAATATGCTTAGAAAAATATTCGCGAATAGGTAGTCGATTTTCTTAAAGCGTATTTTACCCTAATTAGCAATTTCCCGGCCTTGCAACACAATGCCAAAAATGGCGGGAATTTAAATTTTTTGATATTAAATCGGATTTTTGCTCTCTATAGTTTCTTTGCATCAAATTTAGGAGCTCTAAACAAATATTTATAGAAATTTTGCGTATTTTACTCTATTTTCTCCCAAAAAAATCGCAAAAATATTATTTTTTCAGCCACCACAACTCACGCTCCCCCTCCGTCAATCCGGCCGCGGATTTTCCGTTTCGGCCCATTGATTCATCCAGTGATCCATCATCCCCCAATCCCACCACCAGCCCCTCCACACCATCATCCTTTGCATTTGGCGTTGCCAGCTTTGGGCAATCCATTCGATAACTACTACAATATAAATCCCATTCCTGAGCTTCCACCTCGCCCCGAGAACAAACTAAATGGATTCTATGACTTGGATGGGAACTTTGTGCCCTATGGAAATGAGGCGGTAGGTTTTTTGGGGACAAAAAATTCAAATTTTCGTTTTCCCGCCAACCTTGGCATTGTGTTCTAAGGGTTGCTAGATGTTATGGAACTTTATAAAGTTTATAATGTGTTACTACGGCGTATTTTACAAATCATATAATTCAATTTTATCAAATTTTTGGTCATTTGGAAAAACTTATATTATCCATGACATTTATTTATAATTTTTCAAAACAAGACACAATTTTATTCTATGAAAAGGTTCAAAATATATTACATGATTGCTTCAGACAACCATTTATCGCTTTACCTTGTCTAATTTGCATATCTAAAATTCTACAAACAACTTTCATCGTATAAGATGTCCTAAACAGTACAAAGGCTCCGAAAATATCCACTTTTATCTGAATAATAGTTTTTGGCACTTTTCATGTCTTACCACAGCCTTTGGCGTTATTTAAACCGCTTGTTGCATAATGCCAAAGCTTTCAGGTTTTCGCTGTGGAACCCAAATTTAAATTTTAAAACGCCGTATTTTTATAGTAAGATAATTTAAAAAGCCTCTAACCAGTTAAGCGTATAATAAAGAAATTCCAAATTTTTAAAATACGGTTTTTGATACCATAAATTTATAAAACATCTGATATTACCCTTGATTTCAGAACCTCCAATCCGAATCCTCCGGCCACTCCCGTCCGAAACGCGCTCCCATGACCGAAGAAGACCTCAGACGGAGACTTTTGGAGGAGGAATACGCTTACGATGATGAACTGAGCGAGCCAAAAATCCAGAATGTTGGAACCACCCGCATTCCCTCCAAAAGTGCCGCCAAAAATGGGAAACAACTGCAAAGAGCGAGACATATGGTGTCGCATGATACAGAAAATCCAAGTAAAGACTTTTGCTGATATTTTGAGAGATTTTGGGTTTATTGCCTGAGGGGATTTCCAATTTTTGGGTATTTTTTAGGATTTTTTTGCCAAAAAAGTCAAAAAAATTTGCAAACTGAGAAAACTTTATCTTTTTTTGCAAAATTCTGGGGTCTCTTGAACTTTTTCACCACAAAAATAACAAAAAAAAAACATAAAATACTCGAAACCCATTAAATTCCTCTTATTTTCTCAATTTCAGCTCCATCAAAAGCCAACTTGGCGCCGAAACGGCCAAGAAAGCAAGGAGTGATCAACCATAATCCCACTACAACTACCAAAAAACCAGTCAGCGTTCATCCCAGATTCATTCCACACCCACCAAAAGCCCGAAGACCCTCTCAAAAACCGAAACAGGTCCTAACTCCAGCTTATCAGCAGCAGAATCAGCAGCAAGTGCAGCCAGCATTTTACCCCAGCAACCAATATTCTCAAGCGGTAAGGGTTATTGGAAATCTTTACAGAGTTTTTTATTTTTTTCGATGCACAGTGCAGTTTTTTGACGTTCGATTTTTTTGCACCGTGCATTGCGTAAGAGGAATTTTTATCGCACTGTGCAAAAAATGCTGACTAAAATATTGCACTGTGCAGAAAAAAATGAATTATTTTTTCCGACCAGTTGAACTTTTTTTCCAACTTTTTTCTGCACCGTGCAAAAAAATTAAACCTAGCGTTTTTACCGCACTGTGAAAAAAATATTTGCAAAATTTGTACTATGCGAAAAATTAAGAAAATTTCGTCTGCACAGTGCAAATTTTTTGATTCTTTCTTGTCGGAAATGTGCAAAATTTAAGCCTAGCTTTATTTATCGCACCGTGCAAAAATTATTTTTATTGCACTGTGCGAAAAACTAAGAAAAAACCATCTGCACAGTGAAATTTTTTGACTTTTCCTGTCTGCACCGTGCAAAAATTCAGCCTAATTTTTGAATCGCACTGTGCAAAAATTATTTTAATTGCACTGTCCGAATAATTGGAAAAAAGCCTAATTTACCATCTGCACGGTGCAAATTTTTAAGATTTTCCCGTCCGCACCGTGCAAAAATTAAACCTAGCTGTTTTATCGCACTGTGCAAAAACTATTTGTAAATTGCACTGTGCAAACCAAAAAAAATTCAAAAATATATTTCTCAAATAATAGTCGAAAAAATTTCAGCCCCAACCCGCCCAATTCCGCCAATATTACCAGCCGCTGCCTCCAGTCCAGCACGCGGCTCCCAGTTTGCAACGGCCAGTGGTGGCCGAGAACCGCGATCCTCAAGTTGTGGCCTACTTGAAGGACGTGGAGGACTACGACTGGGACTTCAAAGGCGAAAGACCCGATTTGCTGAAGCTGGCGGGTCAAGACGCGAAGGCGACCACTCCCGAGACGCTCGTTCCGTTGAATGGGAAGAGCGACCGAGCGCTGGTCGCCACAACTTTGGCTCCATACTCGCCCGCCACGTTCCCAACGGCGCGATATGGGCCTGGGGCGTCGACCAGTTTGCCGGCCGCCGGAATTCAAAGCCCTCCGGGTAAGAAATGGGGGATTTTTGAAGATTTTTGCCTAGTGTAATATAATTTTTGATAGGGAAAATTTGAATCTCAGAGGTTGATGAAACTTGACAAAAGTTTAGATTTGAATTTTCCAAGACATATGAGAGATTTTGAGCTCGAGATTTGAAGAAATCATTGAAATTTTTAGATCGAAAAATCCCGGAAAATAATTTTTCGATCTAAAAATTTCGATGATTCCTTAAAATCGTAAGCCAAAAATCTGGCATATGTCTTAGAAAATTCAAATCTAAATTTTCCCCAAGTTTCTTCAATCTCTGAGATTCAAATTTTCCCTATCAAAAATTATATTACACTAGGCAAAAATCATCAAATTTCCTTTTGCAAACTGCATTTTCAATTCAAAAAATTTTCAGCGTTCACTCCAGCGCCTCAACATGATATTTTGGGGCTGTTTGGAGGTACCCCGCATCCACTACTTTCTGGATTTGGGCAAATTTTGAATGGCTTCCAAGGGCTTGGAGGCCGATGAGCTACCATTTAACAATATTTTTGGTGCAATAATCTATTTGTATATAACTGTTCAATCGCTTTTAACGCTATACTGTTAAAAATAAAATTTTTTTGAAAAAAAATTTTTTTTGAAAAAAAAAATGTTTGTTCCCGTATTTTACCCAAAAAAATCGCTAAATTTTCCAATTTTTAAATTTAAAACTCGTTATTTATACAAAATAAGGCTAGATTAGGTTACTGTACATAAAAAAGGACCCATTAAATTGTGAGTTATTCGAGGATTTCAAAATTATCATCGCTATCAAAGCCCGGATCTGCGAAATCCTCGTAATCCACCACTGGAATGGGATCCGACGCGCCTTGATATGGAATAAATTTGGGCCAGTTGGCCGGTCGTTCGTCTAGGATCTCCAGGATTGGCGGAGTGGACGCGGGGAGGACACAATTCTGGAAATTTTATGTTATCCATGAGGGAAAAAGTTGATAAAAAATTGAAAAAAAGGCTTCGCAAAATTAAAATTCATGATAAATATTTAATTTTCAGCCCATTACACGTTTAGACACACCTAAAATCGATCATTACTCGAAATTTTTTGACATCAATTATATTATCCATGACAAAAAAAGGTGTCAAAATTGGCAAAAAATCTTTCTCAAAGTATAAAAAATAGCTCGACAACACTATAGAAAACTTGAACCATCAAATTTAAGGCTCATTTTCACAAAATTTTTGACATCAATTATATTATCCATGACAAAAAAAGGTGTCAAGATTGTCACAAAATCCTTCTCAAAGCAAGGAAACCCCCTAAAACACCTTATAAAACCTTCACAACAAATTTTACCTCCATTTTCACAAAATTTTTGTCATCAATTATATTATCCATGACAAAAAAGGAGTCAAAATCGTCAAAAAAATCATTCTCAAAGTATAAAAAATAGCTCGACAACACCGTAGAAAACCTTAATCATCAACTTTAAGTCTCATTTTCACAAAATTTTTGGCATCAATTATATTATCCATGACAAAAAAGGTGTGAAAATTGGCGAAAAATCTAACTCAAAGTAAGAAAAACCCCCTAAAACACCTCATAAAACCCTAACCACCAAATATTAGTTCCATTTTCACATAATTTTTGATCAATATTACACTTGCCTTCAAGCTTTCAATTAGGTCATTAAAGTCGTCCAGACACGTGCAAATGAATCCTAATGCCAAACTCGGATCAAGAGAGTCAAAATGCATGTAAAGCAAGTCATCGCAATGGAATGTGGAGTCATCAAATTGGTCTTTTTCGACTGCATCATCAATTTCCTGATATTTTAGGGCTTTCTCGTGTTCCAAAGGCTCGCAATCCCCGCCGGACCCGCTTGGACTACCCGTTTCTTCTTCTTCATCATTTTTTACAACCTTTTCTTCTGCTACCTCTTCTTTTTCATCTACATTTTCCTCCGTTTTTTCCACTTTTTTCTCCGGAACCTCCTCTTTTTCCACAGTATTTTCCTTCTTACTGCTGTCATTTGAGTTCGAGTTTTCTTCGATTTCCAGGTCCTCAATGTCTTCTTGAGTCGCCAGGACCTCCGGTTCATCATCGTCATACTTTGCCGGGCCTAAAATACGAAATCAAAAAATGCATAAAATTTAACGTTTTTTGTCCATAAATTCTCAAATTTTCGAGAAAATCCAAAATTTTCATATTCTAATCGACCGCTGATGGCGCAAAATTCAAAATCCCGTAAAAACATTCCAGATTTTCTCACGTTTTTCCTCCATAATTACGCTTTGCATAAAATTTCACGTTTTTCTCCATACACGATCAAATTTACGGCAAAATCAAATTTTTTTTTGTCAGGCATTCAAAAATCGCTTTACCATTTCATTTCCGACCTAATTTATTAAAAACTTTCACGTTTTCCATCCATAATCAAAAATTTTTCCTCAAAATTCACGTTTTCTCTCCCTAAACCCCCCAAATTCCAAACTTTTCCACAAATTTCCTCTAAAAAATCGCCCTACCCTCCTGCAAATCCTCATTCCTCAGCTCGACCATGTCCTCCACCGGGCTGGACGAGGGTTTTGCGTCCAAATCGACGGTTCGTTGAGCTGTGTGCGGGTCCAGGTAGTACAATTCCTCTCCACTGAAGCCAATGAAATACACGGCGTGATTCGGGCGTCCACCCACGATTCCGCAGCATTGTGGGAGTTTGAAGAAGGCTTGGAGCGATGGTAGGTAGGCGCGGTTTATCGTTGTGAGACCCAATCTCAATGGCACTAAAATAAGTACTGGCCGAAAGTTTGAGGGCTCGTTTGTGGGTGAATCCGAGGGTTTATGGCGTTTCTCTTCGTCGGGGGCTGTCTGAAATTTCATTTTCTATGATTCGGGAAAAAATCCGATCAATTTTCGACCATTTTCCCAAAGTTATGGATAAAAACGTCAAAATTTATGAATTTCATAAATTTTAACGTTTTTGATCGCTAAAAAAAACAAAATTAATTTTCCAGTAGTCTTTTTCCATCGCTAGACGCCCAAAAATCCTAAAAATTTTTACTTTTGCCACTAAAAAAGTCAAAATTAAAATTTACGTTTTTGATGCCTAAATCAACAAAAAAAAAATGACTGTTTTGACGTTCTACTGCCCCAAAATTTTCCACGAGTTCCCAATCTTCATTTTCCAGCCCTAAACACGTCATAAACCAGACCAAAAACTAAAAACTTCCTTAAAATTTCAAAAATTCTCAACTTTTTACGTTTTTTCTCCCTAAATCATCAAAAAAGTGACTACTTTAACTTTCCACTGGTCTAAAATTTCCCATAAATACCATTTCTTCATTTTCCAGCCCAAAATACGTCATAAACCAGATAAAAAATCAAAAACTTCTCTAGAATTTCAAAAACCCCCCAATTTTTTACGTTTTTTCTCCCTAAACCATCAAAAAAGTGACTACTTTAACTTTCCACTGCTCCAAAATTTTCCACAAATTCCCAATCTTCATTTTCAGGCTCAAAAACTTCATAAACCAGACCAAAAATCAAAAACTTCTCAAAAACTTCAAAAACTCCCAACTTTTCACGTTTTTTCTCCCTAAATCCCTCAAAATCCCTCTAAAAAAGTCATTATTTGATTTTCTACTGCCCCAAAATTTTCCACAAATCTCCATTCTTCATTTTCAAGCTCAAAACTCATCATAAACTAGATAAAAAATCAAAAACTTCTCTAAAATTTCAAAAACCCCAAATTTTTCACGTTTTTTCTCCCTAAATCCCTCAAATTCCCTCTAAAACTCCAATTTTTCCTTTGCAAATCTCCTCAAATCTCTGTTCAAACGCACCACATCTTTATACGGGGTCGCAGCGAGGGTTTTGATATCGCTGGCGATCATTAAGTTGTCCATGGCGACATGAACCACCAGCTGGGACCAGTCGTCGTAGATGGCCAACTTCTTGAGGCACTGCGCGATCGTGTTGGGGCCGAACCATTCGCACATGCGTTTCCCTTCGCTGACGCCCATCTGGGCGATCTGTTGGATGGAAAAAAGCGACGTTCTCTTGTCCTGGAACATGCGCACGGTGCGGCGATAATTGGGGTCCGTGGAATTGGGGCTCCACTCCCATCCACGGCCCACATGGACCGTTTTTAGGGCCTCGGCCATCAGCATTTGGCCACAGCGGAGCATGCAGCCCCATCCTTTGTCCGAAGTGGGGCCATCACCACCTGAACAATGCAATTTTATAATAATTTTGAGAAAAATTTGATAAAATACGCAAAATCAAGTATCCGAATTAAATAAATTTTATATATCCCACATTAAAAATTATTTTCAAGACATAAAAATTCAAAATTTGTCGAAAAATCACTTAAAATTGACTCAAAAAATCAATTTTTCATACTGTTGGCTACTACAATATAATTTTTTTGTGTCGAATCTGTCCTTCGCCACAATCAAAATTACTCTTCGTTATAAACAAAAACATTGAGACCTCAAACCAACCCCTAAAAACCCGTCAAAATCCAAAAAATTGGATTTCTTGCCTACTACAATATAATTTTTCTTTCAAAAATGCCCAACTCTCATTTCACAATGCTCAAAACACTTGATTTTTTAAAAAAAGCTAAACCACTGCCAAAATTCATAAAAACCACAAGAAAATCCAAGAATTTCTCATTTTTGCCTACTACAATATAATTTTTCCCCCAAAACTCATCCAAATACCCCCAATCTTCTGAATCTGCCCCATTACACCTCCAAACTCACCAATTGCGGGGAAATTTGTCCTGTAAGTGAACCAGCACAGTGCCTTGGCGGCTTTTTTGATCTCCTCTTTGTCGCTGCTGCAGTAGCATCTGCCCATCAGGTACGTGTACTCATCGAACTTTGGCGTTCTGAAGGCATTAATCTCGACAAAGCTGGACAAATCCATGACTAGTTTCGAGGCGTAGACGAGATTTCGGACCTTCTCGCAGACGCCGGGAGCACGGTATTTCAGGTGTTCGGGGACGGGCCGATATCGAGGTAGGGGCATGAACTGGCGCTCGGCAGTCACAGTAATCGCATTTCAGGGCTATTTACATGCATAGGAGGTCAGATCTTGTAAGAAATTGAAGATTTGGCTGAAAATTTATATTACACTAGGCACCAAGAGTAAAAAGGTCCAAAAAATCGTAAAAATCGCAATTACAAAAACAAAAAAAAGTAGTATCTCACTCATGGAGGTATTTACCATGATCTGAACATCATTTCCAACACCTTTCAACACTATTTAATTACAAATAACACAACAAAAAATTAATATTAACAACTGCAAAAAATCCTCAAATTTTGCAAATTTTTCTCTCGGAACTGTCCCAATCCTCGGCTGACATCTCAATTCATCATTTCAATGCGCAGCAACGCTATTCTAGCGGCTTCAATTAGGTTTTTATTCTGTTTCTCTTTCATATACACCTTGAGGGTGGTCTGGAGCCTTTTTGGGTCGATTTTGGCGTTGATACAGTAAGATGGCCAGCTGCAATTGATATCATTATCATCTACAGACTTTGTGCTTTCAAACTAGACCACATTTAAGCAAGTAATCCATTCAAAAAGTCTCAAAAAATCCATTTCTTACCACTCAATCGCCGTTTTTTGGAGCTTGAAGAGAGAACTTTGTTCATAAACCATTCCAGTGTTCATGGACCGGTCCGAAACTTTTACCATAAACTTTTCAAGGTCTTCTTCAATATCATCGCGTATTTTGAGGTGCATAAAAGTTTCGCCAACCTCCGTCATCACCTCCAAAGTTTTGAGTTCCGCGGCCAAAATCAAAAAATCCTCTTTCGAAGTTTCAAGCTTCTTTTCCCGGAGGGCACGACGCATGGATATGCTCATTGGGACAAAGTTTTGATGGAGCATGGGGAGGAGTTGGTCCGGGCAATGGCGCATGATTCGGAAGCCGGTTTGGAGGATCTCCATGAGGATCAGTTTGGGGTAGGCGAACTCGCAATGATGAAGGTGTTGGGTCCTGAAATACGAAATCAATTTACCTAAAATTTACCCACTATCCTCTGCAGAGTCTTTTCACATCCTATTTTACCAATTTTCATCAAAAAATTGAAAGAAAACTCAAAAACTTTTAAAAAATCATCTTGGAGTAGATAACTTTCCCTTGAAAAAGATTTTTGAGTTTTAAAATACGCCGTAAACAATATCTTATCCATTTAGCCTTCGTCTATGAAGCTTTTCGCACTCTAGTTCACCAATTACCATTCAAAAATATAAAGAAACTTTCAAAAATTAAACGTTTGCTAACGAAGGAAGATTATACTGATAGCGTTTTGGGTCCCAAAACACACCATAAATGTCTCCACATTCTAAATATTCCTATTATTATTGCTTTTCACACCCTAATCTCCCTTATTCCTTCAAAAGATTTGTAAAAATTGAGCAAAATTTTTAAAAAATCTCAAAAATAATTTTGGGACATCAAGCATGTCATGATGAAGGTTTTTGATCCCAGAATACCCCATAAATTACCAAAAAGTCCATTCAATCCCACCCTCCATACTTTTCACATTCTAATCTACCCTATTCCAGAAAAAAATTTCCAAAATCCAAAGAAAATCTCACGAAAATCGCAAAAATAATTTTGGGACATCAAATATGTCATGATGAAGGTTTTTGATCCCAGAATACCCTATAAATCACCAAAAGCTACATTCAATCCAACTCTCCACACATTTTCACACCCCAGTCTACCTTATTCCACCAAAAAACTTTAAAAAACCCAACAAAAATCGCCAAAAACCTCAAAAATCATTAAAAATCCCCTTAAAACTCTCTTCCTCACTTCATAATAACTCTGTAAGCACAGTCCACCGGCCATGGTGCATCCCTTTCGTCGTCTCTTATCTTCTCCATGGCCATCACTTCCTTTTCCGTTTTCATTCGTTCTTTTTCAAACTTTTCTCGAATTTTTTCCAATCTTCTCCATGAACTTTGCTCCTCATTGGAAAAATCGTCTTCCTCCTCTGATTCCTCGTCTGAATCTTGAACTTTTTCTTGCAAATCAGCTTCATCTGGGTGTGTCTCAATTTCCAAGACTTCAATTTTTTCCATTTTCGGCTCGCCAAACCACTTATGGAGGCATTTTAGGAAGGATAACATGGCTTTCAGGCATGGGATCAGTTTCAACTGAAATTTTTAAAAAATTTTTCAAATTTATATCAAAATCTCAACTTACATTGTCATTCTGATCAATTCCTTGAAGCAAACTCGGCATTATTAGTCGTAATTGTTCAAATTTTTCGCGCCCATAGCCTCGATCGAGCATTTCGGACAAAACAAACGGGGAATTTGGGAATTTCTTCAAATTTTGACATTGTTCCGCCACTTTGAACACAACCTTGTCCACATTCTCGGCTATCAATTGATCAATCGTCATGTTTTGGACCTAAAAACCAAAAAAAATTCAAAAATTTTACCTACTACAATATAAAAAAAATTTCAAAATCGTCAACAAACCTTTGCCAATGTCTCCAAACTGCGTCTAGCCGCTGTTGAGACCGTCAAATTAATCGAGGACATGAATTTAAGCAGACAATACAACAAATCGACCGCAAATTTGTGAAATCTTGATGTTTTCGTGCTCAACAAGGCTGAAGAGTGTCCGAGAATGGTCAATAATGTGGAACAATACACTGATTCTGACGTGTTTTCACTATGGAAGTCTGAAAATACCAAAAATTTCAAAAAAATTATATTATCCATGACAAATTTTTGTCAAAAAAAGTTCAAAACTGATATTCTTACCCATTGGTTTGTGATTTCCCACCATGAAATCAACGTTTCCAACTCGATCGAGCTCCGTCAGGCACATTTTTCCATTGTTTATGACAAATTCTTCAAAATTTTTGTCCAATTTGATCTTATTTGTTTCATAAGCCATTTTGACCAAGTAATTCATTACCACAAATGCTCCTATTTTACTTTTTACTTCATTATCTTGCCCTTCAACATAATTCCGGAGGCTGACAAAGGTTTTCTAGACAAAAATTATATTATCCATGACACCTACTCTGAAAAATCCAATTTTGACCAATGATTCAGCGATTTTCCCGAGACATTTGCTATCCAAACATCCGGAGAGTGGAGTAGAACTTGTAAATGTGCCAAAAGTTTGACTGGTTTCACTTATTTCCACTCTTTTTGTATCAATTTTTACGTTCTTCACCAATACCAATCGAAGTTTCCTTGATAAATTCGATTTTTTCGTGCGTTCTTTGATGAAAATAGCCTTCGCATTCGATGAATCGAGTAATGACATCGTATTTCCCAACTAAACATCGAATAAAAAGAGGAAAATACTTACCACAACAAAAAGATCTGCCGATTTCAGCGATTCCTTTAAAATTCCATCGACAGAACTCTCTATAAACCTTTTACAGAGAACCTGGAAGCTCTGTGGGTCCTTGGATTTAATTTGTGAGATCAAATTTTGCGATTTCATTCGGATTCTGAAAAAAATTATATTGTAGTAGACAAAAGATCAAAATTTAAATCAAAACTCAACAGAACCAACAAAATTTCTCTCCCATTACCTTTCCCACTCACTCTCCATGTAAAACAAAGCCAATCTAAACTTTGTTTCGTCAAAATCCGTGTTCTCCAAGCATTTTGAGCAGCTCTTATTGATGTCAAGTACAAGGTCAAGTAATGCCTCCTGATCCCGCTCATTTTTACTCCGAGCCAATGTGGAGACAACAAATTTGATCTAAAAACCAAATTCACAAAAAATAAAGCCACCAGCAGGATAAAATTTATATTATCCATGCCGAGCTGGGCACTTACGCTTTCCGCCAATTTCTCTCCGCGTTTCTGGAAGAACTCCAAATTCCGAGTGCATCCAAACTTCGCAGAATATGGATTCTCCTTTTCTGGCGTTTTTTCGAACTGTTCTAGCAAAGAATTGTTCAGAACCAGCTGAGAAACGTTGTTGATCACCTAAAATTGGAAAAAAAAATAAGAAAAAATTCGAACTCGGTCCGATAATCGACTTACTCTCAACGCGAGAACTGTGAACTGGCCTGTGGGATGTTTTTTGATCAGCCGGACACACTTGCTCACTACTCCGGGCAATAAAATCGAAGCTCCCAACGGATCTTCCAGAGCGTCGAAGGGCTCGAATAAATCCACGAGTTTCTCTCCGCATTGGGCTCTAAATTGGACAAAATTTAAACTAAATAGAGAGAGCAGATAGTAAACAAGCTGATAAGAAAAAATCTATCAGATGATAGTAAAAATTTTCGGAGCAACATTGAAATTTATATTAAACTAGGAATAAGTAGGTAGTGTAAGATGAAACAGACCAAACGCACCTTATACTTTTATCAATCGTTTCATTTTCGAGCAGATTAAGTAGAGTATTGACTATCCTTCCATACAACACAAAATTCTCCGGCAGTAACAAGGCTAAAAATAAAATATTCGTCGTTTTCCTTCACCATCTCACATCCAATGGTGCATAACCTAAACTTCAATAAAAAAACACATAAATCTCACCTTTTCTCAGCTCGTCCGCTCTCAAACACTCGCCCAGACAATCGTTTACATGTGGGAATAGCTCATGAACCCGCGCACTATCAGTTCTCTCATCTAATAAAGGAATTGCTCGAGTCAAGAAGGAGAAGATACGGGTCTGGAGTGAGTCGTGAAGTTGGACCATTCCCTGTGTAAAACCAAGTCATGAGTTATATTTCCACGCGTGAAAAAAGATTCCGCTGTTTTTCTCTATTTATTTTCGGGTTGGCATTTCATTGCAAGCCAGGGTTTGTTTTCGTGGTGGGACGCAAGAAAGGAGATAATGGAAGCGGAAATTTGAAATTTTTGTAATAGAAATGGGAAAATAGAAGTTCTAAAGGTAGTGAATATTCAAATAAAAGGTTAATAAAGCTTTGAGATTGTTTTCATTAGACATTTTCGATGTCAATATCAAGTGTAATATAAGAAAATTAGAATTTTTTAAAAAATTTTGCGACGTTTAATGTCAGTTTCTTCAATACAAGTTCCATGAGTCGCCATGAACTCTCACGTAAAATTATTTCTAAAAAAAAGTTAAATTTTTTTTTCATTTTGAACATTTCTCGAGAGTTGATGGGTCATTTTCCCTGAAATTTTTCCAAAATGGAACCTCAAGTTCAAGGCGCCGGACCACCGCCAGCTCCCAATGCAGTTCCAACCGTACCACCAGCACCGATCGAAGCTCCAATCGCACCACCAGCAGCAGCTCCAGAACCTTTAGCGGCCAATCGCCCCAAAAAAATCGGAGCAAGTTTTTGGGCCGAAATTTTTTTTTTGGATTCGCGTAAATTACTGTACGATTTACAGCCCGGAAGTCGACGAAATCGTGTCGGTCACATCAAGAAGGAATTCCGACCCGAGGATGACCCGCAGTTTTCATGTTGTATTAAGCTGAATCTTCATGTAAGTGTAATATAAAAAGTGGGTTGGATCTTGATGAAAGTTGGTCCAAGCTGAGATTAGGGGCTTTGAAGATATATTCGGGACTTTTAGGTCAAGATTAAGCAAAATAATCGGGATTTTTAAGCCAAAAAATGCGAAAAAAATTTTAAAAATTCTGCACAGTGCGGACGGAAAATTTTTTTTGCACAGTGCAAAAAAATTTTTTTTTTTTAAATGCTTTAGAACTCGATGAAAGTTGGTCCAAGCTGAGACTAGGGTTTTTGAAGATATTTTCGGGACTTTTAGGTCAAGATTAAGCAAAATAATCGGGACTTTTAGGTCAAAAATTCGAAAAAAAAATAAAAAAATTCTGCACAGTGCGGACGGAAAAATTTTTTTGCACAGTGCAAAAAATTTTTTTTTAAAAAATACTTTGGATCTTGATGAAATCAGTGCAAAGATGAGATTAGTGTTTTCGAAGGTATATCTGGTATTTTCAGCTCGCGGTTGACCTAAAATAACAGGGATTTTTATGTCAAAAAATTCGAAAAAAATTTTAAAAATTCTGCACAGTGCGGACGGAAAAAATTTTTTGCACAGTGCAAAAAAATTTTTTTTTAAAAAAATGGATTGGATCTTGATGAAAGTTGGTCCAAGCTGAGATTAGGTTTTTTGAAGATATATTCGGGACTTTTAGGTCAAGATTAAGCAAAATAATTGGGATTTTTAAGTCAAAAAATTCGAAAAAAAATAAAAAAATTCTGCACAGTGCGGACGGAAAAAATTTTTTGCACAGTGCAAAAAAAATTTTTTTTGTAAATGCTTTGGATTTTGATGAAAGTTGGTCCAAGTTTAGATTAGTGTTTTTGAAGATATATTCGGGACTTTTAGATCACAATTGAGCGAAATAATCGGGATTTTTAAGTCAAAAATTCGGAAAAAAATAAAAAAATTCTGCACAGTGCGGACGGAAGAAATTTTTTGCACAGTGCAAAAAAATTCTTTTAATTTTTTTTTCAGCGTTCGGTAATAGTGATCTCAGCAATCATGATTGCAGCATTCCTTGGGCAAACTATTTATCTACTATTTTTTGTTCAAGTCACTAATGATGACCTCGGAAACGACAAGGCGCTCGCATTCTTGGTGATGATTGGGTATGGATGTCTGTTGGTTGGGAGTATTTTGAGAATTAAACAGCTTTATTGGGCCTTTGCGGTTTTTTCGGTAAGGAAATTTGACTTTTTGGAATTTGTGACAAGGAAAGTACTTCTATGGGGTGTGGAATTACCGGTCGAGATATATATCAAAAAATTCGCAAAAATTTTCTGATTCAGAATATATATAAATTAGCTGCCTAATTTTGGTCTGATGACATGTTTTTGTCCTCAGAAGTTTTCTCGCGACACCATGCAAGTGTCTTTTTGGCCGCGTTTTTACCAATAAAAAAATTTTGTTTTGTGCTAAAATAAATTTTGAGGCCTTGACAAGCCTTAAAATATCAAATTGGATTACAACTACACCTTAAAAGTAGTTCCAATGTAAAAAATGGGTTCTAGTGTGGCAAAAGGAATCGAACCCGTCCCCTTCGGACTCCCAATCTAGCGCTCTAACTACTCGGCCACACCGCTCTCTTCCGAAGGAAGAGACCGAGCTCGCTTTTGTTGCCGCAGATTTTTTTCCTCGAGAAATACATTTATTGATAAAACTCGTTAATAGACCAAAATTAGGCAGCTAATTTTTATATATTCTGAATCAGAAAATTTTTGCGAATTTTTTGATATATATCTTGACCGGTAATTCCACACCCCATAGAAGTACTTTCCTTGTGAAAAAAAAAATTTGAAATTTTTTTAATTTTTGGAATTTTTTAATTTTTTTTTTGATTTTTTTTGGAATTTTTGAATTTTTTTTTTTTTGATTTTTTTGGAATTTTTGAAATTTTATTTTGATTTTTTTGAAATTTTTGAAAAAAAAATTTTTAGATTTTTTTTGGAATTTATGAAAAAAAAAATTTTTTAGATTTTTTTTGGAATTTATGAGATTTTTTGGAACTTTTAATTTTTTTTGTTGATTTTTTTGGAATTTATGAGATTTTTTTGGATTTTTGAAAAATTTTTTCTGATTGTTTTGGAATTTATAAAAAAATGTTTTTTTTGATTTTTTTGGAATTTATGAGATTTTTTTGATTTTTTTTTGGAATTTTTGAAATTCTTTTTTGATTTTTTTCAAATTTATGAAAAAAAAATTTTAGATTTTTTTGGAATTTTTGAATAAAATTGATTTTTAAAAATTTTTTGCTTCCAAAATTCCAAAAAATTTGTTGCAAATCACTTCGAACAACGTCTTTTTTCAGGTCTGTGCGTATGCCGTCATCCTTTGGGCCGCGATTGAGGCCCTGGAAACGGCTACTTACATGCTCCTGGGCAATCTTCGCCAATTTCCAAACGAAGAAAAACAATTCGCGAACACTAGACAGGGAATACTCATCCTGGCATACCTGCTCTTCCTTAGTTTCTCCGTTTCACTCCATTGCTATTTCTTTTACATCTTCTGGAGAGATTACAATTTTATCTGCGAATACCCGAGGAAGAAACAAACGGCCGCGGAAGACAAAAGGCTGCTAAAGGAGGAGTAGAATTGTGTGAAATGTGTTGGAAATGGAATGGAAATAAATTGCTAGTACAGACGGATGGTTTAATTTATCCGAAAAACGGTGAAAATCCCGATATTATACTAGATCTGAAGACTAAAAATTTTTTTACCGATTTTTGATCAAAACATCCCAAAATGTTTAATTATTTGGATTGTTTAGCTAATTGAATGCCTCAATGTTCTGGTAAACATCTTTTTTAGGCCTATTTTAGGACTTTTCGCGTTCCATCCGGATGACGTTTGAGTCCCGCCACGAAAACAACAGAATGCCAAAATTGGATCGTTTCTTCGAATGTCACCATTCTAGCCTAAAATTTTGACGTGGAGTCTATACTTCCTTCCAGCGCTCTCTGACTCGGTATCGTCGATACAAACTTTTATTTAGACGTTGTATTCTTCGCCTTTGAAGACTGTCAAAATACTACGACTATGGGTATATTTTGATTCTATTAGCTTAAGAAGCTCTCGAGCTTTCTATTGGTATCAATATCTTGTGATTTACTATTAATCTTTATGTCAAAATATTGCAAACCATTTGGACAAAAACGGATTTGCACAGGGCAGAATGCCAAAAAAAATTCTAGGCTTTTTCATTGGGCGCCCGTTTTTCTTTTATTTTTTCTTGACGAGCACGGAGCCATGCATGGCCATGCCAACTCTCGGCGCGTTGACTTATCCCCAAAAAAAAGTAAAGCACGATTGTTTATTAACAAGAAAATAAAAAATTGATATCAAATGCAGTTTAGAACAAAGAAAGCACGGTAGAAGATGACAATTCCAGTAGAACATAAATTTTTTTAAAAAATTATATTATCCATGACAAAAAGAGTTAAAAAATCGAGATAAAATATTAAGATCAGGTAGAAATTTTTGGAGATACGATTCTGATATAACAAGGGTGACGAAATCAGATTTCAGCACAAAATGTGAGAAAAAATGGGTGTTCAAGATCAATTTTTTGGGTATATTACCTATGAGATACGGTATATATCACTGATTTTCATAATCAAAAACTAAAAACTGAACCGTTCAATAACAAAATTGGCTGTTCATAGGGCTGTATTGTTCTTCAGTCATCTAAAAATAACAATTTTATTTACTTATCATCATTTTTTAAAATGGTGACATTTTATACGAAAATTTTTTATTTCGCCAAAAATCTCAATTTTTTTTTAAAAGTTACTACTTTAAATCTAAACGAGTAGTATTCCACACCCAAATATTTTTTTGGCCCTATATTCTCCCCAAAAAAAATCCATTTTCAAATCCAAAATTTCAATTTTCCCGCAGAAATAAGCCTAAAAAACTCTAAATCCCCTCCGGCAATCTACCCAAAACTCTATCCGAAGTGTTGCACAACTCATCATACATCCACATCACAACACCATCAGCATTTTCTCACCTTATAAAAAGCGCAAAACACTAAAAAAAGCGGTTCATTCCATCGGCTCTGGGATAATGTTCTTCAAGTTGGAAGGGTTGATATGAATTTCCATATGGCGTTTCTTGATGGGAGAGCGAAGCTGGAGGTCTTCAGAGGCCTGACGGACATGTCGGACAGGACGGTTGGCTGGAGAAGAAAGCGAAATTTGAGTTTTTTAAAAATTGGTCAAGAAAGGGATGGATAAGGTCGAAAAATCTCAATTTTTCGAAATATTCAGATGTTTTCTTTTACAATTAATAATTTATCAGTACTTTTGAACAAATTTTCTTTATATTCCGGAAAGAAATTCGCCTTTTATTAGTCAATTTGGTCAAACATTTCCAAAATTCGACAAAAAAACTCTTAAATTTTGGAAAAATCCGAGTTTTTACGGTAAAAAAGTCTCTAAAATTTATATCTCATTATTTCAGAAGAAATATTCTTCAATTTCCTACCATTTCCAACACCTTTTTCTATCCAAAACCACCAAAAAAAACAAAAATTTTTTATACTAAACTATATCACCTATCATGGATAATATCCATCACTTCCTGTCCAATTTTCAGGCCAATTCCAAAGCAAAACATAATTCAAGCCAACATAAAATCAAAATCAATGTGGGAAAACACACAACTCCTTCAAAAAATCGCAAAAAATTTGTTGTAAATTATGTTTTTAAACTTTAAAAAGTTTAAATAAAAAATCGGAAAAAAATTTTGGTTCACCCTAATACCTTACCCTTCCTTTTCATGTTGTGAAACGAGCTTCCTGGGACATTTTCGGCTTCTTTTCGGAGCCGGGACAACCTCTCCGCCACCAGGTCATCCTCCACTGGCTCTTCGCGCGCTTCTTTGTGTTTTCTTTTCGAATTTCCGGGCGATTTCGACCGTCGGCCGCCTTTTCGTTTCGGGCTGGGGCTTCGGCCGCGGTGTCGTCTCTCATCGCGCGGGAGATATCCACGAGAAGACGAGATTCTTATGGGGCTCAGCGTGAGGGATCTGGACCTTCTTCGTCGTCTTTCGGGGCTTCGTCGGCTTCGATGATGGCCTCTGGACGGGCTTCTGGAGCGGTTATGGCGATGACGACCGCTGCTGCAATGTGAGGAGGCCTCGGATTCTTGATCCTGAAAAACGGGAAATTTTATAAGGGAGACATTTTATACGAAAAAAATTAAAAAATCCAAAAATTCGATTCGATTAAAAAATGAAATTTCGGCCAAAAATTCAGCCAAAAAATCACCAAAAAGTTTATAAAAATTAAATTTTCGCCATAAAAATCACACCTTATCCCATAAATTTCCCAAAAATACCCAAAAAAAAGTCGTTTTTTCACAAGGAAAGTACTTCTATGTGGTATGGAGTTACAGGTCGAGTCATATATCAAAAAATTCGTAAATTTTTTCTGATTCAGAATATGTAAAAATTAGCTGCCCAATTTTGGTTTGTAAGGGCGAAAAAATCCTCAGAACTTTTCTCGCAAGAGCACGCAAAAGCCACTTTTAACCAAGTTTTTAACAATTCAAAAGTTTTGTTTTGAGCTCAAGTAAGCCCTGGTATCTTGACAAGCCTTAAAATACAGTGGGGGACCTGACCTAGTGGCAAAAAACGTAACATTTTGCATCCAGGAAGCATCAAAAATGTGGCAAAATACCTCCCTCTCCAAGCGGAAAAAAACTCAGATTTCAAAAGCGCGCCAGTTCTTTTTGTGAGGAAAAACAAGCGCCCTTCAAAACGAAGTTTTTTCACTTGGAGAGGGAAGCATTTTGCCACATTTTTGGTACTTCTCGGATGTAAAATGGTACATTTCTTGCCACTAGGTCAGGTCCCCCACTGTATTTTAAGGCTTGTCAAGGTGCCAGGGCTCACTTGAGCTCAAAATAAAGTTTCTGATTTGGTAAAAACTTGGTCAAAAGTGGCTTTTGCGTGGTGTTTCGAGACAAGTTCTGAGGATTTTTCACCATTACAAACCAAAATTGGGCAGCTAATTTTTACATATTCTGAATCAGAAAAATTTTGCAATTTTTTTGATACATGTCTCGACCTGTAACTCCACACTCCATAGAAGTACTTTCCTTGTAATAAGGGAGACATTTTATACGAAAAAAATAAAAACCAAAAATTCGATGAAAAAATGAAATTTGGGCAAAAAATTCTGCAAAAAATCACCAAGAAGTTTGCAAAATTGAATTTTCGCCATAGAAATTCCACTTTATCCCATAAATTTCCCAAAAATACCCAAAAAAAATTGTTTTTCTCCAAAAAAATCGCAAAAACCCCACCGATGCATAGATCATATGGGCGTCTGCGGGCTCGAAAACTCGTCTCTGAGGGGCTACCAAATTCCCTCCGCTGAGGGGCGGGGTTCGTCCGTACAAAAACGGTCGTCCAGTGTGTTGCACCGGCGGAAAATTTCCAATCTCTTCTTGATATGGGACATCTTCTGCGTAGACCACATTCTCGGCATTTCCTTCGATTGGGATGTCCTCTTCGTACACCACGTCGGGCATTTCCATCTCTTCGTTGGCTTCTTTTTTGATGATTTTCGGGCGATGTTGGACTTGGCCTGCGGGTCGGATAATGTAGTTTGGAGGCTGATCCGAGCTGGTAGGGCCTCTTTGTGCTCCAGTCGAGGCCTGGAATCCATTCGGGCCATATTGTTCAATTCCGGGACCATTTTCGATATTATACATGGCATCAGATGTCTGACCGTCAAAACCCTCCGCACCTGGTTGATTTCGGGATTCACATCGAGATCCTGCCGCCGATGATGTCCATTGATCCACTTGTTCGAAATCCGCGGCACAAAATCGCAGATTCTCGGGGATGTTTTCGGCGGAAAGTGGGCGTGGCCTTTTTCCGGCGGCCGAGATCGCGAAATTGCTCGGAGATTCGCCCACATCCAGCTCCATATCACCATAACCCGGCAGATTAGGATACTGTTCGTCGGGGCTCTGAGTTCTGGCCCTCTCTTCGGCAATTCTCTTCGCTTTTTCCAGGGCCAAGTACAAGTTTGTGGTGTCCACATGCGTCGACGGTGGGCGCTCTTCATTTGTGGGGGTATTTGAGCCACTCGTGGAGACTGGGCTCTCCACGAATCCATCATTTTCCTCCTCTTCTGGCGGATTTTGATTTTCAGCCGAAATCGGCCGCTCCTCGAAATTGGGCGGATTTCGCGAGAAATTCTGGGGATTTGGGGCCGCTTGAGGCGGTGGGAGATCGTCGACCAGTCGATTACGCTCTTCCAGGATTTCTTGTTTGATTTTTTTGAGCTGGGAGGGAGGTTGGACTTGAGGTTGTGGAACATGGGCTAAAATTGAAAATATTTCAAGAATTTCCCAAAAAAAGAGGGAACTAGGACGATGGCGGGAAAAAGAAAAGTATTACAGGAAAAGGACATTGGAATTGATTTTGTGGCCTTTTTTCGAAGTTGGACGATTGGGGAAACCGAAAAGTATTATTTTTCTTCGATGCAAGTGTCGAAATTAGGATAATCGAGGCTGCTGATTTCGAAAATGACATTCATTTTTTTTGATCGTTGTAAAGTAGTAATTTTTTGATTTTTTTTCATGAATACTTGATTTGGGGGTTTTCGATGGTGCTGCTTTCAAATCAGAAAAAAATGAATAAGATTTTCGAAATCAGCAAGGTCGAAACCCCCCAAATCGAGTATTTATAAAAAAAAATCAAGAAAATTATTACTTTACAGTACTGCTTAAAGGAAAATTAAGGATCAAAAAATGAATGTCATTTTCGAAATTAGCACCATCGATTATCCTAATTTCGACACTTGCATCGAAGAAAAATAATACTTTTCGGTTTCCCCAATACGAAAAAAAGACCTCAAAATCAATTCCAATCTCCTTTTCCTACCTTCGTGATGTTCTTTGACCAATTCGGCGACTTTTCGGGGCGGAACATTCAACAATTTTGAGACATGTAAAAGTACATCTCCAGTAATATTTCGAACGTCCATTCTGAACAACCGATCCAACGAATTCTGTCCTTCTTGTGAGAAGTGGGACTTTGTGGCTACTACTTCCTCCTGATACTCGCATTGCTCATTCAGGACCTCTTGTTTGACTTGTTTCAGCGTTTGAATGCTTTGATGACCTTGATATTCCGATGGATCTGAAGTGTGGGGAGCGTCTTCATTTTGGCCCACAACCTCTTCATGATGAACCACATGACTCACGCTCTCTTCCGCATCCATATTCAGCTCCATATTCATCGGATTCACATGATTTTCGGACATTTCGTTTATATTATCCATGATCGAAACCGGTTGATTTTCACTGTTCTCAGCCAAATTTCGAAGTCTCTCTTCTTCTAATCGTCGGGTTTCAGCTCGGTTGTACTTCACAACGTCCTTTGATATCGTATCCAACATATTTTCCAAGGTTTTCACCTGATCGCTCATGGATAATATCGGCTCCCCAATTATATTGGCTTCCTGTTGGATTAACGTCGACAGGGATTGCTTGACAATAGCTATGGGGTCATCGTGATTCGGGAGAACCTTTCGAATATCCTAAAAATTTGGGGGATAATAAGAATTTTTTTCAAAAGGTACCTAAAATAATATTTTTGCGTTTTCCCCACATCAATAGCTCTTAAATTTCCAAAAATTTTATTTTAACATGTTCTGTAGTCCTTAATGTTACTGCAACATTAAGATTTTTACTCTTTTTCTATGTATTTTTAACATTTTTTTCTTCCTCTTTATTACCTAGTACAACGTCGGAAAAAAACATCCCATAATAAAAAATTTCGAACCCTCCAGCTTCAAATTCATTCTTAAAAATTGTCTCATACCTTGCTGAAGACATTCTTGTTGAGTTCCATCAGTCCAGTGGCTCCATGATTTCGCACGGCGTGTCTTTGTAACCCATCTAGGTCGGGATCCGTGTAGACGCAATCAAAAATCGGGCACAGGCAAGTCTCCTGAACGACTTATCATTACATAAATCATCTCAACAGTTCACTTATGACCTAAACTTGCAAGAAACAATAGAAAACAAAAAAAAAATTTACCACCATTTTGTTGTGCACAACTTTTTCGTGGATCTTCAACAGCTGATGCGAGTGGAATTTTTTATCGCAATTCGAGCATTCAGCCGGCCGATACGTGGTGTGACTGTAGATTAGATGAGGTCTGACGGTGTTCTGACGAACTTCAATGCCACATCCGTTCCATTTGCAGGTCTTTTCCACGCAATGTTGCTCATCAAGATGGTAATGGAGCTCCTCGAATTTGACTTCTTTTCCGCAATCTGCCCATTGGCATGTCAGGGACATGTCTAAAAATAGATAATGAAAAGATCAGAAGCCCATCGGCACATTAATTTCGACTTTGGATCAAAAAATTATATTACACTAGGCTAGACGAAAAAATTTCGCGTTTTCATGTCAAATACAACAACGTCCTCAACCGAATCATATCTAAAAAAGCAAAAGCAACCTTCTGTCTTCTCTTGAAAAACATTTCCTGCCCCAATTTTTATATTACACTAGGCAAAAATAGAAAAATTTCGAATTTGAACCCCAAGTACAACAACATAAGCCCAAAATTAATTTTAAAACTTAAAATATACCCTCTGATTTTCTTCACAAACTTTTTCTCATCCTCTGATCCTCTGTCATCCATAATTACTTTCAAAATCACATTTTTCCATCAAATCGCCTACTACAATATAAGTCTGGTGTATTACATCTGTAAAAATTTTTTTGGAAATTCTCTCGGATTTCGCCGCCATAAAAAGCGACGGCAGATTTGATAAACCTGCCGTCACTTTCGCCGGCACCAAAATTTACCGACGGCAAAAATGAAAAACTCGCCGGCTTATTTTTTTTTTAAGCAGGCAGGTTTTGGAGTTCGCCGAAGCCCACTTTTTTTTGCTGGCAAGAATCGAGTTGTGCCGGCACTTTTAGCTGGCTCCGCCCCCACTTTCGGCGGGCCAATCAATGAGTTTTTTGGTTTTTGCTCGCGAAGAGCGGATTTTCTCGCGAAAAACGGGGTTTCTTCGCGCATTTTTTCGCGAATTTCTTCGCGAAGAGCGGATTTTCTAGCGAAAAAAGGGATTTTTGTCAGAATTTGACGGCGAAAAGTTTAAATTTTGTATTAGATCATCAGGAATCGCATAAACACAGGAAATTTTGCAGTTTGCACTATGTAGTTGTTTTGCTTTTTGCACCAGTTATCGGATTTTATAGGTTTTCAGCGGTATCCGCAACGAACAAACTCGTACCAGACAACTCTTATCCGCTGTGTTCGACCTCTACGAACCCAACCATCAATAAAGGTATTCTAGTTAGTGTGAAGCGAACACACTAGTTAATCAAGACTAAATGTTATTTTTCATTCGTTTATTGGAGTATTTTGGCAAGGAAAAGGACAGAAATTTAGTGTATCCGGTTAACCTCGGCCGGCGCTGCTGAAGAACGATTTAACATTTTGTGGAATAACCGGGAGTCCCACCGATTGTCCAGTATTGCTTGCCTGCGAGCTAGTGGAGGCTTCATGAGTTGGGCGGCTGGTCCGGAACCCACTCAAGCTTGGAGTAGAGCATCACCACTATATTAGTCTGAAATAAAACTTATACAACATTACAAACCCATTGTGCGGTTCTAAGATGACCAAGCTTACATCGAAGTTTTTCACATCTCCATCATCAAACAATTTTTGGTCCAGCGGAATTTGACCATGAAATCCGGAAGAATGAACGGCTAAAACAACACTGAAAAGGACGCAGTTCACTTACCGCTGTAGATTCGAAACTTCTGGGCATCCTATCCTCACGACAATCTTTGTTCAGAATATCCAGGGCGGTCAACCGGGAATGCAATCTAACCATTTTCTGTGGACGTCCACCTCCAGAAGATCCACCGATTGTGCCGAAACTGCAACGGAAAATTGGGATAAAAGGACACGGAACAATCTAGAAGAAAAAAAACTTTCGATTGACATTTCGCAACAACGAAATGTCAATATCGATAAAAAGGATTGACGTGCGGAAGCCTATTTTTGTTTTTGATTTCGTAAAAAAATGCGAAGTTTCACGTTCACCTTTTCGTTGCGCGGTGGTTTTTATTATTTGACGTGGATGAATCCCACCTGCTTATGGAGAACTGGATAACTCCGAGCCTGAGGATGAACAATTCATCAAACTCTTGAAGAAATGCCGCAATGATGGAAAAATGAAACGCTGGATGAAGAGGAAAACGAAGCGTGAAGATCCATTACTTTCCAAACCAACCGGAATTGCCTGCAGGTAAGATCTTTGGACGACCAGACTCTTTAGGATGTATGTTTTATTTCATGTTTCTCGTTGATTTCAGAGTGTATAAACCATCCACCGATTCGCAAAGTGCGCATCGGTCACGTAAAAAGTTGCCCGACGCTGTCCCGTGAAACAAAATCTCCGAAGTGAACAACATAATTAGTTTCGATACCGGATGTTCACGACTCCCTTCATGGTTCAAGAAAAAGCCGTTGAAGAGTACTATGCACTGGATGGAAATCACAGGTTGAAAACAATATTGTATGTAACCGGGAATATTAGTTATGTTTTCTTTTAGGTTGGGTTATAGGAACCAGAAATTTGGCCTCTCATCAGTACCGTGTATTCTTTAATTATGGATGGTTGGAATGGCCTAAAGCAAAAATTAACAGCCATGTAGCAAAACAGCCAGGAAGTACCAAAAATGGAAAGCCGCATGAAGGCTGAGAAGGTTCCATTCATTCTACATGGACGCGAAGGAGTTTACTTCATTGGGTTCGGGCGTGGGATAAATAAACGTTTTTTTACAATCCATTCGGATGTTGTAGTAGGCGAAATCCATTTTTTTGTCCTGTTTTAAATTTCGAATTCCGATGCACATCAAATCAATTTGGCTTTTCGTCTTTTAGCTTTTCGCAGCACCTGCGAAAAAATATTTTTTTTCGCTTTCAACCTTTTTGTTGACGTTTATAGTCAGAATTTGACAAAAAAGGCAAATTTTTCCCCAAACCATACTAAAATAATGCTTTCCAACAATTGGCGATACTTTTCAACGAATTCTAACGAGAGATGGCCATCTTAGATGCCCAAAAAACTTATTTTTTATCAATATTGCGAAGAGTAAGATCATTTCCTCTCTTTATGCGATCTAAAACACAATTAAAACGTTTCGCCGTCAAATTCTGACAAAAATCCCTTTTTTCGCGAAGAAATCCCGCTCTTCGCGAAGAAATGCGCGAAGAAACTCCGTTTTTCGCGCGAAAATCCCGCTCTTCGCGAGCAAAAACCAAAAAGCTCATTGATTGGCCCGCCGAAAGTGGGGGCGGAGCCAGCTAAAAGTGCCGGCACAACTCGATTCTTGCCAGCAAAAAAAAGTGGGCTTCGGCGAACTCCAAAACCTGCCGGCTTAAAAAAAAAAAGTGACGGCGACTTTTTTTTTTGCACCGAAAAAACGGCGTTCTGGCAGATTTCGGATCTCGCCGGCTGAAAATTGACGGCAAAATGAAGAATCTGAAAACTGACAAAAATGGCGGCGAAATCCGAGAGAATTTCCAAAAAAATTTTTACAGATGTAATACACCAGACTTATATAAAAAATTTCAAATAATTTTTCGGAAATCAACCCAATGAAAACAAAAACACTTCCTCTGCCATATCATAGCACGATTATCATTTATTAAGACACAAGGCACAAATTGGCCATGAAATCCTTGAGATGTTATGTGATATTGAGATTAATATTGCAATGGCACGGACATGAAAAAAAAATAAAAAAAAAACAATCAAAAACAAAAGCCATATATTATAATAGCACCAGAAATTAGAGAGGACCACAAGAATCTGCATTTTTCGACAAAAAAAAAATAAAAAGATACAAAAATGATGCGTAATCGCAGAAAAGTCGAAAAAATCAGATCGTTTCCGAAGCCGAAAACAATGAACAAGGCCGGTTCGGGGAGGACAGATCATCTAGACTATATACAACATTAATTTGGGTGGACAAACTCGACATTTCGAGGGAAATTTAGGAAAAAACAAAAATTTTCCCATCTCATGCCTACTGTAATATGAAATTTGATAGAAATTCGAAAAATATTTGGTAAATGAGATAGACGATACAAAATTAAAAGTGATGATAGAGTTGTTAGAGCTGTACATGGGTCAAAATCGTCCGTGAGGCCTTCGAGGGTCCTTTAAAGTTGGATTCACTTTAATCGGGATATTCGGAAGGAATGGTCTGGACGGGGGCCTTCGCTGGAGATGACGGCCGTATTCCTGAAAATTTTTTTATCATCTTGGATCCATTAACTCATAGTCTGAACGAACACAGCTTATATAACCTTTATCTTGCTCAAAATTTTATATTATACTAGGAATCTCTAGTATAATATAAAATCGCAAGTCATGCCCATCGATTTTCTTCAAAATTCACATACACCCCCGAAATAGGCCACAAACCAATCCCTGAAAATCTTAGCTCACAATTTGCACCCAATTATAAAGCAACGAAGAAAAAAGCAAACTTTTTCCGAGAGAGCACGCAAAATGAGGAGGGTCGGCCAGACAAAAAAAATTTTCGGCTCTGTCCTCGCGAATTTCGCATGGAAAAAATTGATTTCCTGCAAACTCGCTAAGAAAGAGGCGAAAAACAAAAAAAACATTTTCGTCTGGCCGACTCTCCTAATTTTGTGTGCTATCTTGGAAAAAGATTGGTTTTAATCTCCGTTGCGGGTGCAAATAATGAGCTAAAATTTTCAGGGATTGATTTGTGACCTATTTCGGGGGTGTATGAGAATTTTGAAGAAAATCGAAGCTTCAAGTTTTTTCGTACCTTCCAATTCATTTTATATGATCTTTTGTCGGTGGCCACTCTAATCAGTCGGTACTTGGCCAATCTCTCCGTATTTGGTTGTTTTGGCGGTGGGGAGCATCGATTTTCATCCGATTTCGCGTCTTTTCCACCTGGCTCCGCCCCCTTTTGTTCATTCCCGCCTGACTCCGCCCCTTTTCTCTCTCTTCCACCTGACTCCGCCCCCTTTTCCACTGTGGGCGGAGTTAGCGGAGGTGGTGGCGGTGGTATCGTCAGCGGTTCTTCTATGATCTCCAGCGGCGGTAGAGAGTATTGAGGTGCTATTGGGGGGAAAAATCCGGGCGGGAAGCCTGGGGCGGGCGGCAAAAGATGGGTTACAATAGTTGTCGGGAACAAATCCGGAGGTGGTAGATTACAACTCGGCGTGGCCCACAGTGCTCGGACGAATGGATTAGACGGTGGGGAAGGTGGCTCTCTCGACGTTCCTGGACGCTCTGCGTCCTTGTTCTTGAAGGAATTTGCATTTTCGGCCGTCTCGCGGCCAGGCTTTCGAAGTTCCGAGCCTTTCAGGGGTTTCGGAGTGGCCAATCGGTTTCCAGCGCCATCAAATCTTAGAATTCGGTGTGTCGAAGGCTCCAATCTTCTATTTTCCGGGGTTCTTGTCCTCTTCGGATTTTCGGGAGACTTGGATCTTACTTTAGATGGTTTTCTATCCCATCTGGATCGTTTTTCCGGTGGTCGTCGCTCATCATCTCTTCCAAAATCGTCCTCTAGACTTCTCAATTCCTCTCGTCTTCGTTCAGGGTGCGGCGGCGACGAAACTGGCGATGAAAAAGTGGATGGCGGGGAAATTGCCGGAGGCAATTCCCATGCCATCGAAGCCGCCGACTTGGAAAATGAAGCCGCATTTAGGCTTGTCGAAGCTTCCATTGACGGGGATGAGTTAGAAAATGCGTTTTCACCTTCCTTTTCCGCCTCTCTATCTAAAATAACATAACTTTATTCAAAGAATCGCAACAATTAACAATTTTTCCTTTTATTTACCATTCCAGTCGCCTAATTGTTGATCCAAAAGGTCCATTACGCCTCCATTGGGGCATGGGGCGTTTCGTTTTGGCTTGAAAATCGGCCTTTTCGGTCGATCAAAACTTCGTTTCTGCTCAATTCTTGGTCGATTTTCGGTGCGATCCGAGTTCTCCTTCAGGCTGCTCTCCGAGCTCGGGCTGAAAGTCGATGGGCTTTGTCGATTCGAGCCAAATTCATCAATATGTAGCTGATTTTGAGGCGGTGGACGGGATTGTTTCGCTGCCAGAGGGCTTCGGAAGTCATGATTGTTGATTGCCGCCGATCCAGCTTTGATTTTCGGGATTCTTTGGGTCAAATCGGCTTTTTTGTAGGCCTTAAAATAAAAAAGGATCAAAAAGGATACATTAGCGTAGAAATTTATTAGACAAAATAATTTATATTAGACTAGAGATTGACAAATTTTTTAGATGAAAGACGTGAAGATAAGTGTGTTTCCAGCTGGGATATAAGTTAGATAGGCTACTGACCACGAGAGCGCTTCTTAAATCAGCGATTTTTGTTAAAAAACATGAGAAGTTTTCAAAAAAATCGAAAAAATCCAAAAATTTTCGTTTTTGACCAAATTTTTCTTATTAAACTTACGAAAGGAGCTGTTGGAATAGGTTTGTGATTGGATTTAGCTACTGTCTTCTCATGTTTTTTCCGTTTATTTTCCATTTCCTTTTGTTTTTCGGCTTCTTTTTTCCTCTCGACTTCCCTTTCTTCTTCGGCCGCTTTCTTCACTTCGTCCGCTGCTTTCTTACCGGCCGCTAGCCTTGCCTTCTTCTCCTCGGATTCCTCTTTCTTGGGGCGACCGCGCTTTCTTTTCACCGGGGTTTCTCGGACTGGTGCTGAGGGCTCATTCGAGACCGGATTTTCGGCCGATTTCTGCTGAAAAAATCGAAATTCAGAGTTGAAAGCTTTCTCATCAGGCTTACAAACAAACAGCAATGGTGTCACAACATCCACAGGGTAAGTTTTGATTCAACTTCGGGGTGATTTTCCAATTTTTTCACAAAAATTCCTCAAAAATTTCGATTTTTTGTTTTTTTTTTCAAAAAAACTAAAATTAAGCTAAAAACAGAAAGAAATAAACTAATCTAAAGCTGATCTACCACCTCTGCCACCTATTAGAACATAGATCACCCAAGGGAAAACCCCAAAATCCATCAAAAATCCCAATTTTTGTTAGTACAGACACCGCACAGTGCAAAAAATAAAATCAAGCCGTATCTACCTCATTCCTATTCAAAATGCAGCTCTCTTCATGTTGAATGATAGAAGGAGAAGGTCTGTCTGGATTTATGTAGACATTGACGTCAATTCGCTCCGCCGGTCTTACCAAATTCACTTCCAAATTTACATTATTGTTGATTTCTGATGCCGGTCGGAGATCAATGTCATGATATTGCACACTTCTGTTGCCTATTCCAGCTCTATTAGTCCATTCTGCATGCGGTCGGAGGTCGATATCTTCAGCAACAGTCGATTTCTCCTCCTTTTTGTCCAGATTTATATTACCCATAGGACCAGATGAAGAATTTTGAAAACCGGATGTTCCTGGAGTGTCATACGCCAGACAATTACTTTTCCGGTCACCCTTGATGTTATTCACGTCTAATCCATCCTTCTCGACACATCCTAGATTCAATTGAACACCAGCTTGACCAGTTTTCGAAGGTGCTCCGGAGGTGTCATGGATAATATCAGAAGGCTGCTTAACCGGTCTCGCAACGCACTTGGAACCATTTAGACATTCAGCTGAGGTCATGACAACATCCTCTTCATCGGAACTCAACAAAATCTCCTCTTCTTCATCTGGTTCTTGCTTAATTTTCAAGTTGACCAGCGCCTCAAATTCCTGAAGAACTCGACGTTGAGGGTTCGCCGAATTGGGCAACAGTGTGCGGATTGCACGCTAAAATACGCCAGATAAATTGCAGCAACAGAAAGTCTCTAAATACAGGAAAAATTCAAAAAAATTATGTTATCCTACCGTCTGAAGAATGGACTCAAAAACATAAGGATTGCTATGAACATAGGCCAAATGTTGCTTCATTAGGACCCCAGTGAGCGATGTATACGCGCAGTCCAAGTAAGCGCAGTCAAAAATATCCTGAAAAAAATTATTTTCCAAAAAGATGCCTAAAACAAGGTGAAACGGCCAAAATAAGTAAAAATTTACAGTCTAGATCACACGATAGCAAAAAATTACACTTTCCAGCTAGTAGTAGTTCTTACTTACAAAAAAAACTTGGATAAACTCCGATTTCAGGCAAAAATATATTAACATTGCCTTCCACAGATGGACGGATAAAAATTGACCTATTCAGTACGAAAAACCCACTACAATTGCGAAACCTGCTGTCTAGATTATGCAACACATCTCCTCCTTCCTCTATGACCTCAGTTTCTACCTAAAAATCGCCAAAGAACATCAAAAATTACCTTTTTCCTCTGCCCATGGACCTTCCTCTCGTGCAACTTCAAAAGAACTGGGCTATGAAACTGCTTGTCGCAATGCCCACAAAAATACTCGCGGATCCCGGTGTGAGCGCGCAGCAGATGCCAGTAATTCTCGAGTACAGCCGAGTAGGCGGCGGTTTTGCATCCCTTCCATTGGCAACGTTGCGGGATTTCGCGGGCATGCTGAAAGAGATGGGTCTGAAAGGCGTGCAAATCGACGGTGACGAACTTGCAACCGGCCCAGCCGCAGGTGCGGTCTTGCACCATCAGCGGGGAGACTGAAAAATGGAAGTTTTAACGAAAAAATGGAATTTTGGTCATGTATAATATAAATTTGATCGCGGATTCGAAATAAATCTCGGATATTGGGGCAAAACCATCGACAAAAAGGAGGAATCGGCTTATAAATTATGAGGCAACATCAAGAAACGAGAGTTGCAAAAAGTTTCCAGAAATTTTGACAATTATCCTAATTTCCAGAAAATCCGTCATCCATACCTCAAAAATACCGAAAAACTTACCGAAAATAGTTGAAAATTTGTTTTCTGCCTTCTAGCAGTAATAGACCAAGATCGCAGGCAGTTTTACTCCGCTGTCTATCATAATACCCATGTCATGATGACGTATTTTCTGGAAATTCACGTTTCATCCCATAAAACCCAAAAATTTGCATAACAAAGGAATAATTTGGCGTGGTTGGTCAAAAAAACTCCCCGAAAAAACCTAAAAGTTTACCGCATCACCTCCCGCTGTTGCGAAGTCTCCTCTCCAAACATTTTTTACCCACCATGAAAAGAACCGGTATCACCGACACGCGCCAAAAAAGGAAGCATGTAAAAACTAACGAAAATGATTGATTATTGAGCAACCTTGCCCCGCGGCATACCCCCTACAAACTCGGAAGTCAAGGGGACATTTTATACGCAAGATGATGATTTAGGTCATAGAGGTCAAAATCGAGAGGATAAGGCTTCGCTGTGAAGGTAAAAAAGAAGCAGAAGCACTAGAAAAAGTGTAAAGTGATAATGACCCGTTAGATGCGGAAAAATTGCAAAAATTGGCAATTATTATATTGTACATGGCATCGGATGGCTAGGATTCCCCATAAATAAAATTTAACATCCTAGAATAACTTCTAAGTAAACGTAGAACATGTTAGCTTATATTCCCATCAATCCCCATCACCAACTTGAGCGAAGTGACGTTTTATACGCAAAACCTTGAATTTGGCCACGCTCAAAAAGTCTGTTGCTGGACCCTAATTTTGTAAAAAAGTAATGGGCCAGATGTTCTGTTGACCACAAAAAAACCGTCTTAGAGTGCTTCCGGATAAGAAACTTTGAGAAATTACAAAAATTTTATATTGTACTTGCCATCTGGTGTCGTAAATGGCCAATAAAATGGGCTAGAAGGGCTTCGAAGGATAGAAAAGGCGTTTAAATTAATTTTTAGGGAAGATACGATAAACTGCATTGATTTTTATAATAATGTGACGATTGAGTGACATGTTATACGATAAAAAATGTTAAAACTAGAAGCTGACTAATCCCACTACTGATTCAAGATGAGCTCTTTTTCTTTCCAAAAACAAAAAAATAGAGTGTCAGATGATCTCAAAAGCCAAAGTCATGACAATTTGCAAAGAAAAAACATTAATTTAGACAAAAAATTTGGCCTTTTAACCAAAGAACGGCAAAATAATGGCATTTGGCAAAAATGTTGCGATCAAAATCAATTAGAGAAACGAAAGAAGGCGGAAAGAGCTGATAAACGGCCTCCGATCGGCCAAGCGAAAGCGTCTGAAAACGGAAAAACGAAGAAAAAAGTGTGGCCAAATCAAAAGGAAATGGAATTTTTTGGCCGATCGGGCTTCCAAATGAAAATACGGAAGACACAATGGAAATTTACATAAAAAAGGGAGGTAAATGAGCGAAATGGCGAAAAAAGAATTGGCAAGCGATGAAAAAACTTTTTTTTTGTGTTTTTTTTTTTTTTAATTTTGCGATTTTTTTTGGAGAAAAGGGATTAAAAAATTCAAATATTTGAATTGGACAAAAATTAAAAGCAGAATTTTCCACCATGTAATAATGAGATTTTTAGCCTGCAATTTGCAAAACTCTTTGAGACTTTTTCAGTATAAAAAAACCAATTCAAAAAATCGACAAAAATTTCTTTAATTCAAAGAAAGCAAAAAAATTTCTTTAAAAAGTAAAAAAAATATTAAAAAAAGAAAAGAAATTCAATTTGAAATGCATCAAAAAAATCGTAATCTGCTACAAAAAATGTCCACAAAAATCATGTATTTTCCAGCGAAATTTGCAATCACACAGGCAATAAAAGTTGTTATAAGTGGCCCATTGATTAGTGTAGAATGACCGTTTTTTACCAATTAAAAAAATTGCCATTTCCCGTTTTTGGAAAAGCTAATTTCGAACGCAGTAAGCTACCGAAATCAAGCGGCTAACCTATAACACGTTTTTCGTCAACCTGTAAAATTCGAAACATTACATTTCACTGCGAAAAAAGAAGCGAAATTCAACAGCGATTCCTCTGAAAAAAATCTCCCGCAGTTTTCTTCCGCAGTCCATTTTTTTCATTTTTATCTCGGACGCTAGACGGCTCCATAAGCCTAATTTATCAAGGCCATAACCTTTTCTTCCCCGTTTTTTTCTTTGAAGATATTATCTTATACATAGTGCGAAAAGGATCTTTTTGGGAAAGGTAAACAAAAAAAGAAAGATTTTATGTTTTTTTAATGTAAAAAGATCGCAAATTTTATGGGATGGTATACGCTCTCAAAGCAAATATTTTTGTGAAAAAGGCTCTTTACAAGGTGTTTTTTTCAATTTTTTTTTCAAAAAATGGAAAATTATTTAAAAAAATTTAATTTGGGGTATCCTACGATTAATTTTTTTTTTAAATTGGGCTCAACTGCTCTAAACGGCCCACAAAATAATCCGTAAAAAGCATAACTCAAATTTTTCGCTCGCAACGGAGATACTAACCAATCTTTTTTGCCCTAGAGGGAGAGTGCAAAATGAGGAGACGGTTAGACAAAAAAAAACATAAAATCTTATCTTTTGTATATAGCTCAGTAAACTTCACTTGGAAAAAAACGATTTTTCGTGGAAATATTCAGCTCCTTATTTGTGATTAGACACTTATTTTTTAAGCGAAAAATAAAAAATAAATAAAAATAGAGGAGAAAATTTTTATTTTTACCTTTACAAAAAAGTATAAAAAAATTGAAGGCAAAGAAAAGTGAAAAAGGACGTGGCAAGCCAAAAAAATCCAGAAATGGCCAAAAACAAGGGAGGTTGACTCGTTTGCCCGCAAAAAAGAGGGTACCCAGCGCACAGCGCAAATAAAAAAATGGAAAAAAGGGCATTCAAGCGGATCCAAAAATAAAAAAAAAGTAAAAACAGTAGGAAAAAACTTGTTTACATTGGAATTCTTGTGAGCCAAAAAAAAACAAATAAAAAAATCGCAAAATAAAAAAAAATGAAAAAAATGAAAAAAATTGAAACTTGAAAAAATAAAAAAATAAAAAAAACTACAAAAAATGAGGAATAATAAGTCCCAAAAAAATTGATAAAACATTTTTTGGTAAGAACATATTTAACCACCAAGTTTTATCACATTCTTATCAAAAAGCCCGCCAAACGAAAGTGAAAAAAGTGAAAGCCCCGATATTTTTTGGAAAAATTAAATTTGAGTGACAGCTTGAGAACAATGAATAAAAAAACTGCTAAAAATAGCAATTTAGATTAAATTTCCAAGCGTTATCCATAATTTTTTGGCCAAATTCCACTTGATTTGCCTATATTTAAGCGAAAAAATCAATCTTTTATAAAATTTTGCCGACTTTTCATTTGATTTTTGCCGCAAAAAGATTGAAACTAAAATGCTTAGGCAGTGTAGCTAATTTTGACATAATTTTTATGAAATTGCAAACTATTTCATATCTAAAAAATCCAAAATCCTCGGGTTTTATCAATTCTTAGTCATCATTTTAAATTTTTGAAAAAAAACAGAAAAATAAAGTAAAATACGAGAAGGAAAACCACTTTTCAAACAAAATAACTTACGATCTTGTCATTTTCAAACACATTTTTTATTATTTTAACCTTATTTTGCATCAAAAAATATACCTTTTTTCCATATTTTAGGCAAAAACTAGATATATTTTCGTCTAAAATAAGGTCGCAACTCTCTAAATATCAATAAAAAAACAATTGAAACTAAAGAATGGCCAAGGAAAAGCAGCAATCCTTGCAAAAAAAAGAGGGAAAATAGAGCTTTTTGAGGGGAAAGGCGCCCGATTCTGCGGAAAAAGTCATTTTTCAGAGGGAGAAAGACACAAAATGATGGAGCTTTTTTTGTTTTGACATTTGAACTTTTGTTTTATCCAAAAATTTCATGGAAATTTTTAATTCACAAAAAAATTTTTTGATGACGAAACATGTCATGGATAATATAATTTTTGAATATTTTTTAAAAAAAATTATATCACATAGGCATCAAAGAGTATTTCTAGTAATCTTAAGTTGATCATGACATAAAAAAAGTTTAAAAATCGCAGCAAAAATTAGGATTTTTTAATCAAATTTATCGAAAAAAGCTCATTTTACGGTGGAAAAATAGAGGTAGTAGAGTAGAAGAATGATAAAAATTTTCAAAAATATTCATTTTTTGCCTTGAATTTCCTTGCATGGTTCGAAAAAAATGCATAGCGCGAAACTTGCGTAACGGATTATATTACACTTGACATTCGGAGAAGAAAGTCGGTGTTAAAAGAATAAGCGATAGTTTACGAAGGATAAATAGACATTCACTTTCGTGGGTAATCCATCATTTCTGAGGAAAGGCCAAAGATGGATAACTTTACGGCCAAAATTTATCGTTTTTCTCACTGTTTCTACGTTGCGCAACTTTTTTTAACAATAAAAAAAGAGAAAATAAACCCAAAAAAGCGAAAAATGAGGGAAAAGCCCTCGAAGCGCGAGGATCACTTTCTGTCACCCTCTTATCGCTTTCCACAAGGTCAAGTTGAATGGCCTTGCCGGCATTTCCACAGCCGATCCTTTTCAGTTTCCTTTGATAAACACGATTAGCACTCCGGGTGTTGCGTGAGCAACAAAAAAGAGCAATTTCCGACAGCTTTGGGGGGCCTTCTGGCCATTGTAAATATTTATTGGACACCTCGGCACATCTCTTTATGTGTAATGAGGGAGGTGCCCGAGGTGTGACGCTCTGACTTTTTTTGTAGTTTTTGCGCTTTCAGCATAAGCCAGATATCAATTCCTGAAAGTTTTAGACCGCGGTTTTCAGTGTTGGAGTCGCCGTTAGTAATAATGACCAATTAAGATTAGAGAGAATTTATTCTAATAGGGAAATAAAATATATCACAAAATATATATATACATGGTGGTTCAGCCTAAGCTTCCATCCTGATTTCAAGTATTTCTCTGCCAATAATGCCATGATTTCTATAAAACTTATATCAAATTGAAGCTGAGGTACCCCATTTTCTGTCCACCAAATATGACGGGCCCAAGTTCACGGAGGCTCCCGTACTGACCCTTGACATTTTCATCCCAAATTTTGGAGCCCGAAATAGGTGAAACTTAGAATTTTTGCAATTATTTTCAATTGGGTTTCTCGGACAAATTTTTCTGATTTCCGGAAAAAAACAAAGTCACCAAATTTGATGAAAATTTTTAACATAAAAAAAGTAAGGTTCACAGAAGTACCAAGTTCCTAAAGAGAATATTTCCTCGACTGAGCCGAGGAAGGGGTGTACATAGCACGGCAACCCGAAGTGTTTCCTGGCTCCTTTCGACACTTCGCCCATTTTGTATCGGTTGAAATCAAACGAAATGTCACAAAAGAACTTTTCGTGGGATTTTCCGACCGAAAAATATTTTTCTCGGAATTATTTTATTTCTTTTGTCAATTTTGACACTTCGTTTGGACGAAACTCAAAAGTGGGCGGGAAACATTTTTCGTCTATTTCGGGTTGCCGTGCATAGGGCCTCGCAATTTCGAAACCTCCTGTTTTTATTCACTTGGCTCATCGGTCTCTCTTTTCTTGACCAAAGATGTCGGGATTGTTTTTTATTGATGAGTCCTTTCCATTTCGAGTCTTCTGTCTTGCAGAACTTTGCAGAAGATTGAATTCGTCATTCCTTCTTCCTTACTCTCTCTTCCAGATTACTTTCGAAATCCCTTTTGATTATTACAGCAGCAGAAGCCGAGATATTCAACAATCTTTGCGGGGGAGAGGGTACACCTAATGTGGAGAGGGGTCAAAGAGAAAACACTCTTTTTAGCTGTATCTTTGCCAGTTTCGTGTGGAAAAAATAGATTTTTTTTGTGTGGAAACATTACACTCTGCGGTAGAAATAGACAGGAAACTTTCCATGCCAAAATTTGCAAAAAAGTGCCGCATTTTTTCCTAAAAATCATTTTTTTGACCTAAAAATCTCGGTGACAGCAGAAGTATTCAACAATTTTTGAGGGCGAGAGAGTACACAAAATGTGGAGAGGGGTCAGAGAAAAAACACTTTTTTGGCTATATCTTTCTCGGTTTTGTTCGGAAAAAATTGAGTTTTTGTGGAAACATTACACTCTACGGTAGAAATAGACATGAAACTTTTCACGTCAAAATTCGCAAAAAAAGTATCGAATTTTTTCAAACCTTTGGGCCTAAAAATCTCGGTTGTTTATGGTAAGCACTGCCATCCGCATTTCGGCTACTTTTGTCGACAAACGATGTTGAATTTTTTTGATTTTTCTTGCACTGTGCGAAAAACGATGGGCCGCACAGTGCAAAAATTTTTATTTTTTCTTTTTTTTCTCATGCACTGTGCAACAAAAAAAATTTTTTTTCGCACTGTGCAATCTAAAAAACTTATTTTTTCTACTTTTGAAAATTAAAAAATTCTGTAAATGCATTCAAAAAATGAAAAAAAAGAAATAAATTAAGAACCGATCACAAAGGCCAAGGCTTTATTTCGAATCCAGAATATTGGTCACAAGTAATTGTAATTCTCGATCAGTTCCTGGATCAGCGTTGCGTAATGATGGGCGAGATAAACGGAGTGGAGGGAGGGTTGGAAAGCCGTCAACCGAGTCGTTTTGGGGCGGGGATTGGGTCTCAAGGCGGCTGGGTTCAGTTCAGTAGGACCTTCTGAAAATCGGGGTGACATTTTATACGATCAAACATGTTTTTTGTTTCTGGATTCAAAAAAAAATCAAAATTTAAAAAAGCTTGAGAAACTTGTTGAAAATCTTAGAAGGGTGACGTTTTATACGACCAAAACTTTTTGAGTTTAACGACTTTTTTCTGGATCTTTTAATAAAACTTTTTGTAAAATACGAAAAAATACTTACCCGGTGAAATTTTGAATTTTCTTGGGAGTGTGACATTTTATACGAAAAATGAAAAAAGAAAAAAGTCTTAAAAATTCCACTAAATTCCAAGTCAAAAATCTAAATTGTACTAAAATAAATTTACGGTAAAATACGCATATTTCACAACAGCTATTGGGTCAAAAATTTTCAAAAAAAATAAACAAAAAAAATAAAAAATAAAACGTTTTACCGATGGCTTCCACCAACTCCATGGGTTTATAAGCTCCAAACTTGATGGGGAATACTTGGATCGGATTGGTTAATCGATAATTCGCCTCTTCCGGGGGTGGGAGTGAATCTCTTTCTTCGGGACTCAATCCAGTGTTTCCACAGTCACAAATGAACTGAAAATCAGAATTTAAACTAGTTTAAATTCATCATCTATCACTAAAAATAATGATGACCCCCTTGGGACCTCATACAAAAAATTTCAAGTCGAGACTCGGGCGCAGTTCGGAAAAAATCAAAAAATTTTATTTTTAGCTAAGACGTCCGGGCTTTCTTTAAATTTTGTTTGGACCTTCTAACTAGGTGAAACATCAATTTCTAATAGATTTTAGCCCAAAAAACAAAATGTTTCAAGCCAAAAAAGCAAAAAAAATGCAGAATTTTCGTCAATTTTCAGGCTAAAAATCTCGGTCATTTCTGCAACTCGCAAAATAAAAAAGGCCTACATGCCCCAGTATATCTTGCTCTAAATTTATCCCGAATTTCGTCAAGATCTGTGTACTGAAAGTTTAGAAATTTTCGTCTGAACCTAACCTACTCACCACAAATCCCTCAACTTACTCGCTGCGTTTCCACTTCGCTTCCGGCTGCTGTGGGAGTGCTGGCGGTCGAGTGGCCGGTCGTGGTTGAGTCCGACGCCGGGCCAACCGTGTCGCTCGTCGCGCTTCCATCGTAATCGGTGCCGGTTTTAACCGGGCTCGGCTGCGTCGAAGGGACCGGCTTCAGCGTCGAGCAGCTGGTGCAGGACTGAAAAATAGCTGGGATTTGAATGTAAAATACGGTAATACCTTCGAATTATGTGCAAGAAATACTAAAAAATGGTCAAATTTCAAAAAAAGTTAAATTTATTTTTGACTAGGGCGCAGCTTGGAAAAAAATAAAAAATATGTTTGTTTAGAAGTAAAACTTGTCTTAGATTTGAATGTAAAATACGATGACATCTTCATAATGCACAATCAAAAGTTAAAATGTCAAATTTCAAAAAAAAAAAAGAAAAAATCTAGGGCGCAGCTTGGAAAAATTTAAACAAATCTCTGCTTGTTTAGGACTGAAAATAATTTTAGATTTGGATGTAAAATACGAAGCGAATATCTTGGTAGCTATTTCGCCTCAAAAATAAAAAATAAATCAAGTCGAAGTTTGGGCGCAGCTAGTCAAATTTGGGAGAAAGCTAGACCGGACTCAAAATATCTTGAAATTTTAGAGTAAAATACGGAATTTATGGCTATTATTCTTTTAAAAAACCCCAAAATTTTTAAATTTCGGTGGTCGAAGTTCGACTTAAAAGTCTTAAAAGTCGAAATTCGGGCGCAGCTTGGAAAGATTAGAGAAAAAAAATCGCACATCACTCAAAAAACTTTTTTAATTTTAGGGTAAAATACGGCATTTCTCGAATTTTTTTCGAGAGCGAAACCTGTGAAGATAATGCGGATTTTTGTCTTGCCGACCCTCCTCTTGTCACGTGCTCTCTCCGAAAAAAAGATTGACTAATATCTCCGCTTCAGGTAAAGGTTTTGAGCTAAAATTTTTTAGGAATAAATTGATGCTAGGGTATCCAAAAAATTTTTTTTTGATTTTTTGAATTTTCAATTTTTTTAAAACTACAGGGTGCGCCAAAAATATTGGGACTCATATTTTTACTTGCCCTGCGGGCTGTAAGGGTACAAGAGCAAAGTGGTCGCTTGTGCAAACGTGCAATGCTCCCAAGAATCTATCTTCAAAGTTTCAGACAGAGTAGTCGTATACGACACCTGTTCTGCCATTATAAGTGCTCACAACTGAGGCCCCAGAGACACGGACCCCAAAATGGATAAAAATTGGAAAGACTACTTTTACCGTTGCATGCTATGGCGGAAATTCACTTCATATGACAGAGTAGCGGTCGCTTTTTATACACTAAAAATGATTTTTACTTATAATGACGATTACATCTTTTACAGCCCGTCAAAGTCGGCCTAAAAACGCGCCGTTTTCCAGAAAACTTCCGTAAGATCAAAGATTTTTATGTAGAAGTTTCGATGTAAGGTTCCCAGCGTATTAGGCATCAGAGATACTTTCATAAGGACAACGAGAGTCTGACTAGTCGTCTTTGAAAAATTATTTTTTTATCTTCTGCCTCTGGGGGATGAAATAGTGACTATAGCGGTAGAATTTACTCTAAGGTTGCTCGTCAAGTGAGCCTGGACTGAAGATCGCTAAAAGTAATTCAGTTGTGTCAGCATGTATCCCGAGTACAGCGTTACGTCGATTTTTACGCTCAAGTACTTTTCAACTTGTAGTAAACTGCCAAAATATATAAAGCTTCGAAGGACCGTGCCTCCAATCCGCACCATAAAGTTTTTTCCATACAGAAACTGTCCCCTTGTAGGTGTAGATTTTCTTTTACAGTATGACAATTCCCTATGTAAACACTCTATAACCATAAAATTTTAGAGCAACACGGGCGATACTGTGGTATTGAGATCGTTAAAAACATAAAAATCCGAACTTTCGGGATTTCTTTTGTTTTTGCGACCAGCGCCGCCAGATCGGTCGTCAACCATGATTACATACGCTGTTACGAAGCTAATAGCATGTGCTTTATACACAATAAATTTGAAGGATCTTACTTTCCCTTAGCGGAAATAATGGCCAAATTGATTTCCCGGTCATCCACTTGAAAAGAAAATTTTGGTCCCCCAAAAACCTTTGAATATTTTTTCAAGTTTGCAATAGGCCCCAACCCTGGCATTACCGTTGCCGTATAGCAAGACTGTTACCCTTGCTAAAACGGCCAAAAGTTTTGATTCCAAGGCCAGCCGAAAAAAGCTACACGGAATTGATTTTTGTCCCAATATTTTTGGCGCACCCTGTAATTACCATTTTTTTGAAGAAAAATGATCGACATATACATAATGAGACTCCTATAAAAAAGTTTTTTTCAAATTTCCCCTCCAACCCACCTCAGTGAGCATGGACGAAGCGCTGATGGCGGAGCCGCCTCCTCGCTGATATACCCGTCGAATCTCGGGCTGTCTCGGCCCTTCCTCCATTTTCTTCCGATACAACACATAGCAGAGGGTGGCCAGAATCAAGAACAACGCGATCAAAATTTCCATTCGGACAGAGGGAAGTGGGAAACGGACTGGGAGCGGGCGAAAAACGGATGAAAATGAAAAATTTTGGGGGAAAAATGGAAAAAAAATGTAAAAAAAAATTTTGAATTTGAAACAATCAAATAAAAAATAATACGATTTTTTTATTTTTTTTTATTTTTTATTTTTTTAAAATGTCTTTTTAAATTTTTTTAAAATTAAAGAAAAAATAATACAAATTTTTTTCTTAATTTTAAGTGGTTTTTGAAAATAATACGATTTTTTTTTATTTTTTTTTTCAAAAATAATCCGAAATTTTTTTCATCAAAGTTTATTTGGGATATCCAAAAAACAAAAAATAATCGCAATTTTTTTCCAATTCAGTCATCTACTTGGGAAGTTGGACATAAGTGGAGGTGCCCATATCGGATCCTTTGTTCTCCTGCTTCTCCGGCTCGGCTGGAGGGGCGGCCGGCGGGACAGAGGGGGATAATGCCGTGTCGGCGGTGGTGGGACCACTTCCACTGGAGACGCTGGAGCGCGACTTGTCTTCCGACTTCTTGGAACGTCTTCTCTGCTGAAAAAAAATAAAAAAATAATCAAAAAATAATGAAAATTTCAAAAATTCAAAATATTTTAAAATCGATTTTTTTGTGGAAAACGCCAATCAACTTGTGAAAGCAAGCCGTATTTTACAAATAAATTTATCTTAGAGACTTCTAAAAACTTGTTTTTGCCTAAAAAAATTTATTTTAATTTTTGAAATTTTTTCAAAAAAAAATATTTTTTCGTATAAAATGTCTCCCCTCCCAAAAATTTTAAAATTACTTTTCGTTCCGTTCGTCAATTTTATTTCGATTTTGCAAAATTATTTTTAAACCAAAAATCAGATATAATAAAAACACGTTTGATCGTATAAAATGTCTTTAAAAGTATAATTGCCCCAGGCAAAACGCTCATTCATGAAAAGAAATTTAAAAAATATTTTGCACTGTGCAAAAATTTCTTCCGTCCCGGACCGTCCGCACTGTGCAGAATTTTTCTTTATTTTTGCAAATTTTTTGGCATAAAAGTCCCGGTTATTTCGCCCAATCGCGAGCCCTAGTCATGACCTAATCAAGCCCCAAATCCCACCCAAAAAACCCCCCAAAACTCACTCGTCGCTTTCTGCACGACCTGGTCTTCGCGCTCGCGGTGTCACTGGCGCATTCGGCCGACGGCCCGGCATTCCCGACCGCCGCGAACGTGGCATACAGCGCGAGGGCAGCCAATGCGGCCACGCCCACTCCAATCAAGACCAAACGACTTTTACACGCAGACTTTTCCATTGAAATCGACCACCAACAAACTGCACAACCAACTCGAAAGAAGGGAAATTTCGGGGGGAAATTGCGTGAAATTTGGGAGCTTTCATGGGAATTTTGAAAATGAAAAAATTGCTGGCTTTTGCTAAATTTGGGATGATTTTTTTGTACAGGGTGTTTCTAGAATTATGGAAAAAACTATTCATTTATAACTTTGTGCTCGGTGGTCCAATCCGAAATTTTTTTTTGCATTTTGCAGCAAAACATTTGAGTTTTTAGAATCAAGAAAATTTTTTTTCATTGATCGGCGGAGACTTCGGTAATCCTCCTTGAATTCGGCGGAGTGCTTTTTTCACAAACGAGGCTGTAAATTGTTGTATGTGTGAAGTAAATGGGCGGGAAAGGATTCAATAGATACAATATGAAATTTCTTTCAAATTTTTGTCATTCGGCGGAGACATTTTTTAACCTCGGCGGATGATTTTTCTTCGACTTTGGAGAGTCAAAATTGGCTAAAACCAAAACGTAGGTATTCCTGGTGGCATGGCGCCTAAATACGACTTATTACGTCTTCGGCCTACTGAGAGAATAAAAAAAGGCCATCCGGCGGAGAAATCGGCGGAGAAAAAAATGAACCCATTTTACACCCTCGTTTGTGAAAAAAGCACTCCGCCGAATTTAAGGCGGATTACGGCAGTCTCCGCCGATAAAACGAAAAAATCTTTTTTTGATTCTAAAAACTCCAAGGGTCTTCTGCAAAATGCTAAAAAATTTTTTCGGATTGGACCACCGAGGACAAAGTTATTAACGAATAGTTTTTTCCATAATTCTTGGAACACCCTGTAGTTTGATAAAAATTTGGATTGCTATCCACGGCATTCTGTACTTTTGGGACACAACCAATCTCCGCGACATTTTTAATTTTTTTCGGAATGCGCTTGCTTTCTCTCTCCATATCTCGCTAGCCATGTAAGCTAGAAGACTAAAATTTGGCACGGCAGTAGAGTAAAAAGCTGGCTTTCAGAAAATGTAAATATTGTAAGGAACCCGGCAGTATAAACTTCCCGATGACAATTGAAAAAATCTCATTTTTAAATCTTCTGCCACCCAGAAGTGCATGTTGCATGACCGTATTGACAAATTTCTTCATGTCTATGTGTGTCAAATTCGATTCTCTACAAGATGGCCAAATTTCATCTTATTCGGTACGCTACGAGCTGAGTTAGGATTAAGCTCACAATTTTTTGGTATTTTAAGGATATTTCCGCCCTTAGGGCATCTACAAACAAATCCACCAGCCGAATTATTCAATATACTTATAAGTATGACCCCGCCAAGTTTTGTTCTTCTAGCTCGAAAAATGGCAACGTTATTCGCACAGTTCTTCTTCCAATGGCTAAGCCTTGAGTCTGGATCGGAAAAAGACTTGGAAGACTTTTTTGAAATTTTTTCACAGGCGTTTTGCAAAAAAATAATCGTTTTTTTTGCGATTTTACAGTGCCAGAACTAATCCAGTGGCAAAAAACGCACCATTTTACATCCGGGAAGTATCAAAAAGTGTTGCAAAATGATGACAAAAACGATAGAAAGAAATGATTTTTTGTGGAAAGATTACCGTCTATGGCATATAGTAGAATAAGCAATAAACTTTTTATGCTAAAGTTCGCAAAAAAAGTGTCGCAATGATCAATCGTTTTTATTCGATATTCTCAAGGTCTACAACTTAATTTAATTATAAATTTAATTTTTTCAATTGAATTATGACCGGTTTAAAAACGAAGTCTCAGTTCCCGAGTTTATCGTCCCATCATGTTCAACGTTGGGAAAAGTCTTCTCATTCTGGCAATGGTTGTGTGCGCCGTGCAAGTCAATAGTTTGTGGTCATTCTATCCGATGACTGGGTTCCCTGGCTGTGAAGGTTTCTTTAGTAAGCTGCCTGAAAGAAAATTCCCCTGGTCTCTATTGCTGGCAACGACCACTGCAAAGCCGGCGACAAAACGACCTTAACACGTTGAAAACAGCTTTCTAATGAGTTGAAATAAACAATTTTCTTCGTCATTTTTCCAGTTTTTCAATAGGTTGAGGAGCGTGGAATAACTAACACATAGCATTTTGCATCCAGGAAGTGTTACAAAACGTTGCAAAATACCTCCATCTCCAAGTGAAAAAACTCGACTTCGTAGCTTCGGCCGCTCACATCTCTCGGGCAGCATAAATGCAACGTTGCGCCCGGTTTCGCTCCTTTGCGCGCGATTTGAGCAACATTTTTGATAAAGATGATGTAAAGCTCGCCAAAGCTTCGCCGGCGAGACTGAGCCTAGTTACAACCTTCAGAACTCTAAACCGATCTGCTCTGACTTTGTTAGACCAAACAATTAAGACCGCTATGTCTACCCGAATCGCTAAGCCAGGTCGAGTCCCGGTTTCCGAGCGAAACACGCTTTTTTCGCCATATCTTTGCCAGTTTCGCCGCGCGAAGACTTTATTACGATGCTTCATACAGCAAATGTGGCTAATTTTACTATAAATCCGTTTATTTCGCAATGGAATGACCAGAATAAAAGTTTTCACCCGTTTTTCTTTCCCCGCGCCTCCTCAAATGGCCATGGAGAACATGTCCTTGCTGAGGATGTTGCGCATTATCTCCTGTCGCTCCAACTGATAGATGGCCATGGCTCGGTAGCGATAGTAGCGCTGGACTCGGTAAATCACATCCAATATTGCAACGTTCGCGATTAGAAGTAGTATTGTAACGACAAAGAAGAAGAGGACAAATGAGATGAGTTGAGAGGCTGAAAACGCGATTTTTAGCGGAGAAATCGTATTTTAAGAGGGGGAAATTGAGTGGACTAGAAAGTCCAAGGTCTAATAAGTTATTCCAGAGAAAATTTTTATATCCTGAGGGCATAAATTTTTGGAATCTTGCGATTTTTTGTTGTTTAGTCATCAAAATTTAGATTACAGTAAAACACAAAAAAATATGCTTTTATGAAAAATCTCATGGGTGGAATAACTAGAGTATGGACAATGTAAGAGATTTTGGAAGAAATTTTGTAACCTGAGGACATGAACTTGCAAAAACTGATTTTTGTCGAAATCTTTCGAAAAATTGTCTTAAACTTGCTTCTTGAAGTTTTAAAGGGGGAATTGTATTTTGGAGAGGTACAAATCGCATGGATTAGGAAGCACATGAATGTATGAATAATTTGAGCCCAAAGTTTAGCTGCCTGAGGGCCTAAATTTTTGGAATTTTTCGACTTTTTTCAAAATTTTCTTCGAAAAAGTGCATAAACTTTGAATGCTTGTAAAATACGGAAAAAAAGCTCATGTAATTTGATGTTTTGCCAAGATAAAGTGCAAGAGTTTACATTCAATATAGGATTAAGTTTAACTGCCTGAGGGCCTAAATTTCTGGAATTTTTCAACTTTTTTTTAAATTTTCTTTGAAAAAGTGCTTAGACTTTGAGTGCTTGTAAAATACGGAAAAAAAGCTCATGTAATTTGATGTTTTGCCAAGATAAAGTGCAAGAGTTTACATTCAATATAGGATTAAGTTTAACTGCCTGAGGGCCTAAATTTCTGGAATTTTTCAACTTTTTTTAAAATTTTCTTTGAAAAAGTGCTTAGACTTTGAGTGCTTGTAAAATACGAGGATTCCGCCCAAGCAATGTCATTTTTCGCCAAGATGAAGTACAAGGGAATACATTCAACTGCCAAAAATTTTGCGATAATACGAAAAACATACGACCTCAAAATTTCAACTTACGTTCAACCCGAATGAACTTCCAAAAAATGACAAATTTGAGCGCGCTAAGCCCAAATCTCCCCAAAAACATTGCGCACAGGATGAATGTGATCCACAACAAGCAGCATACACATTCGACGATCTAAAACACATCTCTCAATGTCATAAAAACAGGGTTTCCCCTACTTTCAAAACGATTAATGGCCAGAAAAAGTGATACTTCCGTCGCCAAAACCCGATCCAACAAGAGGCGCAGCTGAACAGCGACCAGCTCACTTGACACACCCCAAACGCATCAATGAAACCGATGAATGTCGAGAACACATAGGTCTCCACGGCCAGAACGAGGAGTTCCGCGAGTACAGCGAACTTCCCGCCATTCTGAAAGGATCTTTTATATTGTAGTAGGCAAAAAATTGAGTAAAAAAACTTGCTTTGATTTTGCTGAAACTTGGCAGAAATTTAGAATAAAATTTTCTGAGAAATTTCTGAAATTTTTAGCTCGCGCTTTGGAGAAATTTTTGAGATTTTTTGATCGGAAATTGAAAAAATTTCAAAAATTTTTTTGAAATTTTGGACTTGAAGAAATTGGACTTTCTTTTAGATGTAGAGTATAATATTTCCACAAAAAATTATTTTTTTCCAAGCGAAATCCGCCGAGATATGGGCAAAAAACAAATTTTTGTCTGACCACCCTCCTCTTTTTGCGTGCTCTCTCGGAGAAAGATTGTCTAATATCTCGAATGCCAGTGGAAGTTATGCGCCAAAATTCTTAGCGATTATTTACTGACCCATTTAGAGTATTTAGGCGGTATTTGAAAAAAAATTCAACCCAGGGTATCATCAAAAAAAAATTTTTTTTATTTTTCCTAAACTTTTTTGTTTTCAAAAAATTTCCGTAGAGATCAAATCCCTGATCACTAAAAAACAAGTGCATTGCCTCTTTTCACTTGTCACTCCGCAATTTGTCAAAGTTTTCCGGCCACGAGTCAACGGGAAAACAGACAAAAAATGCGGAGACTTTTTTCGTGTTTCCAAAAGACCATCAATAAAAGAACAGCGAAATTCTCGAGGCCCAATGCTTGGATTTTCTTCAAATTTTGAACATAAAATCTCTATAGGGCACGTATCAAATGTGGAAATTTTAAGCTCTTTATTTGCAAGGAGGGCGGAGATATCCAATGTTTTCTGCAGCTGACAGACAATAGCAAATGAGGAGAGACAGTCAGAGAAAACTGTTTGGCTTTGGATTTTAGCGATTTTTTGGAGGAAAAACATGAAAATAAGTTGGGGAGGGTGTGTTTTCAAACGTTTTATTGCACAGTGCAAAAAATTTTTTTTTTGCACTGTGCGGGAAATAAAAAAAAATTTTTTTGGCCGTTTCTTCGCGATTTTTAGGGGGAAAAAATTAATTTTTTGTAGAATTATTTTGCTATACACAGAATAAATTTCCAAATTTTTTGGAAAACTGAAAAAAAAATAATTTTTTTTTTGATTTTTTTAAAAAATTTCGATAAATTCTGCGAAACGCGAGGTAAAAATCTCAAAATTATCTTAAAAAATGTTATCTAATTTTTTGAAATAAAAAAATAAAAAAAAAATATTTTTTTTTTTCAAAATTTTCCCCCCAAAAAACCCCATTTTCCTTCCGATTTCCACTCACCACAATGTGCAGATGCCCAAAAAAAGTGCGATGGGACTCGCCGAAGAAGTGAACGGACATTGGAATGGTCTCGGAGGTTGAGGTATTTTATGTAATTTATAATAACACCGGCCGCACACAAAACTTTGGAGATTAGCCCTGAGGTGATCGTCGGACATACGGAGACAGCTGTCGAACATGACGGGCTGTTCAGCTTGTCCCGAGATGATACAATTACCCGCCTCGGGCAGTTAAAGTGAGAGGGGGGATAAAACGAGCGTTTTGAAGTGGTAATAGTAGCAGTCAGAGGCGAAAGATTGAGTTGTTTGTATTTTTTGAGGGGAAAAAAGTTTGAAAAAAGTGCATTTTAGTCAACAAAATTGAAAAAAAAAATTTTGGAAAAAATTTACAGTAATCCTACCAAGTTGAAATTGCGATTTTTGAAGTCGTCGTCGTCCTAAACCTACATACAGCCGGGTTTGTGTAGCTTCCCCAATTGCGACGGCGACAGCAGAGCTCAGAAGGACGGTAATAACCGTATGCAAATTTCCATCTTCCGGGCATCACTGGGCAAAAAAATTTTGGGAACGTGTTTTAATGGAATGATATCACGGTTTTGGACAAAGCCGATGAATATGGAGTCCAAAACAAGTTGTTATAAAGGCTGAACAAAACTTTTTTTGTCCAAACGAACTTTTCGATGCCCGCAGATCGGAAAATCGGGTCCTCAAACACTACGAATGTAAGAATTTTCATTTTTATCCCTTTTTGAGTAATTCCTAGCTACCATTAGGCAGTTGGTGCTGATCTTTTGGCTGAAATTTTGAATTTCTGATTTGCAGGTAAAAAAAGTTCGAAAGCTTTTGGATTCCCGCAAATAAAAAAATGCTCCGAAATCTTTCGTGAGCCATCGTAATAAAAAAACCGGGGTTTCTATGCCAAGACAAGGCGCGATGATCATTTTTTTATCTAAAAAGTCTTCCAAATCAATCAAAACTAGTTGTAATAAAAAAACCGGTTCCGTAAGCGACATTATGAGCCAAAATTTGTTGTCTTGGCAAAAATTGGGCTCAAAATGGCATTGTGACAAGGGTTAATAAACTTCAAGAAGACTTGGAGAAATCGGAGAGTCAGCATTCCGTGAATCAGCACATGCTGAAGAAGCACAAACAGAGAATTGAACTCGAAATTGAGAGGAATATGAGTGCTGAAAGTCATATCGACAATTTGATGGAAAAGATCAGGAAGCTGGAAAAGCAAATCCAAAATTTGCAAAAGCTTGAACCTGAAGATCAGAAACGCGACGAATCTGAAGACAGAAGAGCCGAAGACAGTCCTGGCGAACTGTGAGAGGGAACATAAAGTTTTGTGAGACTCGATGAATCGTCCGTCGATGGATACTCCGAAATTGATCAGGACGACTTCCAAGTTTCCAAGCAGTCATCATCATCATGATAAGAGTTCCATTTTATGTCAATAAACATTTGCTTTTTTTGTGTTTGTCTCAAGATAATGTTGATTTAAGACGAATATAATCTGGTTGAAGGAATTTGCAAAATAAATATTCTTAGCTGGCCGTTTTTATTTCTGAATTTTTAAAACTTTTTATGTATTCCAGAGCGACGCAATTTGTAAATTCGATATGCAGATTTCTGAAACTTTCGTAAAATATTTCAAGTGATCTGCAATGGAGCCGTTGTGTCGCCAATTTACAAAAAAGTCCACATTGAAAGCTCAAAAAAAGGGGTAATTCTGCAACGACCCTCCCTTTCTTGCCTGCCGCCCGTTTCCACACGGGCTCAGGTCAACGAAGTGTCGCTTCAGCAGCGAAAAATCTCTGAAGATGTTTTTAAGGCGTCTTCATTCTCTTTGCTTTGAATTCCTTTTAATAGATTTAATATAATCAAAATCGATAGACAAAATTTATGGGATATGATAGGGTCTATGATATTTTATATGATTTTTACAGATTATATTTTTCTATATCGCGCAATTTTTTGGTTTATTAACCCAAGTTTGAGGATCTAAATAAATTTGGTCAAAATCGAGTTTTCCATCTTAAATTGTTGGACAACGGAGTTCAATAATAAATTGTCGAGGGAAACGGAGTACCTGCGACAGAATAATGCCAAGAAATTAGCAGAAAAAGAACCGCGTTCTTTGCGATCAAAGGTCATCTGACGACACCTATGGTAATAGAAGCATAAAGACGCAGACATCTTTTCGTGACAGACTGATAGTTAGCTTTTTGTGTTCTTGTGTTTATTTTTTTTTTGTTTCTTTTAATTCCTTTTATTGTAGATTTTGCAGATCTATCGCGCTAGGCTAGTTATTAGTATTTTCATGAAGTGCATGGACATTTTTTTCGCTTTCGCACAGCGCATCTTTAAATTTTCCCACGCTTGTCGCCAACGGACAGTGCATTTTCCGTTTGCGCACCGTGCAAACCACAAAAAAAGCGGTTTGCACTGTGCAAATGTTTGAGCTGAACCCTTGGAAAAAGCTCAGGCCTCAGAACTCGTTCTGCATCTATGTTTTTTATTTCAGAATATCACAATCTATATCTGCTGAATTATACGATCATGGTGAAGTTTATCGTGGACCAGACGGTTGGCGAAACATTCCAGTTTGAGAAGGAAATCGGCCGAAATTCTGCTTTGACGATTTGGGAGGTTTTTTTGGACAGATATGGTCTCCGTTACACTGATAGTATTCGTGACTACGGTTCAAACTGGATTGAAGAATGCACGGTGAACGGGAAAAGCTTGTCGTCTCATGAGAAACTCCAACCAGAATATGAAACAATCTTTGTCAGACTGTGGCCTCTTTGGTTAAGTTCCTTTTATTTCTTTACCTTACAACGGGTGCTTTTGAATGCTCAGATTTTTATAAAACTTTGCATACATCTGATTATTTCCATTTTTACCGTTACAAAGGCTCGGGAAAACCCCGCATCCCGTTTTTTCTTTGAATTATAGTCGTTTTAGGTACACTTCACGATTCGTTGTGAGAATTCAGATTTTTGTCTTGAAACTCCCGGTGTTTGCGGCCGCATGGAAACCGTTGGCGATGCGGTCAGGCGTATGTTGAAAGAGAATGGCAAACGTCCGGAATCTTTGATAGTTGCTGCGAGAGAAAAGATCAATGGCGTTTTTAAGAATTGGTAAATACGATTATGACCCACCGGCGGAAACCCTTCTTTTGGGGCAGATTCCATTTACTAGAATTCTCATAAAGTGGGTAGACTTTTGCACTTTCAAAATTTTCCTGGCCCCTTCCGGGCTTGGAAATTGGTTAGTCGCTTGAATGGTTGTGAAGTTTTTATTCTAACAATGTTGGGCTGCTTAAAACGTCGGTGGATCATAATCGCATATATTCAGTGAGGAATGGCACTATGTTAATGCATTTGCGCATTACGAAGTGAACATCCACCGAAAAGTTGTATGTTTCTTTTACCTTTAAGTTTTTTACCGAAACTTTACATGTGATTTTGAAAAGTTTCAAATTCACGTTGACACTGTGCTCCAACCTTATAAAGATCGTGTTTTAATTCATTTTTTTCAGATTTACTTCGAGTTCTGGCACAATCAGGTGAGAAAAGTCGAGGAATGTTTTGTTGAAATGGGAGACATTGTATACGAAGTCGCTCGTAAAGCCTTGGAGGCAAAGAATGTCGATGTTTCAAAGATAGATATCGATATTTTCCGAGATGTAGGTTTTCTTGCTTCGTTACAAACTTACATTGAAATACTTTTACAAATTTTTAATTTTACTTTTATAGCGTGGATCGTATGTTAAAATGACGCCACTTTGCAAAGTAAACCGTTATAAAGAACACTACTTGCTTGCGTTAACCCCACGCAACAGTAATTGTAGTCTTGATGTAGGCGAAGCTCAAACCAAGCCTTCAGAAGTTGTGGAGAAGCAATACCAGGACACGCCAGATTCTCGAAGTCCACGGCTCTCAGAACCTCAGCAAAAAGAGAAGGAAGAGAAGAATGGACAGGTCTCCGCTGATTTGGATTCAAAACTGTCGACCATTATTGACATGCTCACAAAAGTTGCGGAAAATGTCACGTCGAAAGTTGTTGAAGATCTCGCAACCAAGCGTGCCTCCGGTCAACCAGAAACCGCCAAACAGAAGCTAAACCTGAAAGACACTGATGAGTACAAGAAGCTGGAGGCCGACTACGCAAACCTTCGCAAGGAATTCGAAACCACCAAGGATGACTTCAAAAAAGAGCTTGTGAGGGCGCAAAATTTCAACGAAAAGATTGAACGTCGTTTAGTGTTCTTGATTATGCTATTTGTTTTTGGTTTCCTTCAATTCGGCCTATTGTAAATTTTGCACACCTATTGCGCTAGGCTAGTTATTAGTATTTTACAAAAGTGCATGGACATTTTTTTCGCTTTCGCACAGTGCATCTTCAAGTTTTCCACGCTTGTCGCCAACGCACAGTGCATTTTCCCTTTGCGCACCGTGCAAACCACAAAAAAAAAAGCGGTTTGCATGTCCTTGCACTTTATTAAAATTCTAACATCTTCTCCTGCAATTTTTAGCTGGCAGCAGGAACATCTAGTAGTATTTTCATAATTTTTTGTTACGATTTTCAAGACTTTTTGCCACAAAAGTAACTTTTCGGCACCGGCGCGGCTCCTGAGTTTCCGAAGTTTTTTGTGCCGTACTAACGTGTGGTCTTCCTGAACTTTTTGCCTGTAAGGCTTAAGCTGCTGTACATTTCTGGCCATTTCGCAGATAGCTGCCCTATTGATTACTTCACTCGCTTTTTGACGATCTCAAGGTTGGCAGAAGTATTCAAGGTGCACTTTTTTCGACTTCCCGGACGCGTACTATCGCGGAGTATTCCGTTAAATTATTTGGTGGCTTTTGGCATGACAGATTTGCTACAGCCAGCAATTTATCAACCTCACACTGTCCTTTTTCTTGCCGAAACAAGTCGGAAATCGAGGCCCCTATGTTCGACATTCAAAAAAGACATGTTAGCCAAGCGATATGGGCTTGAAAATAAAACACCTAGGGCAGAAAAATACAGAGAATTTACTGGTGAAAAAATTATTTGGCTACACCTCAAGGTTTTCGCGGCAGGACCCATGGAAAAAAGTTTCCATTTTTTTGGGCCACCCTGTATTGTAGTAGGCAAAAAATTAAGTAAAAAAGTCACTTTAAATTTGCTAGGACTTGGTAGAAATTTAGAATAAAATTTTCTGAGAAATTTCTGAAATTTTTAGCTCGCGCTTTGCAGAAATTTTTGAGATTTTTTGACCGCAAATTGAAAAAATTTCAAAAAATTTTTTGAAATTTTGGACTTGAAAAAATTAGACTCTCTTTTAGATGTAGAGTATAATATTTCCACAAAAAATTATTTTTTTCCAAGCGAAATCCGCAGAGATATAGGCAAAAAACAAATTTTTGTCCGGCCACCCTCCTCCTTTCGCATGCTCTCTCGCAGAAAGATTGTCTAATATCTCGACGGCGAGCTAAAATTGTTCGCCAAAATTTTTACACATTATTTAGCGGATCATTTAGAGAATTTGGGCGATATTTGAAAAAAAATTCAACCCGGGTATCATCAAAAAAAAATTTTTTTATTTTTTTCCTAAACTTTTTTGTTTTCAAAAAATTTCCGTAGAGATCAAATCCCTTCATGATTTTCAGCTTCACTCTGACATTTACTTGGCTTTTCTTTATTTTTTTAAGTAAAAAAAATAATTTGACCATCAAAAAAATCTAAAAATAACAAAAAAATAATAAAAATTCAACTATTTTTCTTTCTAAAAACCGGTATTCTACAAAGTTCTGGCATCCCGAGTCTCATCAGGCACTACCACCGTGATTTCTGGCTTGTCAGCTTTAGTCAACACCACTTGGCATCCCAATCTGGAGTAGTCGTCGAGTCCTGGGGCCAGATCTAGCATGTCCATCTCTTCTTCGCTTGGCTCCGCCAGTCTTTTGAAATGATTTGGATCCAAAATCACATGGCAAGTGCAACAAGCGACCGTCCCTTCGCAAGCTCCGAACCCGTCCAGTGGAACATCATTGTTTATCACCACATCCAGAAGACTGTCGCCGATTTCTCCGGTCGCTTTTAGGTCGCCATTTCGAGTCTTGAAAGTCACTGCGATTTGTCTGAAAATACCAAAAATTAAAAAAAAATATTAAAAAAAAAATCGAAAATTTTCAAACTAAAATTTTTCAAAAATCAACCGGTAGATTTGGATGAAATTTTTCACAAACTCTCATTATATGCCATATTTCAATGTCTAAAAATTTTAGGTCTTAATTCGCAGATACAATCAAGGTATTCAAAATTATGGGACGAGAGACCATTGAAAATGAGGAGACGGTCAGACAAAAATTTTCAAATTGAAATTTCTCAGAAATCGACTGGAAGATTTGGATGAAATTTTGCACATACTCTCTTTATACGCCATATTTTAAGATCTAAAAATTTTAACTCTTACTTAGCCGATACAATCAAGACATTAAATATTAGGGGACGAGAGACTGTTGAAAATGAGGAGAGACAGTCACAGAAATTGTTTAATCAGATTGTTCAAACAAAACACCAATTTTTTCATTTTGAACATTGACCTACAGTTCCTATTCAGCCATCTAAAAGTCTATTATAGCCTAATGGAATCCTAAATACCAAAAAAAAATAAGTTAAAACTTACGATGGACTACTATAATGTCGAGAGCTGAGCAATTGCCGGAAGAGCCTTGGAGAATGATGTAACAACCTCTGAAGCATCTAGAAAGACTTTCTTTGGCATTTTAATCAAATTCCGTGATCAAAATAAAACTTTAGATTCAAAAACTAGTCAAAAATCTTCAAGGCCTCTAGTACAACAAGATTTATTTAAAAAAACAATAAAAAATCAACAACCTAATTGTCTCTAATAGGGCTACAACACCCTATTCAGGCAAGATATACAAAATTCGTATGAGAAAAAGTAGACAAAGCCACCAATTCCCATCCAGGCGCATCGAGGGGTGAATCCAGAGAAAAGTGGGCGAATTCCTTCAGATTTGAAAATTTCGACCAATGTTAGAAATGGATTTGATGTTTTGGAGGTTCCTAACATAATTCTGGTCTTGACTACGTCCAATGGAGTGGTCAAACCCGCTGAAAGCGAGCCCGAGACACTTCCGGCAGCTGCTGATTGAAGAGGTGTGGCTTCCGATAAATTCTGAAAATTTTGATAGGTTACAGTGGATAATATCTCGACAGTATCATATCAAAAGACAGACCATGATGTCAGCCAGCTATTTCAAAACAATCCAGAGAAGAGTTGGGATCTAAACATCGAAAAAAATCAAAAATATTATCTTACCCTTCTCTTTGCAATCCGTCTCTTCAATTCCTCCCATAACGGATACTGAATAAAGGCAAATGGAATCTCCCTCGCCAGCGTTGATCCATAACCCTTGTAGAAGCCTGTTATACCATTTGACTTGAATATTCTTGCGGCAATATGCATTACGGACTTCTTCGACACCTGAGCTCGTTGTTTTACAATTTCGGTGGGAACTCGGATCAAACAAGCCGTGATCTCTCCACAACTAGCTGCGGTAGCATCCACGAGAGGTGCTAAAGACAGAAATAATAATTTTAGAAAAGAATCTCCGACTTACATCGAGTTCCGAACATGGACTTCATCATCTGATAGGTCAAGAAGAAGGCAGCTGCTCCTGGTGCCGATCCCATTGCAACCGATCCCATCCCTCGATACACACCACTGAATCCTCCAGAAGCCTTGAATCCGGCTTTACTTTGAAGTCGAGTCTTCAATGTGTCCAGCGGATATAAACTTAGGTCCACAGCTAGGCCAGCTCCAGCTCCGGCACTCAGCCATTTTATTGAATTGTCCATTATTCCTAATTTACCATCGTTCTGAAACCTTCTTCATGGTTTGTTATCGAAAAATAGACTTCCGATCCTAGAATTTTGTTTTTTAGCGATTTCACGGAATGCCACGCACTTTTGGCATTCATTGTTTTCGTGTCGGGGTTAAATTATATAGCTAGTGTAAATCAAAATTTATTTTTGAAAAAATATTTGAGAAACTTTGAATAATCTCTCGTTTGCCTAGGGGCATATTATGACAGGAAAATTGCAGAGACACAATTCTTTAAACGGGGGCTTTGTTTTAAGCCATTTTTCAAAAAAATCTGCTTTTTTTCGCCAGTTATTCAACGATTTTTACCCCCAGGCTCTTTTCCCACTCCGAGACTAATTATCAATTAGTAAATTAATTTGTCAAATGTTATTTTTAGATCCTAGAAACAAATTTTACCATAGGTTATGCTTTTTCGAGTTTTTTTTTCAGAGAAAGTCATGTGCAATATAATTTTTTGACGTGTTTGACGAAACGTTCTCCTTTTTAAACTATTTTTGATTTCAGTGTGTTTTAACCGTTATGTTGATTATTTTGAACATTTATTTGCACTAACAATGAAGCCCGTTGTTTTACTCACTTTGGTTGTTATAACACTTGCGCAGCACAATGATACAGTACTGGATGAGATCGAGCAGCGTCGGAAAGTGATGTTGGAACCATTGGTAAGGATTCTTATTTGTTTTGGCTTTTGTTTTTAGGTTCTACAAAGTGAGACAACGGAAAAATAGAAGAAATTAGATTTGACGTCTAGTACAATATAGAAAAGTTGATTTTTGTTCGAAAATGGATTTCTCTTTGTACGAAAACGTTCTTAGAAGTTGCTTTGTTGTTTTTGGCAACTTTTTAACGCATTTTCATATCTTTTTATTGCCTTGTTTTGATTATCTTCTTCATCCTTCAGCTGAAGAATGAAAAAATAGCCCGCTACAATCAAATATGCTCAATGACTAACTGGGCGTGTGAGAAGAAATGTCGTCTACAATACGGACAACCTACTGGGCAATGTTCTCGTCCCCGATTTGACCGTTGTTTTGAGCAACAGGTGCATTATAATTACACCAAGGACCATTCAAAGCCCTTCCCTCACGAGCTCGCTGTCCTCCGTTCTTTTCCAAAATGTTGGGCTCATCTCAGCCAGTTAGTTTGTGGTACCTATTTCCGACCTTGCGGCACTTATCGGTTCTTCGAAGCCGGATTATCAGTGAGTTTTTCGGCTATATTATTTTAGATGGGTCGATGATGTATAATATTGAAAATTCTCCAAGTTAAACGTATTTTTTTCTTTCAGAACTTTCGAATGGAGGTGTGGCAGATATATCCGCTTCATTTGTGCTCCCGGGCCGTTCAAAGTTGCGCATTTTTGGCGGAGCATGGGATAAATCTTGACTTATTGGGGTGTCAAGATCTGGAGAATGAAATTCAAGCCGAGCGCAAATTGTTCGACACCACCGGACAATGTAAGCTCAGATTCAGTGGGATCAACTATTATGGCGAGAGTGCTTGTCTCTCTCCACTTGTTCGAGTCCATTCTGACTTTTCTCCACAGTACGCGAAGCCTTTGATCGATGAATGTTACGTCCCTTGCATGTAAGATTTTTTCCGTTTTTTCTTTGACTTTTAGGTTGAATGCAGTCTGAAATTCGTATTTTAGCTCAAGTTTCGTCGAAGATCCAAAGGTTTTGAACACTTTTCGATCCATCTTGTTATCCATCACTGTTTTGTTGGCCTTTGTTTTTTGCGGCGCCTTGGTGAGTTTTTACGACGATTTTTTTGGTGGACCACATGTTTTATGACATTAGCTAGGTCTGTAGAAAATTTTTTTATTATTGGATTTAAACTTTTTCAATAAAAAAAAATTTTTTGATTTTAATTTTTTTAATTTTTTTTTGATTTTGCAATTTCAGGTGATAACACTCACCAAAAACTCCGCTCCAAAGTTTGTTCGATACCTAAACCTGAGTATTTTCACATTTTCGGCACTCTTTTTTGGAATGTGGACATTCGCCTTGGTGACCCATACTACCATCGAAAATAGTGCTGCTTGCGAAAAAGCAGGTCCCGAATACATCCGGAAAGAACTTCCAAAGTAAGTTAACAGCTTATGACAAAATTCAGAAGCTTTTTTCCCCAACAGCTAACCATATTTTTCCAAAAAAATCAAATTTTTCGAAAATTTTCCCGATTTTTGATGACTTTGCAAATTTTACTATATTTATTATTAATTTTTATGTTTTCAGAGGTGAACTAGACTCTTGTTTGATTCAATCAGCCATTCTGCAGTTCCTCAACGTGGCCTCGGTGATCTTCCTGGCCATCCGATTGGTCTCCATCATCTCCCCGAGTCAAACAATCGACCCAAAAACAGAGATCTGCCGAAACGGGCTGAGCCTTCAATCCATGGTATTTGTAACTGTCATGGCACTCAGTGCACTATGCGCGGTCCTTGGATTGTGGTGGAGACCAGTAAGTTCGGAAATTTTGAAGTTTTTGATATTATACTAGGTGCTGATGAAAAAATTGAATTTTGTTTTCGAATTGGAAGTGGATGCTAATTTAATTTGCTCGATTAGACTGGAAATAGTCTTAGGCAGCTTTAATAATTGAAGTTTGTTGGTATTTTGATATTGGTTTTGATAAAATTTCAAAAAATTATATTGTAGTAGACAAGAATTTTAATTTTTTGAAGTTTTTTGAGTAAATGTTGTCAATTACAGGAGGAATTTTTTCAGACAATCAGTGACGGCCTGACGGGCGTTTGCCATATCCCACTTGGCCCATTAAAACAATCCGCGGCATATTATGTTCCACTTGGTTTGGTCATGTTGGCTCAAATTGTTTTCTTAGGTTTTTATCTCAAAAATGCGGAATCTCAAGCTCCGAGGACTCTGAAGTTTGGATTATTCCTAATCTCATTCAATGTGACCATATTTGCGATCACGATTCTCATCCATGTTTTCTTGGCGTTCGATTCTTTCACTGAAGTTGAGGTCCTCAAGGATAAAATAAGGTAATTTTTTAAATTTTTTCTTTTGAGTTTTAGAGTTTTGAAATAAAAATGGCTTAATTATTGCAGCTGCGTGTTGGATATCACAAGAAATTTGGCCGGCCCCAGCTTTGAATGGGAGAAAGAGTAGGTTAAAATGCTAATGCGAAGACTTAAGTTTTTGATAAAAGTCATTTTTAATTGCAATTTTTTAGAATCCAGAAATGCAATACACGCCTAGCCACACCGTTTGATCTTTGTTTGACCTTATCTTATGCACTTCTTTTACCAGCACTGCCGTTTATATTATACATGGCGGTCTCACTAATTTTCCTGAGAAAGTACGACGAGGAAATGGCAAGGTAAGTAGGGAAGGGAGTGATAGAGATTATAGGGCTTGGCTGAGAGCTTGATTTTGGAGCAGTAAAAAATATGAAGTTATTAGTTGAGGTCAAGTACAACAAGATTTGCTTGTAACTATTGGTTGAGATATTCCTCAGAGATGATTTTAAGTTTAAATGAGAGATTATGAAATGAATTTTATTTGTAGCAACGAGTTTGTTCGAATTTTTGCGCTGCAAAAAATTTACGACCTTATTCTAGAGCTGAAGCCGCCAAAATTGAAGCAAGTGAGCCGCTACTCTGCGAATCGAACCGAGAAGAACCAGCAAGCGTAACTGAGGATCTCACAAAGGCAGAGAGACCCCCCAGACCTGTTCATCGATCCCATTTTCGATACCGTAGCCGCCTATACAGCCTCCGATCCAAGCGCTCCCGATTCGCGGACTCGGCCCCCTCCAGAAGCCTCCATTCCATTCAATCGGCCCAACTCACCCGTTATCCCTCCACTCATGCCACGAAGGACAGTATGGCCTATCAACACCCCCTATATTTCCCGACACCCGCATCAACAATCACCGCTTTTTACGAAGCCACCTCTCAATACACATATTTGATGCCCCCAAGTCGAGCAGAAGACTTTAGAGAACTGGACCTTTCCGATCTGGGCCGTAGCGTCGCTTACTTTGACCTCCTCCAACGACAGGCGAATCTGTGGTGCATGCAAAACTTGAATCAACAAATTCCCCAGCATGTACAAGGTCTTGTTCAAGGTCATGGAGAAGCTGATTTAGCCCAAGAAATAAAGCCGAATGAATTGCAAACAGAACAAATACAACAGTCAGGAAATATGAGACAAAATGAAGCAGAAAGAGACGCGAATTTCCCCCCTCAACAGCAGCTTCATCAGATGGGTCATGGAGAAGATAATTTGTATCAAAATCCCCCGAAAAATCCGGAAATTGCGGATGAAAATGGAAGAACGAAGCAAGAGGAAAATGTTGAACTAAAGACTTTGATCAAAAACCCCTCAGGCAAAGAGAAGGAACAGGATTTTTGTGATGGAGAAGGTGAAAAAACCCCGAAAGTCCCGACCTCCCTGGCGGCGTACAGGTTCGACCCGGCAATTGATCAAAATCGAAGCCAGATTCTCGCGTTTTTGACCACGTATCTAAGGGAATGCCCGCAGATCACGAAGAAGATGGAATTTACCCAACGAACTTTGAGGGCGATGCAGCAATTACTCGAAAAGGATGAGGTTTTCTCAACTGTAAGTGGTGTTTAATGAAGTTTGAGATTACTTTTGAGCATTTGGAAATAGAATAACGTCAATTTTCTGAAATTTTTTGTCATAGATAATATAATTTTTTCGAATTTTTCAAAATTTTTGTCTAGTATAATATACCTCCTTTCAGATGTGCCATAATTATCGCATTGCGAACGGCCTGAACCCCGGAAGCGACACTCTAGGCGAATCGATTTTGTCGATTAACCAAATTCTCAATATGACGTCATTAATTACGGATGAATCCATCCAAATTCGACTGGGAAAGATCACTGGAATGGCGATGAAACGGGTCACAGTGGAGATGCTGGGCCCTGGTGGCCTCAGAAGGCTTCCAGAACCTCCGAAAATGAAGATCCCGACCTTTGGATTGACCGCTCCGAGCGGTGTAAGCCTTGATGTGGAGCCGGTGGAAGCGGCCAGACAACAAGAATGGAGAGATTTCCAGGCCAGACTAGCGGCAAATCAAGGAAGAGAACAGTTTGGAACGTCGTCAGGATCGAGCAGAGGAAATGAGGGGAGTTCGAGCAGGAAAAGTAATGAAAGTGAAGAAAAGAGTGGAGAAAATGGAACAGAAGCCTCGGGAAGTCCTCGGAAATCGTCGGAGAAAGGATCTGAGAAGAATTCGGATAGTTTTAACTCTACCGGAAGCCCCTCAGCCCATGAAAATCAACCTGGACCGTCGACGGAACGACCAAAGTCTTCTGGAGCGCAGAAAACCCGGAAATTGGAGAAAATGAAGCCGAAAAAGGAAGAAAATGAAGTGAAGAGACAGATAGAAGAAGATGAGAAGAAGGCTGCTCAAAGAAATCAACCTGAAAATTTGACTGAAGTAAAAGTTGTCGGCAAAAAAACAAGGGAAAGAAAAAGGCCCAAAAAAGGAAAACAAACCGCTCAATCTTCGAGAAATTTGAATCACAGCAATGTGACTTCACCATCTCGCCCTGCCACATCAGTCTCGGTGGTTTCTTCAACCTCACCCACAGCTATGCACAGCACACCAAACACCTCTCAGTTCCCTGATTTTCGTCAACAGATGAGAAGCCAAGCCTCGCGAACCCCCCAGGGCATGGAAAACAGATCCAACGAAGCCGCCAACCGATTCCTCAACGATCTCACCAGCCAGCATGCCAGTGATAATGAAAGCAACGGGTTGTAGATTTTTATTTATTTTCACTTGAAGTATTTGCAATTTCTCAGGAATTAAGTCGTATTTCATAGCAATATAGTATTTACTGTACATATTTGAATATTGATTGTTGTAATAACGGGTTTGAAAACGAGAATTTTACGAATAAAATGTTGTTATCATGGATAATATAAATTTTTTGTAAATTGAGCCGGAGAAAGATGTAAATGGAGGTAATTCTCCTTGCAAAGGTTTGAAATGCACTTTTCTTTTCCTGTTTCGTTCGTTTCACTCGTATTTTAGGTCATTTGCAACATTTGTTCGTATAAGTGAACAAGCAGCTTGCAGAACATAGGGCGCAGCTCGGAAAATTTTCTAGCTTTTTCGTTTCCCGCATTTTTTCTCCCTCCTTGTTCGATTGTTGTTTTGCAGGGGCAAAAATGCATCGTGCCTTGCTGAAAACAGTCAATTTGAGCACTGTTCCACGTCGTTTTGCCGGTATGTTGTTGTACTTTCTCTTTGTCTCAACTTTTAGGCCTTTTTTTAACGTTCTTTATCCCCATTCTTCAGGTCATGGGCTGGCGGTTCATCGAGACTCAGAAGCGAACAGTGCGAAGGTAAAATTCCAATTCACGGAGGAAAATCTGAAGAAAGTAAAAGCTCTGGTTTCGAATTATCCGGAAGGACATGAAGCTGGTGCATGCATCCCAGTTTTGGATCTTGCCCAACGACAACATGGATGGCTGCCAATTACTGCGATGCATGAGGTAGCGAGGATCTTGGGTAAGCTTTTGCAAATTGCTTCGTTTCAATTTTTAGGTGTTTAGTTAGGGTTTGACATCAATCTTGTTGTAGTAGGTATTGAGACGAGAATTTTCGAAATATATCCGAAGAAGAGTAGAATTTCTTGTTTGTTGTGATGAACAACTCGTCTCCTAGGATACTTCAGCTGTTGATAAACTTTTTTCGGCATTTTTTTGGCAGAAACGTCGAAATTTTGAGTTATATTATCCATGAGGGTACGAATTTCAGGTATGCCTCGAATGCGTGTTTACGAAGTCGCGACCTTTTACACAATGTTCAACCGAGAACCAGTGGGCAAATACTTCCTCCAGGTGTGTGCTACGACCCCATGTATGCTTCGAGGAGCCGAATCCATCACCGAAACCATCACCAAGAAGCTGGGCATCAAGCCCGGTCAAACCACCAAGGACGGGCTCTTCACGCTCTCCGAAGTTGAATGTCTTGGCGCTTGTGTCAACGCTCCAATGGTTCAAATCAACGACGATTATTACGAGGATCTGACTCCGGACGATATGGTGGAGATTTTGGATGAGCTGGCCGCCGGAAAACGACCGATTCCCGGCCCAAGAAGCGGGCGATTGGCTGCGGAGCCGTTGACTGGCCTCACTTCGTTGACGGAGCCCCCACCGGGGCCTGGTTTTGGTCTTCAAGCCGGACTTTAGGTTGAATTTGCCGTAAATAAATAGAATTTATGTAATTTTTTCAAAAACTTTGTTTGATTTTGCCGTTGATTCGGTCGGAATATTTGATTTTATCGATGTTTGATCCATTTTGCGGGGTTTTTAAGGGATTTTTGATATTGATTTAGACAGAAATTTTTTTGTGGTAATAATTTTTCTGTCGGAATTTTGCATTTTCTGCATGGAAGAGGCGTTTTATTTGAATTTTCTGATGGTTTGAGGGGATTTTCCTTCATTTTTGAGTTTATTTATTTTAATTTTTTGTCCGTTTTTGTGATATTTTATATATTTTAGCTCGATATTTTTGAGATTTCTAACCCTCTCCACGAATTTCAGACCATGTCTTTTATCATAAAACTGCAGCATTTGGCGCGGCAGGCACGGGCCGCCGACATTCGCTCCTTCTTTTCGGGTCTCTCCATCCCGTCGGGCGCGGTCTGCATCGTGGGCGGCGACTCGGGCGAGGCCTTCATCGGCTTCGAGACGGACGAGGACGCGCGCCTAGCCATGCTCCGCTCGGGCCAGCCGCTCTGCCAGCAGGCCGTGGAGCTGTCCCTCTCCTCCCGCAAAGAGATGAACACCGCCATGGAGGAGGCGAAGAAATTGTCTCGCCTCGTCCAGAATATTAGTAAACCCCCGGACAGCCAACCCCTGTCCTCTCCCTCTTTCTCAGCAGATGTCAACGAAAACAGTCAAGGTATGCATTTTCAGAACGTGATCAACACGCCTCAGAACATCGAGGAGTTTGAGATGAAAAGTGGGATTTTCTGGGGAAAATGGGGCTTATTCGAAAGGGTATGGGTGAATTCTTCGATTTCTTGGTAAAATACGGGGTTAAAAATTTTGATTATATGATTTTTTATACGAAAGCTGCAAGTTTTCTTATTGCAATATTCTTGTTCTTAAAGTTGAAGATTTTAGAAGTTGATATCTCTAAATTTAGTTCTTAAAAAACCTCTTGGGAAAATTTTTGAAGATTTTTTCTTCTTTATTTGAAGTACTACGGTTCTTATTGGGAATCTTGTTGAAGAACGAGAAGGCTTTTATAAACTTGAACCAACAGTTCTGAGTTGGGCTTCATGGTTGATGACCTTGAATTTTGCCGACAGATTTTACCATGGAAAAAGTTATGGGTGGATTCTTCAATTTCTTGTTGAAATACGGGATAACTCTGAATTTTGTTCATAAAAACAGGGGAAGATTTCTTTATTCGAAATGCTACTTTTCTTGGCAATGAATCCCACTTTCTCCCCGTTTTTCTCTTGGTGAAGAACGAGAAGATTCTAAACTTAAACCAACAATTATGAATTTGGGCTTCAAGGGTTGATAAACTTGATTTTACCGACAACTTTTAACATATGCTGTTTACTGGCCTTTGCTGGTTTTACCTGCCCATTCCCAGTCCTTGCTCTGTTCAGCTTCTTTCGTCATTTTTTGGGTTTCGTATGTTTGCGTTCTTGACACTGTCCGTTTATTCGCGGTCGACGTGATATTCAAATACATATTCTATGATAAACTAAAAGTGGTATATATACCTCAAAAAATGGGTTATGGGGCATAATTCAAATACATGTTTGATTTGCAAAGAATCAATATCACTGAGAACGTGATCGCAATAATTTAAAGTCAACAGAATGTTTCAAAACTCTTGTGGCAAACAAATACGATATGTCGCAGAATCGAATGTTCGAATTCTCGCAGCACATAAAAGTATCAGTAAACTGGTTTATACATACCTGCTTCCATAGCAAAAATTCTCTGCACTGCACTGGCTTTAGTAGTGCAATCGAAACCTATATTGCCTATTGAGCGCTGCGATACGACAGGCTTTTTGGCCGTTGAATAAATGTGTCTCATAGAATGATCGCTTCAAAGAATCCAACTTTTTTCAGCCTTCCAGCGTCGCATTTGTCTTCCTGGTAGCATTTTTGAGTTCGGTGATCGGCTCTTCGAATTTGCGGTGGCTGTGCAGTAAGTATGCACAAGATTCTTTATCTCCAATAGCGTCCAACCTACATTGTGCAATAATCTTGTGCTTTGTTATACAGGGTTGGCAACTAAGGCCTTCCAAGTTTGTTTTTCTTACAAATTATGCAGTACTGGTCCGTTTTCAACAAGCGTATGTTGTAATAATGACAAAGTGCGCCATTTTTTGCCCATATAATTTTGAAAAAGCTCTTTCAAAGTTATATGGGCAAAAAATGGCAGACTTTGCCATCATTACAATATACGTTTCGTTGAGGGACGAGTGCTGCATAAATTGTGCGAAAAACAAACTATGAGGTAGTCTGTAGAAAAGAAGCGTTGCATTTGGTTTTTCTGGCAACGTAGCATTCTTTTTTTTCGAAATTTGTGCCTTCTTCGAACGATACTTGTATCGAGTTCTTTGTTCATTCAGTAGTGACATACCGGATTTAGCATTCTCCTTCAGCCCCCGGAACGTTGTCACCAAACTTTCACAAGTTCTCTTTGCGAATGATCAAACCCGTCGTGAAGGAGTGATTTGTGTTTACTCACTTGTCGGTTATTTCTACAAGATTATGACAGCGTCCTCCGCCACAAACTCCTAAAAAATCCTGCAAAGATCTGGATTAAAGTTGCTTTTCGCGTTACTCGTGCAGTACCTAGTTGTCTGACCTGGACACTAAGGACAACCTGTGTCAAATTTCCGGTCGACGCTGCGGCATCCATTCTCTCTTACTTCCCAATATTTCACAGCACTAAAATGTCCATGAATAGAATTACAAAGTATCAATTTTGCACCGTTACGGTTTTTATGTGAAAATACACGTCATAAAATTTTCTTGCCTTCAATTGGAACCGTCCTAGCTGCATAATTGTCTACGCAGTAGACCAAAAGTTATAGGCGAGCATGTGGGTCTCAATCATCGCTGGGCACATCGAAAATTCAAAGTTGACTGATGGATCGAAAGCATTGGTATTTATCCAATCATGACTGCAAGCCAGAACCATCTTTTTTCTAACGCAACTCAGCAATTTGCTTAGGGCCTTATACCGGTAGACTTCCAATGACCACTTTAAAAAATTAGCCCACCACCGTAGGCACCAAACGGTTTTTTTGATAAATATATAAAATACGAAATGAAAGCCAAAATATTGTATCCAATATTCCACTTTCATTTTTATGGCAACTGTGTACCAAGGCACTCGCTATGGCTTAGGCTATCCTTGTCGTTGCAAATGCTGGATTATTATTCTTTTGAACTAGATACTCTGGAATCGCAAAAAATGATGGAGAAATAAAACGAATGATCAGGGGAAGTGCCCTGTGAAGCTAATTTTTTACATTTTTGCCCCAAAGCTGGCAAAGATATGGCCATAAAGTGTATTCTCTGTCACCCCCTTCGCGTTTCGCGCCTTCTCCCGGCCGCAAAGATCGTTGAATTTCTCGGATGCGCCTGCAAAGCGCGAGCTAAAATTTTCAGGAAGTGACACGTAACCTATACCGGGAATGCGTGAAAATTTTAAGGAAAATCTGGCCGTCACAGTTGGAGTATTTCCCTTGTAAATTTAGAGCATTTTTTCTACTAAATCTTTCTCAAGAAAATAAAAAATTTTATGCGTTAGCTGCACTGAAAAAGGCTTTCCTAGATCTTGATATTTCAAAATGTCAGAATTGTGTTCGAAGGTTCTCAGATCGTTTTCATGACGATTGTGAACAAAATTTCATATCCATCAAAAAATTCGACATGCCCTTCCATCGACTAAACTTCTGGCGTAAAAAATAAGTTTACTACTACTAAAATATAGGGTAAAATGAAAATTTCTCCCTTCCGTCCGATATATCCTACGGAGAAAATTTTATGGTTCCTTAGAAAAATACTGCTATTAATTCTTCTCTGACGACCTCGAAAATATTCGCTTGAACGTTGCAAAGAGGTTTGGCAATGTTTTAAACGAGAGAATACGTAAAATGAAGAGAGATGGAAAGACGAAAAATGTTTTTCGGTTCTGTGCTAGCGAGTTTCACACGATAAAAAGTTTGATTTACTGCATAAATATTACGCTCGAGCGCCATCTACTAATAGACGGTAATCCAAAATTAATGTTAAAATTAATCCAAGCGCGATCCCCAGCTGTATTAGGAACTGATTTCTTAAGCACAAAAATATCAGTTTTTATGATTTTTTCGATTTGGGACAAAAATCCGATGTTTCTGACACGAGAATACGTAAAATGAAGAGAGTCGGTCAGACGAAAAATGCTGTTTGAATCTGCGCTTAATTCTCAATTTCTGAATCAAAATGGGGTTTCGAAAATACTGTTCATCTAAACTCTTTGTTTCCTCGATCTCAAACAAAATGAGGGATTTTCGCAGCTTTTGCTTTAGAAATGTCTACAGTTTCTGCACATTGCGATTTAAAAATTCCCGAAATGTCTTACAATGAAGGCTTCCATGGTGTCTGAACCAAAACTTGGCAGCTACTGATAAACCAAGACCCCATAGAAGTACTTTTCTTGTTAGAAAATCATGGTCAAGATTTTCTAACAAGTTTCATTAAAATGTAGCGCTCTTGGAGCATAAAATTCAAAAGTTTTTGTGTAATTTTTCAACTTGAAAATGTCGCCAATTTCCGCAAAAAGTAATAGAAAATTATCTTTTTACACTCAAGAACTCCAAAAATTTAATGAATGTCACAAAGTCAGTGAAAAAAACTCAACCAAAATTAGTCGTAAAAATAACCTCCTCCTGACCTCTGTATTTTAGCCTCCTCATCCGCGCCGCCCACCAAACTCTCCTCGATTCTCGGCACCACCGACACCAACTGGACCGCCTTTCTGGAGCAGGCGCTGGAGCGCATCGAGAAGGCCAAAGACGCGCCGATCGGGCACCAAAGCGCGATTTCGTTCGGATCCCCCTCGGTTCTGGGCCACAAACCCGCCGAAAAACCGGTAGTCATCGAACAATTACCCACCCCACAAACCGACAACTACAGTGTCTATCGCAGCACTGAGCCTCCGGCCCCCAAATTTGAGCCCCCGAGTTTCTACGGCAACAAGTCGCTCGAAGCGGGCTATGGGCGCGAAAAAAGTGGCCCCAACTTTGGAGAAAGCCCCAGTTTTGCACCGCCAGCACGTCAAAACTTTGATGTTCCTCCACCTGGTGAGTTTTGAAGGGAAGAATAAAGCTGTGGAGGGTAAAATACGGAAAAATTTCAAATTTCTTTTTTTGTAGATCAAAAATGTTGTTTTAAGCGAAAAATTGCGAAAATTTTGAAAATTCTTTATTGAAAATGTCATGGATAATATCCATGATGCTCTAAAATTAATGTGAAATTGATTTTAAATCGATTTGAAGTGAAAAAGAGGCAGAAAAATGAATTTTACATCAAAAATGTCATGGATAATATAAAATTTGATAAATTTTGAAAATTTTTTAAGATTTTGAAACATTTTTCCACATTTTTAGGCCGTTTCGACCCTCAACGGCCTCAAGACAACTCCTCAGATCGATTCGGCCCACCTCGTCCACGCTACGGCCAAAATCAGCCCAATGAAAGAGGTCCTCCCAGAAATGCCGAGCCCAACTTCCACCCGCCAAGACCCGATCGCAACCAATTCGAGGAGTCGGAGATTCGAACCATCCGCCATCCCGATCATTTCGGCCGCCCTAATCAACCGGGCGGACTGAGCTTGGCGCCGCCCGCTGATCCAGAACATCGAGAAGGAGAGCAGCCGAAATTCCCGCTCCCAGGCGCTCGGAACCCACCATTCGAGAGGAATCAGAAGCCAGAGGGCCGAGGATTTTTTGGAGCTCCTAGAGTGGGCCTGGACAGACAAAGAAATCAGGAGCGCCCACCGAGAAACGACGGAAATAGGTTCGGAGAAGCGCCCCAAAAACAAAGATTTGATCCCCCGCAAAGATTCGGCTTCGAAAATAAAGGAAGAAATGACAGAGACAATCAATATGCCCAACGAAATGAAACAGCACGATTTGCAGGCAGAGAGGGTCAAGGATTCGGGCACAGAGAACGAAATGGCCAAGAGTATGGGCAAAGAGATGGTGAAGATGAAAGATTCGGCCACAGAGATCGGGAAGGCCAAGGATTCGAACCCGAAAGAGGCCCTGGCCCGGGATTTGGACAGAACAGAGAGTTTGGCCAGAAATTTGGCCAGGACCGAGAGTATGGCCAGAAATTTGATCAAAAGTTTGGACAAAGAGAGAACCTCCAGAACCGCCCATTCCAACGTCCAAATCAGGAGAACGATTTTAGAAATCAACGACAGAATCCAGGAAGATTTCCGAGAAACGGTCGTGGCAAAGGACGCGACTTTCCCCGCCGAAACGACGAAAATCCACCGCAAGGAAGGGGAAGATTCGACGGGAATGCGCCGTTTTCGGATGGCCTTCCCGCCCGAGAACCACCGCAGATCTGGGCCGATAAACGGATTGAGGAACGAACCCACAGCTGGAATCAGCCTCCGCCCGTGGAATCAAGCCGCTACCTGCAGCCGGACAAATTCCCCAACAGTTTCGATCCGACCGCCCCACCTCCCCGAAATTTCGATGCCCCACCTCCATTTGCGGACCCACCGAAGCCGGACATGACTCCAGAAATGCTGGAGATGCTCAGAATCCAACAACAGGCTATGGCCGCTCTCAATGCACCGAATATCCCACAACACGTGGATCCGGAGGAACTCTTCGTGGAGCTGAGCCGATTGCCCCCGAACTTGGAAGATCATCAGAATTTGAAGGGATTCCTGGGAATCCCCGTGGAATTGAAGAGCACACATGAGAATGGTAGGCTTGAGGGGGAGTTGGTAGGGAGTTGGATAGGTTTGCCGGAAGTTTGGAGAACTTTTGGAAGGTCTGGGATATTGTTTTAGGCAAGGGGGTGATTTAGAAAAAATTTGGGAAATTCATGGAGGTTTTGGTGATTTTTGGGTTGATTTTTGGGGTTTATGAAGCTATGTGGGATTTAGAGTGGTCTGAGAGGAATTTTGGAGAGATATGAGGGGTTTTTGATATTGATTTAGACACAGGTAGTGATGATTTTAGGATTTTTTGGAAATTTTTGGAAAATTTGTGGAGTTGAAGGATCGTGTGGTGAATTTTATGAAACTATTTGAAATTTGAAACATTGTAAGAGTGAAATTCGAGGGATTTGCGGGAATTCGGATATTATTTTAGGTGATTTTATGATTATTATAGAATTTTTTGGAAAATTTTTTTTGATTATTGGTTTTAAAAAGCTGGTGGATGGGAGAAGCGTGAAATATATTGTGTGATTTTGAGTATAAGTTGTTTTTCCAAACCGTAGGGACCGTATTTTAAACAAATTTTTTTGATTTGGGATGTTGATTTAGGTGAAGCTAAAAATTTTGGAAATTTAGTTGAATGTCGGGTTAATTGAACTTTGTGGGTGTTGTAGATAGATTGAGGAAGATTTTTTTAAAAAAAATTTCAGGAGTCTTGATCCATACCATTGTGAAATGCACCAACAAAGAGGACGCGCGCCGCCTCATCCAAAGAGATGGAGAATTGGGAATAAAGTAAGAATTTTTTATTTTTTTGTGATTTTTAGGTCTGTTATTGGACGCTAGAGGATCTAGAGGCATTTTGGACCTTCTGGAATACATGAATTTAAAATTTTTGATCATAAAATGTTAAAAATTTCAAATAATTTCGAGTTTTCTTCAGAATTCGCTGGTCGGATCGTCGAAGTTTCGAAGGAAAATCCCCGTCGCCATCTCACCCGGAGAGAAAACGTCGAATGGAGCCGCACGACACACCAGTCCCATCGAAAATCCCGGAAAATCAGAGCTGGAAAAACTCGAACAGAGAGAAGGCTGGAAATATCTTGTTGCTGAATGTCCCATACAAGTCGAACGAACGTGAAGTCATGAAGTAAGTAGTGATAAAAGAGGTTTGAAAAAAATTGGAGATGTTTTTTGGTGATTGGACACTAAAATTTTATGTTTTAGCTACCTCCGAGTCGCTACCGTATACAATGTGGACTTAAAACAGGTCTGTGAGCCGAATTACACGAGATCTGATGCGTGGGTGGTCACTGTGTTTGACGCAGAGGACCTGCAGAAGCTCCATGGACATCGAGGAACCATTGACGGACGAAATGTCAGGTAGGAGAACGGGTTATATTACTTTAGACAGCAAAAGTGGATGATGATTTTTAAAAGAGCTGGAAATTGGTGTAGATAGGGGTATTTTGATGTTTTTTGAAGTGCAGTTTGAAGAATATAGCCTTTATTTGAGATTAGAAGTATTAGCGTTGCAGTTTAGCCATAGTTTAGGGTGGAAAAAGAGGTTATATTACTTTAGACATCATATTTGATGATGATTTTGGAAGAGCTGGAAATAGGTATAAATCGATGAATATTGATTTGTTTTACTGTTTGGCTTGAAGAATAGAGTCTAGATTTGTCTTTAGAGGTATTTTTTAGAAGTTTAGAAATTTTTTGGGACTTGGGAGGAGAATATATTATTTTAGACATCAGATGTGATTATTATATGGGAAGGGCTGAAAGTGGGTGTAGATAGGTGAATATTAGGCAGTTTTTTCATTTTAATTAAATGATCAGGAGTGTATTTCATTTGGATGTGATTTTTTTGTCATATTAGGGAGCATTTCTGGCTCAGGAGGAGGTTATATTACTTTAGGCATCAAAATAGGTGATGGTTTTGGAAGGGCTGGAAGATGGTGTGGATAGGGGGATATGGATTTGTTTTGATGTTTAGAGTGAAGATTGGGCAGCGAAAATGTTGATTATGTGGTTTAATTGTTGATGTAGGCGATATTTCCGGCTCAGAAAAGGATTATATTGTTTTAGAGATCAAGATTTAGGATTGTCTTGGAAGAGCTGGAAGTTGATGTAGATGGGTGAATAAAAGTTTAAATTGGGGTTTGAAATAAAATTTAGGCTCTAAATTTCATATGTATGTGTTCATTTTATAATTTAGGGTGTTCAACATCCCTCCGGAAATGGCCGAAGCCCTCCTCTCGGAAGGAATCCGCGATCGCAAAAAATTGGATGAAGAGCTCCGAGCATTGCCCAAGAACCCACCAAGACAAGATCCTCCCACCCCACAGCCTCAGCAGCCGATCCCATCATTGCTCAGTCTGGCTCCTGCGGTGATTAATCAACCTCCACGCCAACCTCCGGCCTCTTTACCCCGCCCCAATGGCCGTCCCCCAATGTTTTTTGGTCATCAGCCCGCGATCCATCACAAATTCTCGAGAAATAAGAGGGATTCAGGCGGTGAGTTGATGATTTTTTTGGGGTAGGATGTGTAAAATATGATTTTTTTGGGAAAAAAATTTTTGTGAAAAAAAATGGAAGAAAATGTTGAAAAAAAAATTTTTGGAAAAAAATTTTGAAAAAAAAATTTTGAAAAAAAAAATTTGAAAAAAAAATTTTCTGAAAAATTTGAAAAAAATTGAAAAATAAAATTTTTAGATTTTTTGATTGGAGTGTAAAATACGAGTTCTACTGCTTTTTTTGCTCTATCTTTAAAATTTTATTCAAATTTTTTTTCAGGTCCTCAACATAACTTTGATGAAGAATCCACTTCCAACGACAACTCCAACCACGAACCCAGCGAAAATCAGCCAATCAACGACGAATTCCACAGCGAATCGATCGACGAACCCATCAAAGAAGAGAACGATCTCCCCAAAGTCACTTACGCCTCCTTCGATCAGCCCTCCAAAGTGGAAAGCCCACCGCCGGAGAACAACAACGGACAAGAGGAGGGCGGGAAACAGACCGAAGACAGCCCCAACCCTCGCCCTCCACCCCAGCAATATCCCCGGCCGCAGTTCGGCCGAGGTCGCGGCCGCGGACGCCGAAACTTTGACAATAACCGCGGCCGAAGGCTTTATTGAAAATTTAATCCCTAATATTTCATTGTTAACTCGCTGTTAGATCTATAAATTATTGCTAAATGTCATGTGGGAGGTGTAGAGGGTAAAATGAAAAAAAAATTTTGGCCTAAAATACGACTTTTTTATTTTTGAAAATTTTTAAAATTTGGCCGAAAAACAATCTTTGGAGTACTCAAATTAGCTAGAAATTATTGATAAATGTCATGTGGGAGATGTAGAGGGCAAAATGAAAAAAAAATTGGCGTAAAATACGACTTTTTTATTTTTGAAAAATGCAAAAATTTGCCCGAAAATTGATCTTTGGAGTATTCAAATTAGCTAGAAATTATTGATAAAAGTCCTGTGGGAGATGTAGAGGGTAAAATGAAAAAAATATGCCTAAAATACGATTTAAAATATTTTTTTTGAAAAATCCAAAAATTTGACCGAAAATTGATCTTTGGAATATTCAAATTAGCTAGAAATTATTGATAAATGTCATATGGGAGGTTTAGAGTGAAAAATGAAAAAAAACATGCCTAAAATACGACTTTTTTATTTTTGAAAATTTTTAAAATTTGGCCGAAAATTAATCTTTGGAGTACTCAAATTCGCTATAAATTATTGCTAAATGCCATATGGTAGGTGTAGAATGAAAAATGAATTTTTTTTGACCTAAAATACGATTTTTTTATTTTTGAAAATTTTTTAAAAATCCAAAAATTTGACCAAAAATTGATCTTTGGAATATTCAAATTAGCTAGTAATTATTGATAAATGTCATATGGGAGGTGTAGATGGTAAAACGAAAATTTTTTGACCTAAAATACGATTTTTTTAATTTAAAAATTTTTGAAAAATCCAAAAATTCGGTCGAAAATTGATCTTTGGAGTACTCAAATTACCTAGAAATTATTGATAAATGTCGCGTAGGGGGTGTAGAGGATAAAATGAATTTTTTTGACCTAAAATAAGATTCTTAAAATTTTTAAAAATTTTGAAAAATCCAAAAATTCGGCCGGAAATTGATCTTTAGAATATTCAAATTAGCCATAAATTATTGCTAAATGTCATGTGGGACGTGTAGAGTGAAAAATAAAAAAATTGACATAACGATTTTTTTAAATAAATTTTGAAAAATTTTGAAAAATTCAAAAATTCGACCGAAAATTGATCTTTGGAATATTCAAATTAGCTAGAAATTAAAAAATAATCCCACTTGGACCTCGAAAATCAACCTCGGTCGGTCGATTCCACCGATTTTTTCGACCAATTTCCGGCATGATGGAGGAGGATTATTCCTTGAATAAATTCGCCGCCGATGTGGAGGAAGCGTCCGCAGCCTCATCCGAGCATCAGATCAAGCAAGTTTTTCTTTAAGTTAATTTTTTTGGCCCAATTCTTACTGTAACATAAAAAAATTTTTTTTTGAAATTCACATGTCATGGATAATATAAATCATAAAATTTGCCGTATTTTAGCGCCAAGAATTATGAGCCAGTCAGTCAGTGGTCCAACAAACCGGTGGACTATCATTTCCTGTCGTTATTGGGATCTGGAGCGTAGGTTTTGTCATGGAGAATATATTGATCTGGTTTGATATCAAATTTCTCGAATTTCCAGGACCGCTGACGTTCTGAAGGCTCGGAATGTGAAAGAGTATCGATTCTGCGCCGTCAAGTTGATGGTTTTCCCGGACAAACATCGAAAGGAGATCGTAAGTTATATGAAGTTAGGGCGCAGCTCGCGGACAAAAAATTTGCGGATTTTTGCGATTTTTGAAATGGATTTGACTAAATAATCATTCGATCAGTCTAATAAGAGGAGTTGTGATGTGATAAAGTTGGTTTTCAAACAAATATTTGCAGATCCGAGAGATCCGCTCCTTGAACTACCTAAATCACCCAAATCTCGTCGATCTCCATGCAGTTTCGGTCCTCAATGGCAATACCGCCTTCATTGTGACCCCAATCTACCGTAGTGTGAGCACGCTGCTCAAGGAATCAATGAAGTTGAAGGTAAGGGAAAATTTGAAAGAAATTTTCTTATTGCACTGTGCAAAAAAAGATTTTGCTCTTTTTGGATAGGGCAATGGGTGAAATGCCAATTTGATAAAGCATAATGATAAAGCAATGAATTTCTGGCGTAGTTTTAAATTTTCAGTGAGCTATTATTCAAATTGACTGCACAGTGCAAAAAAAAATTCTGCACAGTGCAGTTAAATCAAGTAGGATTTTCGAACTGTGCAAAAAAAAAAAATAATTTTTACTCTGCACATAAGGAGGAATAGGGATTTTTTTAGCGTAGTTAAAATTTTCACTGCACCTTAGCCAAACCTGACTGCACAGTGCGAAGAAATAAATTCTGCACAGTGCAGTAAAATCAAATAGGATTTTCGCACTGTGCAAAACAAAAAACAGATTTTTGCACAGTGCAGAGTGGTGAACAGGGTTTTTTTCAGCATGGTTAGAAATTTGCACCATGCCATAACCAAAATTGACCGCACAGTGCGAAGAAATAAATTCTGCACCAAAATCAAATAGGATTTTCGCACTGTGCAAAACAAAAGACAGATTTTTGCACAGTGCAGAATGAGAGAAGAGTTTTTTTTATCATAGTTAGAAATTTGCACAGTGCGATAGCCAAAACTGACCGCACAGTGCAAAGAAATAAATTCTGCACCGTGCAGTGAAATTGAATCGGATTTTTGCACAGTGCAATTGCAAAAAATCCAAAAAAAAAAAAAAAGATTTCAAATTTTCAGCGCTTCAACGACATGAGCCCGCCGTTCGCGCCGGTCAGCGAGAAATGCGCCGGCGAATTGATGTACCAACTTCTGGACGGGACCTCCTTCATGCACCAGAATGGCTACATGCACCGTGACCTGAAGAGCGACAACTTGATGCTGGATGACTATGCGACGTTGAAGATTGTCGACTTTGGTGTGACTCGTCCGTTCAGCACGTTTGAGAGGAAGGGTTTGGGAAAAATGGGAACCCCCTGCGGCACTCCGTATTTTATGGCGCCGGAAGTGGCGTTGAGGTTTCTGGATGAGCAGAATCCGGACTATGATGTGAGGGCGGAGACTTGGTAAGCGGTTTTGTGTCGGTTTTGAGCGATTTGGAGGGGTTTCCTTGATTTTCAGGGTTTTCGTGGTGGGACCCAAAATTTTTTTTATTGAGGCTGAAATGCCCCAAAATGGACGGTTTGGGGGTTTTTAAATCGTTTTTAGGTCCTCGTGTATAGCATAGTATCCATTTTTGCATCTTTCTCAGTATTAGAAGTTTTCGTGGTGGTACCCAAAAAAAATTTTTTTGACCCTGAAATACCTCAAAATGAAAGGTTTTGGTGGTTTTATGTCCCCGTATATCGCGGAGTATCCATTTTTACCTGTTTCTCGCGATTGGAAGTTTTCGTGGTGGGACCAAAAAATTATTTTAAAGTTGTCCATAACCGTCGAAATTTGATGTTTTTTGAATTTTTAAGACTCTAAAATGATAAATAAATTTTTTTATTGTTTTTACAGGTTTTCGTGGCGAGACCAAAACTTTTTTCCCCGATTTAAAAAAAAAATTGCAATCTTTTTTTATCATCGTATTTTAGGAGTATTGGTGTTGTTCTCTGCGAATTTGTCTTCGCGCAGGTCCCATATTCCCTGTTCAACATGACCAGCCCTGCCTTTTGGGAGCAAATCAATGCTTTACAGTATGAGGTAAGTTACAGTAACCCATTTTTTGTGTGATTTTTGATGACCAATGACGTCATTGATTTTTTAGTCCACCCCAAAATGGCATGAAATGTTTGAAACGAAGAAAATCGCGCCGCTGAAAAAGAAGTTGTCCAAGAAATGCATCGAATTCATCGAAAAGTGCCTGGTCGGCGATTATGTCAAGAGAAGGACGGCCTCGAAGCTGCTCAGAGACGACTGGGTGAAGCAGTTCAAGGGCAAAAAGAAGCACATCTTTTTGGAACTGCTGGATGACGAGCTCTTGAAAAGGACCAAAAAGTACGCGGACAAGAAGAATCAGGAGATTTGGGCGAGTAAAAACCCGTCGTCGGGGAAGAGAGTGCTCGCCACGGTCCTGCTGAAACCTAAAGATAAGGTAAATTCGATTTTTACTACGTTTTTTGGTCGGTTTTGGAATTTTTGGATCTTGCACTGTGCGGTGAAATTTAAATTGCCGATTGCACGGTGCGTTCGGAATAAAGTTTTGGTTGCACTGTGCGGTAGGAGATATAATTTATATGTCATGCAAGGTTCATAAAAAAATTGGTGAAAACTTTACATTGCACCGTGCAGTTTGGCAAAAAAGAATTTTTGCACTGTGCGGTAAAATTGGAATTGCCGATTGCACAGTGCGTTCTGGATAAAATTTTGTCGCACTCTGCCATTTGAGAAATAATTTATCTGTCCTGCACGGTGCATGAAAATTTTGACGATAAAGATTCATTGCACCGTGCAGTTTGGCAAAAAAGAATTTTTGCACTGTGCAGTGAAATCAAAATCTCTGATTGCACGGTGCGTTCTGAATAAATTTTTGTCGCACTGTGCAGTATGAAAGATCAACCGTCTTTGCTGCACAGTGCATAAAAATTTTGCCGAAAACTTTGCATTGCACCGTGCAGTTTGACTAAAAATTGGATCTTGCACTGTGCAAAAAAATGAAAAAATTTTTATTTCAGATGTACCTGTTGGAGTTTGCGTTGGACATCAAAGACCAAAAGCACTTTGAGAGGAATGCCGAGCAGACAATTCGAGCCAATTTCTGTCAGCTGACCAACGCCAAAATCATTGAGTAAGAATTGGCTGATAGGTCATGGATAATATAAATTTTTTGAGGGTTTGGGGTAAAATACGTTCATTTCAAGGGTTTTGTTAGTTTTTGGAACGTTTACAAGAGCCTTACACCAAAAAAATTAAGGTTTTTTCTATATTATCCATGACAAAAATCAAAAAATTTCAAATTTTTGATGAAAAATCAGATTGTAGATAGTCCTAGTGGATTGCAAATGATCTAATTTTCAGTGGGAATCAATTCTTCTACCTCACCGAGAAGCTGTTGACCTTGGCCAACCAGTACATTAACCATCGCTCCATCGCGGCCGATCTGGTCTCATTCAGCGGCCGTGTCGACTTTGATCCCGAAACCTTTGCCGATCACTGTCTGCTGGCGGTGTCGACCAGTTTCAAAGAGCTCGCCCTGAAGCTGGAACGGGAATGCCCTGAGGCGTTGGATCATATGCAAACCGCAATTCAGAAATTTCCCGTCGAATTGGACGACGAGAAGATTCAGAAAGCGGCCAGAAGAGAGGTCCCGGGCCTGGGCAGGTCCAGTGGGCAGGCCGAGCCCGCCCGCAGAGCCAGCACTGGGAAAATGTAAGGTTTTGGCAAGGGTAATATAATTTTTTGAGGGATAATTTAACTTTTTGTCTAAAATAAGGTCGTTTTGGACTAAAAGCGTTGCGGCAGAACCCTCCCCCCTTTTTGAAGGCTCCCCCTCACTTTGGAAATTGAAAAATACGAGGTGTGACATGTTATACGATGGAAATTTTTTTCAAATTGAGAAAAATTGGGTATGACATCTTAATTTGAAAAAAATTGCATCGTATTAGATGTCATACGTAATTTTTTCAATTTGAAAAAAATCATCGTATAACATGTCACACCTCGTTTTTTTCAATTTGAAAAAGAAAATTCATCGTATAACATGTCACATCTAATTTTTTCAATTTGAAAAAAAAAATTTCATCGTATGACATGTCACCCCTCATTTTTCTCAATTTGAAAAAAAAATCATCGTATAACATGTCACACCTCATTTTTCTGAATTAAAAAAAATTTTCATCGTATAACATGTCACACCTAATTTTTCTCAATTTGAAGAAAATTTTCATCGTATGACATGTCACACCTTATTGTTTTCAATGTGAAAAAAAATTCATCGTATAACATGTCACACATAATTTTTTCTAAAAAAAATTCATCGTATAACATGTCACACCTAATTTTTCTCAATTTGAAAAATTTTTTTATCGTATAACATGTCACACCTAGTTTTTTCAATTCTCAAAATGGGGGAGTGTTCAAAAAGGGGGAGAGTTCAGATCTTTTGGCAGGCTGAACCGACTGAAAAGCCTTGGAAATTGGTAGATAAGAAAGCGGATGACTTTTAGCTTTCTAAAAAATGATTTTTTAGGCCATCGCTTTTCGTCAAGTCCAGCGAAAGTTCGCTTTCTTCCCTGCGCAGCTTCAAGGAACGCCTGAATCGCCGCAGAAAGTCGGTCCCCACCAAGTATCTGGACTTTATGATGGACAGCCGCGTCGATAGCGAACCCTTTGATTGAGTTTTGTTGTCAGTAAACGGCTTACAACTGGATTTTTGAATTTTTTTTTGGTCCCACCACGAAAAATTGAACGCTGAAAAAACGCAGAAAAAGGGGGAAATAATGAAATATACGTTCAATTGTGAGCTTCTCTTTGATTTTTTTGCAAAAATCGACCGATTTTCAGTCAGAAAAATTCAAAAAAAAATTTGGCGGGAAATTCAAAAATTCAAATTTTTCGATTTTTCCAAATTTCAAAAACTCTAAATTTGATTGAAAAATCAAGTCGGCTGGTCGGTTCTTATCGCAAAGTGAAGAAAAAGAAACTTTTTTTGACGAGAAATCATGTGGGATGTAAGTTTTTACCATGGATAATATAAAATCTTGTCGATTTTAGCCAAACTTTTGTTGGTTTTTGAGCGATAAACTAATGTGCTACAAAATTTAGAGTCTCTTCATCGTGATGACGGAGATTTCGCTGGTTTTCGGAGCGCTGGTCTACCTTTACACTCAATGTAAGTGAAAATACTCGAAAATTTCGGGTTTATTTTGCTTTTTTGTTCATTTATTATAACAGAATGGCTATAAATATCTTTTCAGACCGAGAAGAGAGCCTTCAACTGGAGCCTTCGCCTTCTTTTTGCCAATCGGCCCCGCCAATTCAATTCGAATCCAGAAAATCCTCGGCCAACTTGAGCTCCGATGCATTGGAAGAGCCCAGCACCACCGTGAATTCGCTTCCGTTGAGCCGTGAGGCCGCTACTGAAATGGCTGAGAATCCCGTTGCTGCCGAAGTCCATTAATTTCTTGAGTAAATCGATTGCTGTAAATTTTGGAATTTAGACCTTCCTTCGTATACAATGTCACCTCATAAAAAAGGTGTCATTGGCGTTTACAGGGCTGAAAATATTTATTATAATGATTTTGGCATTTAGAAATTCCTGGCAATGATTTATTTGCTAAAACTATCGGCCGTATAAAATGTCACCCGCAGGCTGCGTCCTGTAATACTCGCCAAAACAGCCGCAAATCATTTTCAGGCGTATTTTAGAGATGAACAGTCATTCACTTTCTTCTATATCAATTTCCGAAGCCTTTCAGTTCAAAACGGCGTATTTACAGACCTAAAATTAATATCATCCTTCATAAAGTCATATTATCCTTGTAAAAATCTTACATTTTCCAATGCTGGCTCTGCGGCCTAGTTCGGCCTGTCCGCTAGACCTGCCCCGGCCTGGGTAAAGTCACTTGGAGAGGGAAGCATTTTGCCACATTTTTGATACTTCCCGGATGCAAAATGGTACGTTTTTTGCCAATGGATCAGGTCCCCCATTGTACAGCTCTTTGCGAACGAAAACATTTGATTTATCCGTATAAGATGTCGCCTGCAGGCTGCGGCCTACAATGCTTTCAAAAACCGACTAAAAATTAATTCTAATCGTATTTTAAAGTAAAATAAGGATTTTCAGGCAATCCAAAGTGAATCTTATGCATTTTCTACCTCCTTTTTGAAGAGTTTTCTCTTATTTTACATCAAATCCGATTGCGCAATAAACAGCGGATCGTCCTCTAAAACCTCCCGTTTTTGCCAAGCATTTGCGGCCAGCGCAAATGTCAACCAACTTCCGATCCAATCCTCTCCTTCTCTGCCACTCTCTCCGACTTGCTCGCTGTTTGTTGGCACATGTTTTTTCGGCTAGTATAACATCGCAAAGTGACCCTTTTTGGGGTGTTTTCTCGCGACAATTATGACCGGTCAAACTCGTCGCCATATGGTCAGTGGAGACGAGAGCGGAGAGACAATGGATTCTTGGGTTTTGAGTGGATAATGGGACAGTTTTATTGAGTTTCATCGAATTTTAGGGTGTTTTTTGATGATTTTAGGAATTTTACTTGTATTATCGCTTGGTATTTGGTGTAAAGAGGTAGATAAAGGAAGAATATTCTCAGTAGCTTATATAGAGCTTAAATTTTTATTGAGGTGGAATTAATTTTGCTGAATTTTGAGCATTTTTTGGATGTTATACTAGACAAATGAGGTGTAAATAAAAAAATTTGATGGTTTCTAATTAAAATGTGAATGTAGAAAAGTCAAATGGGATTCTCGACGGATTTACAGGCATACGAAGTCAAGTTTCATATGGTTTACATCAATTTTTTGCGATTATATTATCCATGACGTCATCATTTGACAGGGGAAGTACTTCGAGTGCGACGCTCAGATCTTGATGAAACTGGGCACAAATTTAGAATAATTTATTCCAAGATATATGCGAGAATCCTAGCTCGCGCTTTGCATAAACAGCCGAGATTTTTAGATCGAAAGTCGGCGAAAATTTAGGACTTTTTGCCGAATTTCGGCACTGAAAGTTTTATGCCTGTTTCTACCGTAAAGGATAATGTTTCTACAAAAAAATCAAATTCTTCCGCACGAAACAGCCAAAGTTATGACCAAAAAGCGGTTTTCTCTCTGACCGCTCTCCACGTTTAGCGTGCTCTCTCGGCGGCAAAGATCGTTCGATATCTCGGCGGCGCCTACAAAGCGCGAGCTGAAACTTTCAGGAATTGATATTTAGTCCATACCCGACGTGTGTGCAAAATTTAAAGAAAATCTGAGCGTCGCACTTAAAGTACTGTGAGTTTTATCGAATTTTAGGGTGTTTTTTTTTGATGATTTTAGGAATTTTGTTGGTATTATTGCTTGGTATTTGGTGTAAAGAGGTAGATAAAGGAAGAATGTTGTCTGTAGGTTATAGAGAGCATAAATTTTTCTTGGTTTTGTATAAATTTTGCTGAATTTCTAGCATTTTTAGGACATTATACTAGACAAATGAGGTGTAAATAAAAAATTTGATGTTTTCCAATTAAAATGAGGATGTAGAAAACTCAGATACGATTCTCAATGGATTTTCGGACATATTAAATAAAGTTTCATTGGTTTTACACCAATTTTTTCGATTATATTATCCATGACGTCATCATTTGAGTTCAGTCAAATCTGATGTCATATCGTGTTTTAAGCGTCTTCCAAGTGACAATATCGTATTTTACCCCATTATTTCTTTGTTTTCCCACCTATTTCGAGAGTTTTGACCTCTCGCCCGAACCACTTTGCACTTTCCCACCCGGTAATTTGATAATTCCTGACCCAAAAATGGACCTCTCGAGTGGAAGGTGGCTGTTCGGTAATTGGATCGCACTTAATTAGGGTCGAATTAACAACCCAGACGCTGATTAATCCAGCGATTTTTCTGTGGGGTCATGAGAAATTGACAAAATTTTGGTCCACCTAAAATAAGGTCCAGATGACCTTATTTTAGTCGATTTTACCGATTTTTTGGATAACTTTCAAAAAATTTTAGCTTTTTACCACATATTGAGGATGTATACGGTATTTAGAACCTGTTGTATTGATAAACGGACCTCTTTTTTCTCCGACCACTACCTGATTTGCATAATAATTGACCTGAAAACGGACCTTTGAATCGAATTTTAATATCTTCCGGGAGTGGAAATCACCTTTTTAAGCTGGATTTTGTATAAAAATTACGTTAGGATTCGAAAAAATGAGATTTTTTGCAATTTCAGACCAATTTTTTTGCCATGGATAATATAATTAGTCTCAAAAAAGTCGAGGTTTTGGTTGAATCTGGGTATGAATGGGACGAATGGACCTAAAAATTATTATTTATATGGATAGAATGTTCTAATGCGGTAAAAAAATTTCAAAAAATCATCGATTTTTGTCATGGATAATATAATTTATCTCAAAAAAAGCTGTTTTTAGGGGTGGTTTTGAAGCAGATAGGTCGGATATACTCTAAAATCGCAATTTATTTCCTTGGGCACTCGAATTTCATTGAAAAAAATTTATTTTTTCGAAAAAATTCATTTTTTTCACCTTTTACCCAGCTTTTTTCAAACCCTCCCAAATCATTCGAAAAACTCCTGAGGGCATCAACTCTCATAACGTTGCGTAAAATTGAAGTGCAAGTCCGAAACATGTCGCACCTCCCGCAGTGCCACCAATATTTTGCGTATTTTATTGTTTTTCCTTCGGAGGTCAAGACGTCTGGCGAGGGGGAAATCAAAACTTTTCTGGTTGGGCTTGGGTTACCGACAAGCTCCAATACAAATCGATGGGGTTGTGTAATTGCCAGACGAGTAGTTGGCTGCGGTTTTAATCCAGTCCGAGATGTGGAGATCGAATTGGAAGCAAAATTTGCGATTATCGGGGGATATGATGATGGTGAAGGTGAATTTTGGGTTATTTTAGAATGATTGTCGCAGTAAAAGAAGTATTTTGAGCTCAGTAGATCACTCTCGATCTGTTTGACCTTATTTTGAGTCCAATTTTGGCAAAAAAATTCAAAAACTTAAATTCCCGCCATTTTTGGCATTCTGTTTCATAGGACGGAAAATATCTGAAAAACGTTGAAAATCATATTTCTGGTTGTAATAACAGTAATTAACTTGGTTAAAATGAATTTTTAATTCAAAAGTTCGAATTCCCGCCATTTTTGGCATTATGTTTTAGCTCACGGAAATGTGATGAATAACATCAAAATTGTGTCGGATTTTATCTGAAATGCTTTTAAATATCTAAACCAATCAAAATTAAGTGTATCAGAAGACAAAGTTATATTATCCATGATGAAAAAGGCAAATTTTTAAATTTCTTTTTAAATTTTTGATATCTAAATCAAGGTATTTAGATCAAAAATGCCTTTAAGAGTCGTGCAAAGCAATGAAAGTCTCTTAAATGATGTTTTTCCCCAATTTCCATCGCCTTTCCCAAGACTATTAGGTTCGGGAAGGGGATCCTTAAAGGGTCAAATCTTGAATCCGCGCTTCCTTTTCTTTGTTCTCAAACATTTCCTAATCCCTCTGCCCGATTTGGACACATTTTTTGTTGGCACTTCCCTTCGAGATGACCTTCATGTGATCTCTGCCGAACTCCGCTTGTTTTTTTCAGCTGCTTTGGCTTTATTTTTGTATTGATCATGAGGAATACGGGGAGATTTTTGAGGGGTTTTAAGTTTTTTTTTTCATTTTTTGAAATTATGCACTGTGCAAAAAAAATTTTTTGATCGCACGGTGCAAAACATTTAGTTTGAGTGCACTGTGCAAAACATTTTTTGTAACTGCACGGTGCAAAGAAACTTTTTTGGTTGCACAGTGCAAAACTTTTAGTTTGAGTGCACTGTGCAAAACTTTTTTGTAACTGCACAGTGCAAAGAAAATTTTTTGATCGCACGGTGCAAAAAAAATTTGTGAGTGCACTGTGCAAAAATATTTCATAAGACTGCACAGTGCAATAAAATTTTTTTATTGATCGCACTGTGCGAAACTTTTTAGTTTGTTTGCACTGTGCAAAAATATTTAATGTAACTGCACTGTGCGAAAATGTTTCGGATAACTGCACAGTGCAATCAAAAAAAATTTTTTTTGCACTGTGCGATGAAATTCGAAAATTTTCCGCACTGTGCATTCAAAAAAATTTACCGTATTTTTTACCTCCAACCGAGAATTTTTCCGTCTTTTGTCATCAAAAAAGACAAAAGAAATTTCTTTCGAATTGGGGCCAATGCTTTTTCTGCTTATTTAACCCCCGTTTCGGGCAATGTATAATACCCCGATGGGATATTATAGTTGCTCCCAAAACTTTCTTTGTCCTTTTGCGGCACTCTCGACGCGCCCATCTCCTGACCTCAGCAGATCGCATTACCCAAGCAAACGAAGGAACTTGGCTCCTTTTGCGCAACCTCCAACAGAAGCCGGGGATAAAGGAAATGGAGGGTAA